CCCCCCTCTCTCTCTCTTCACCGCAATGACCAAGAAAACCGCTTGGGAACCCACAGGGAAGCCCATGGATCCTTAGCCCAGGCCAGCCCCCTATCGCGTCCTTTAGGAAACCAATGCAGAGAAGCCGCCGGCCCGTTGGATCTCGCTCGCGATTCGCGCGGAGTCTCCTTAAGTTTCTGCCGGTTTCGGTCCCTGCTCGGAAATTCGTCGAGGTCAGCGCGCGCCACGCATTAGATTGCGCCGCGCGTCCTTTTTTCGTGCGACGCTGACGCGCAGCGCCTCCCTTCCGCCACTAGATCGCGGGCAGGCTTGGCAACTGCCTGAAAAGTGCGACTTCCTTCGAGTGTGGAAGGCGATCCCCTTAAAGACTCGCCTTTTTTCGAGGCCCTAGGCGCGCGATCGAGCGGTCGCCTGTTTCCGGGTTGCGAAACTGATGCGCAGAAACTTTCTGCCGCCATTGGATCGCGCGCAGGCTTGGCCACTGCCTGAAAGCTGCGACTTTCTTCGAGTGGGGAAGGCCATCCCCGTAAGAGTTCGCCCTTCTTCGAAGCCCTGGCCGCGCGCGATCGAGCGGCCGCCCGTATCCGGGGTTGCGAAACTGATGCGCGGAGCCTCGCTTCCGCCATTAGATCACAAGCAGGCTCGGCAACTGCCTGAGGGGTGCGACTGTCTTCGAGTTGGGAAGGTGATCCCCTTAAAAGGACAGACGCGCGTCGCAGAGCTGCCGAGCCGCCGGTCCTCGATAAGCCAACAAGCCGACAGCGCGAAGCTTCCTTGCAGCCTGTCCGCGATATGTCGATAAGCCGAGAACAGACGCGCGGCGGGAAGTTGCCTCGCAGCCTGTCCGCGATGAGTCGACAAGCCGAAAACGGCTGGCCCTTTGTAATTCTGAAACCCTCAGGGCTTGGGAAAGTCGTGGACTTTTAAACCCTAAAAGTTTCAGACTTGTGAGAGCCTGGCAGCCTGTCCGCGATAGGTCGACAAGCCGGAAACGGCTGGCCCTATGTACGTCGGAAACTCTCAGGGCTTAGACAAGTCACGGACTTTAAGCCCTAAAGGCTTCAGACTTTTGAGAGCCCAGCAGCCTCTCCGCGATAAGTCGATAAGCCGGAAGCTGCTGGCCCTTTGTAAGTCTGAAGCTCTCAGGGCTTTCAAAAGTCGTCGACTTTTAAACCCTGACAGTTTCAGACTTGTGAGAAGAGCCGCCACCTTTGGGGCCATCCGCTCCCCTTCTCTTCTGTAGGTCTGACATTACCAGCCACCAACTGCTTGCAGGGCTCCGGCGTTCTCGCTACAAGCATCTGAGAGAAGCGAAAAAGCCGCAACTTCGGTGGAAACTAATGGAGAAAACCAAGCCCCACCTTTCTCCATTAGTTTCCCGCCGGACGGTATAGAGGGCGACCTAAACCAAACGCCCATGGACCTCCGCCCGCTTGCTCACCGCGACGGAAAGGCCCCGGCCCTTGAATAGTTTCCACGCTGAAAGCTTGAAAGGCCGCGACTTGAGCGAGAGAGACTACGCCCGCGCGCCCGCTGGCTCCATGGTCCTGCAGCCTGGCAGCCGGGCCGCGATTGGTCGACGACGGCAACGAAAGCCCTGGCACCGGTTTCCGATGGGCCGAAAAGCGCCGAGCGTTGAAAAGTTTACAAGGCGAACGCGTGACGAGTCGCGGCTTTTGGAGTAGAGGAGACCACGCCCGCGCACCCGCTTGCTCCATGGTCCTCCAGCTTGGAAGCCGGGCCGCGATAGGTCGACGACGGCGGCGAAAGCCTCCGCGCCGGTTGCTGGTTGGCCGAGGGGCCCCGGTCTTTGAAGGGTTTCCAGGCTGAACGCTTGAAGGGTCACGGCCTGAGCAGCAAGAGAAACCACGCCCGCGCGCCCGCTGGCTCCATGGTCCTGCAGCTTGGCAGCCGGGCCGCGGTGAGTCGACGACACACGCGGACCGCTTCCCGCTTGCTTTCTCTCCAAGAGTCCCGGGCTTTTGCGGACTTCACAAGGCAAAAGTTGAGAAAAATAGGAGCAGCGCGGAACTTGGTTGAGGCTCCCTCTGCTATCGAGAGCGCGCTGCTTTTGGTCCCGTAGGCCGCTAGGGAGGGCGATCGCGACCCCACGCCCCCCCCCAATCTACCGCAGAACAGCCCCCCGCCCCCCCCGACCCCGCAAAGGGGCCCCCCTTAAGGGCGGCGCCGCCCTTTATAGCGGCCTACGGGAAAGCCTGCGCGGGGTTTTTTTCGACTCCCACGAGACTCCCGCCCCCCCGCCCCTGCCAATGGGGCCGCGGTATGGCTGCGGGGACGCCGTTTAAGACCCCGCAGGAGGCCAATACCACGCCCCCTTCTGCAGGGGCGGGCAAGTCGGGAATCTAGTGCGGGCCGAAAACGACGCCAATAGGCTTTCCCCTCGGCCGCTGTAGAGGGTAACGTAGCCCCTACCCCCCCGCCGGCCCGAAAAAGCGCCCCCTCTGTTGTAATGGCCGCCCCCCTCTCCAAAAGGTAAAAGACTAGCACGTAGCTCCTAGGGCGCGCGCCCCACGGCATCCCGAGGAGCCTGCGGGGGACTGCGTTGCGCAAAAGAAAACTGCGGCGGGCCGAGAAGTTTAGAAATTAAAACACCCCCCGCACCCAGCGCGGGCCTCTCCCTCCCTTTTTTTTGTCCTTTTGTTTATTGCTTTTGGTTGGATTCTCATGCGGGAAAAAGGAAGGGCCCGAAAGCTCTGAACTAGGGTCCTGATGCTCTCTTCGCCGGCCTCCTTCTGAGTCTTCCAGGATCCGAAGCTGGGGAGCTTCCGGACGCTCCGAAGCTTCACTTTGGCCGACCGATTCTGGCGCCGTTTGGAGCCCAATTGAGCAGACAAAGGCACTCCGCAGCCCCTTTTGGAGGCTCCGGCAGATGGATCCGAGGCAGTGGAGCCTCCCGTCTGGAAGCTCCAAAACCCCAAGATCTTCGCTGCGTTGCGGATTCCAGTGGGGCTTGGAGCTCATTCCAGCAGCCAAACGCATTTCGAAACCCCTCCTGGAGGCTTCGGACTCGGAGGCTTCGACGGATGGCTGCGAAGCCAAGTCTCTGGAAGCTCCGAAGCCGGCAGCTTCATTGCTGGGCGCGGATTCTGGTGGTGTTTGGTGCTCATTTGAGCAACCGAACGCATTCCGGGCGCTTCGGACTGTGGTGACGCTAGCCCGGCGGAACTTCATTTTGGAGCCGGGGCTTCGACCGATGGATCACGGGACCACTTTTGCCGCGCCCGCGTTGTCACGGCTCAGGCCCTTGAGGCCAGCTTAGTTGGATCCCTGCGCGAGATTGGTCAAGTTCTTGGAGCACTTTTTTTGCACGGTCGGGCGCTGTCTGCAAAAGGGTACCAGCCTGCAGTCCCGCGACGAGAATCCAAAAAAAACCTCCCCAGGCATTTTTTACCCCCGCTCCCCCCTATTTTCCACCGCTTTTCGGGCAGGCTCTCCTTCGTTCTTTTTTCTCCTCTTCGATTCTTTTGAAAACAGTAAGGAAGCGGGCCCGCTGTCTCCACTGCCGGGGTCTAGTCCTGCGAAGAGCTCCAAAAGCCCAGCCAAGGACGAACCCCCGAAGCCCTTCGGAGTCAATCCGAACTAGAAACTAGAAGGGAGCAACGCTTTTGCTGTTGTGTAGTCCGTGCTTTCAACCCTACCAAAGGAGCCCCCCAAATAGGCGCCCCTCCTGCCCGCGAAGGCGCTCGCGCGCCCGGCAAAAAGACCCCCCCGCCGCTGCGGCCTGCTAGGGCTTACCCGGCGTCCCCGCCGGAGGCCCCCGTCCTCCCCCCTGCGCCCTCCCTTCCGCGCGCCTGCACCCTGGGGAGCCGGCACGCGCGCGCCGCTTGGTCTAGCAGCTCGGTGGCGCGAGAGGCACCCCTCCTGCCAAAGGGAAAGGAAAGCGCAGCGCCGAGGGCCCGCGCGGTCGCGCGTGTTGCGTCGGCCAGCCTTCGGGGGGCCCTCGGGAGGAGGGCGGAAGACCTAGACAGCCTCTGTTGCTAGATGCATTGCGCACGCGAGGCCTACCCGAGTCTCCGTTATCCGTTTCTTTTCGGTCAGGCAAGCCGAGATCTTAAACGGCAACAGAAGCCTGCTGGGCCATCGACGCCTGACTATCCACTAGCAGCCACGATAATAAAAGACTTCGAGCTGCAACATAAACCACTCACGTGACTTCCCATAGCTTTCCTCTACTAGGGGCGAAGCCCTCGCGGATCAGAAATCTTCGAGTCATCCACGAGCGAGGCTATTTATTCGTAGCCCCAAAGCAGACCACTAAGGAAGAGCTTCGCTTGGAGCGACATAGATTTTGTTCGAAAAAGAGAAAGGCATCTGCACGCGAACACCGAGCTTTTGGAACATCGATTTTGTTCGAACATATTGTTGTTTGTTGACTGGCAGCTCCGGGTCGTGCACCCTGAGCATCTTGTTGCCTTCCCGTCTCTCCTCGTCCGAGTCTCCTAGACCCAAACCCAGGGTTCGCAGGTTCTGCAGACGATCACCAAGCCCTTGCACGTTTAGCAAAAGAATGGCAGCTCTTGGAGAATTGTCGCCAAAGTCGCGAGCTGATCAGGCAGCAGAACGCCGCTCAAGATTGCTGAGGTAACGAACATAATTTTTAAAAACGTATTACTTTGCTAAGATTCTAACACCAACAAGGCAACAAGGATTGCAGGCGGGGCCACATCACTGCTGCCTTTGCGGGCCGACGGGCGTGCCGCACACTAATGACAGCAAATAGAGTGGATTTTGTGTTCTCACAAAAACACAAGCATACTACCACAAACGCGCTCCTTGTCCTCACAGAAACATTACATTCTCACACAAACACTTCTTGAGCATACTAACCCATGAAGCATACACTCTACCCCACGCCTACATACTACCACACACATACACACTAACACAAACGTACTACAACTTCCCTTGCTTCTCACAGAAACATCCAGCCACTTCTACATGCTAGTAACCCAAAATGAAAAATGCAAAACGAAAACAGGAAGAAGCGTCTTGCGGGTACTATGAAACTGCCGAGTGCGGAACTGAGAAAGGACGCAGGCAACGACGCTTTTCAGAATGGAGACTTTGAGATGGCGGTTATACAGTATACGAAAGCCCTCCAGCTCCTCACGGACGAAGACGTGGCTCAAGCGGCGGAAAAAATATGGGCTTGATAGTGATAGAGGATTCATCCTATAGACACCACTACTCTGATGAATAATTTTGTCTTGTCATAGAAATTACAGTATTTAATTTCTACAAGTGACGAAGCTTTTTCCATTTGTATTAGTCAAAGGTAGTTCATCTTGAAGATGTAGACGCTAGAGGTAGTGGTCTGAGCACAGCTTGCTATTATTGATAGTAAAAGCTTCATCTTGAAGATGTAGACACTAAATAAAAGTGGTGTACATGATAGTACAAAAGTTTCATCTTTCCTAGACGCAAAAAAAAAAAAAAAACTTGTAATTTCCGTTGTAATACAACAGTATTTCACTTCCACAAGGGATTCCTTTTTCATGATAAGAGGCGCAGGACCAGCAGCAAGCTGAAAAATGCAACGATGGCTCTGCTGCTGCGGTAACTGAGGATGCGGCTACCGAGCCTGTGAAGCCTGATAGAGGATTATGGCTGGATAAATTTTTATCCATCTCGGAAACGAACTTCTTTGCTTCCTGAGGCTTTCTAGGTTCTTCTACACGGATTTTCATAATACCATGGAAAGCACGGCTCTTCTACACGGATTTTCATGATACCATGGAAAGCACGGCTCTTCTACACGGATTTTCATGATACCATCCACACTTCCTCTACCAATAGCTTCCCTTCCTCCCCTTACTGGGTTCCTTCCGATTCGTATCATTGATTCACGGTTCTCTTCTTCATGGTGAGCGGCCGCTGCGAAAAAGATTATGATGAGTGAATGTCTATTTTCTCCTGATGGCAGACAAAAGGACACTCACCACGTGTTCTAAACACAACCAGAGAAATCACTTTGCTGCCGTCTAAAACTGAGAAGAAGACCACCTCAAAACAACCAGAGAAGTCGCTCTTGCTCTACTTCAACCATGTCTAAGAATACAGAGTCTTCCTATCTTGGAAGTACTTAAAATTCTTAAGGTCGTGCACTCTAATGTTAACAAGAAGAAAAGGAAAACCCGTCACTCTTAAGGTCGTGGAGTACTCTAATGTTAACAAGAAGAAAACCAAAAGGAGTACCACAGATGCAGATGCAGACGATCGTTTGCGGGCTGCGCTGTACAGCAACCGGTCAGCGGCGTATGCGAAATTATCGGAACTTGAGTTCGCGGTCCGCGATGGACAGTTAGCTGTTCTCCATCATCCACGATTCCTGAAAGCACACGCGCGAAAAGGCTCTGCACTTTTTCAGATGGGACTTATGATGTCGGTGGAGAAAGCGAAAAGATTTGATAAGCTGGTGCTCATAAAATTTGATAATTCAGCAGAACAGGGAGGACTAGGTTTTTTTGTAGAGATCTAGCGTAAAATCCATTTGTTAGAAGTGTGTGATACTAAGTATGCTCATGAATATAAAAATATTAATGTTGTTGTCCCTGGAACTGAGAGTAACTGCTCATGGTCATATAAATCACCCTTCATTCCTAGTACCAAAGAAGCGCGTGAGGCTTATCAGTACGGCCTCGAATTCTGTTGTGGTGATTCGGAAGGTGATGCGGCAGCCGCAGCCGCACTACAGAACGGAATTGACGAATGCGATAACTTACTCAATATTAGGTCTTGGGCTATGATCAATGCCTCACTTACTTCAAACTGAAATCAGAATCCTTATTGCAGTTGAAGTCACTATTATCAGCGGTTGAAATCAGAATTCTTATTGCAGTAGTTGAAGTCAGAATCCTGATTACTTCAACTTGAATCCTTATTTCATTCAAACTGCAAATCAGGATCACATAGGACACCTCTTCATCTAATTAGTGTGTTTTGCGATGCAAATCAGAATCACATAGGACACCTCTTCATCTAATTAGTGTGTTTTGGATCGCAATGCCTCTGAGATATTGTCGGGACAGAAACCCTTATGGCGCTACTTGCGGCAGTGCGTAAATCCTTTGGACCTGCCCGTGCGGCAGTATATGGTTTACGTCGTCCTCGTTTTCGGTTGCGTGCTAAGTTTGGTTGCCAGGGTTTAATCCAGAGAAGGGGCTGAACAGAACTTGGTAAACAGGAGTCGTGGTCAAGAACTTGATGCATTCTTCATGCGGGTGTACAGTATCCCGACTGGTGGCCAGAAACTTTTTCTGAAAGCTCCAAATCCAAATCCAAATATAGAAGGATGAATGCTTGTCATCCTGTCCGGATGTCACTTTCCCCGCATCACGAAAGTGGTATTGTCAATAGTTATCGCGCCTTTGATGCGTTAGGCCGTAATTTGTACTCAGCATTTAAGACTTCGAAGAAAAGAAATTAATATGGCAACATCGGAAAAGATGACTTGTCATCAATGGCACGTCTCCGATCGGCTGTCTGCGGTCAGTGGCTCAAACTATATTTTCTGAGCTGTAAGAAAGAGAGAGAGACAGAGTTTTCCTTGCCCCCTTGTTTTTTTAAGCGACCTCTATTGAGTCAGGCGAGTGAGTTTTGGTCGCTCCGTTTACTTTCGACATTAGATTATACACACAGCGTTGGCAATGTCGGTGCTGATGGTATAAAACTTTAGTACATCAGAATGGCTTTGTTGTCAGCGGACGTGCCTATCTGAAGCTCGGGCATGAGCCATTCCAGAACGCATTTTTCAGGCGTTGCTGGTTTTAGTGCAACGACCCGAGTCCGCAAGAACGACCGCCTGTGAAAATGGGACGACGGAGAATGTGGCACAACTACTCAGGAGGAGCGACGAGTTTTGCTTTTGCACTCGCGGCTTTACAACTCCCGTCTCTCCTCAGAGGGCAGGAAGTTTCACGTGCGAAATACCTCTGCACAGGATCACAGACCACCTTTCGTTATGTGCATCATATTTGCCAAAGAGGAAACGAGTGTGCAAATTGTAAAATATGACGCAGGAGATCTAAGTACTACCTCATATTTGTGTCATAGATAAATTATAAAAGTTTATTCCCAAGAACCCTACTGCCACGCGGCTTCTACGTTGGCCACGAACTACGGCTACATCAAGAGCAGACACATGACAAACTTTCTCGTCTAACACAAGGAGTGTGACGACGCACTACCCGCGTGTCCGAACCCCCAATGCACTGATTGCAGGTGGGCAGAATGGGGTCCTTGGGGCGAGTGCAACTGTCACGGCTTGCAGGAGCGTCGGCGATACATCGATACACCGGCAAGCTTTTGTTTACGTTGAAGAACCTTCATATAATTATTTATCGGATCGAATATAACGTGCAAGGATAGAGGAAACAGAGATCTTGTTCAAGGATAGAGTAAACAGAGATCTTGTTATCTCTCATAAAAAAATAAAACAAGTAGCTTTAGCACTGCAAGAAGGACACGATGGGGGATATTCTCTACTCGTTATGTCAAATCATTTGCTTCTCATGGCTTCATTAAATACAGACATCCTCTACGCCTAGTGCGCGTGCACGACGTCGAATATTGTTTTTCTAATTGCGGGTCGACCTTGCGAAGGCACGGATCGGGAAACACAGACTTGCAAAAGCACCTGCATGGAGCAGGCAACTGACTGTGAACTCTCCGAGTGGACGGAATGGACAGAGTTTATGAGATGTGAATGGTTTCTCTAATCGCCTCGGGTTTTACTCTACCAAAGTACTTCGTCGTCTTCTGCATGGTGTAAATATCATGAACGTGGTCACTACTAGTTCCTCTCCTCTAACCGCCGCAACATTCCTGATTGTAGTGCGGAATCGGCAACTACACCGCAGAAATACCGAGAGAGACACGTTGTCCGGGAAGCACAAGGGACAAAAGCAAAGCTGTGTCTCGGAGCTTTGAAGGAGACGCAAAGCTGCACAAGTGAATACCGGACGCAGTGTTTATGGATGAGTGAGTGAGTCTAGGAGGACACAGAGTTTATACTTGTATTTGGGCTGCGTATTTTACCTTAGTGAGTGAATGATTTTCAGACCCCGTCTCTACGGTTGCCACGAGTCATGGCAGTATCAGGGACATAAACATGACCTGACCACGGAGGCTTAATAGAGCAGATGCAAGCAGACGAATGAGTGATGGTATTGAAAGGGATCTCTTCATATTTCGAGGGCGTCATAGCGGCTTTGTGGTCGCATGAAGAGGAGCATGCCCAAGACTGCAAGGTCTCCGAGTGGAGCATTATGGCATGTGGGACACTGTGACATCTCCGTGTCTATCGTATCTGAGACGCTGGCAGCTTCTCTATAGATACTATAGTATAGCTTTCTGTGTATGAGTGTAGAGTATAATACTAGCTTCGTAACAACTTTCGTATCGCTTTGTTGTCTTCTAGCATTGTGAATTAAGGGGAAGAAGTCTTCTATATGACCTCTAGACTGGCGGGTACACTACTGCCATACACTACTTCTACTACTAGCATAGCATAGTTATGCCCAACAAGAAGAGCAGGCCACTCTAAGCTTCAGTGGTCAGCGTGTTCGCATACATGCACTGGAGGTCAACAGAGCCGGTCGCGGGAAGTGGTGCAATACCCGAAGCTGGGAGGCCTGGGATGTGGTGATGGACACTCGCTTCCCCTGGATGAGGTTCGGGCCTGCAACGAGGCGATAGCGTGTCCTTCTACGGGAGAAAGCGATGGCGTATTTTTTTGAATTGTCGTTGGTTAGGTAGGACGTAAGTATTTTTTTGAATTGTCGTTGGTTAGTTAGGACGTAAGTGCTAGGGAGAACAGCTAGAAGTAGAACAGGTGAGTAAGGACGGGTACTAGTAGAACAGGTTAGTCAGAAGTAAAGTGGTCTTAAGTTTAAGTATACGTAATTATATCTGCTGGATATCAACATGAGTAAAAATGTAAATCCATACGGGTTGTTTCACTTGCAGGCCCGAGACTGTCAGTATTCCGAGTGGTCGGAGTGGGAAACGTGCTCCACGAGTTGCGGACCCGGAACGCAAGAACGGCGTAGGGATGTCACTCTAGGGCCACTCGGAAACGGAAAAGCGTGTGAGGCGAAGGTTTTAACCCAAGTTCAGGGGTGCAACGTAAAAAGCTGCGGAGATGCTGCGGATTGCGTAGTTGGTGCTACATTTGATTTGGCGTTCTTACCACTATGGTGTCTACCATGAATTTGTAATTTTGTAATTGTTCATCTTCCTACTTCAACATAACGTGGGTTGAATTTTTTCTCCTTCACATCGAATTATCCCCTACCAGATTTACAAGAAAAAAAACACAACACTAACGTTGAACTCATTCCCACACTATAACGTTGACGTTCCCACACTAACGTTGACGTTCATTCAGGACCCTGGTCTTCCTGGGGTGAGTGTTCGGCGACGTGCAATGGCGTACGGAACCGAACTCGTGCGATAGAGACGTATCCCGGCTACGGTGGGAAGGCCTGCGACGCTGTCCTACACGAGGCCCAGGCGTGTAATGTAGAAGCCTGCGGAGCGCTTCAAGCGTGGGCCGCCGAAAAATCCTCGGACAGTGACTTCATTATGTTGACAACCGGTTTATTAGATCGTTTTGACATAGAAGTACAACGGGCCGCTGTAGTCGCCCACTTCTCCGATAAGTGAACTACTTCAACAGGAGTGGAATAACACTACTACAACAACTTCTCTTGCTCTAACCTAAGCCAGCCACAAGATTGTGAGTTGTCAGACTGGGGAGATTGGTCGGCGTGTGAGCCCGCTTGCGGTCCAGCGTCTTCGCGAAGGCGGACACGTAAAATTGCGAGTCCATCTATGAATGGAGGGAAAGAGTGTGCGGAACATTTGGTAACTTTCTCATGTAATTGTAACGTACTTATGTGGTAGGGTAACTTTGTCATGTAATTATAACGTAAGTACTTATGTGGTACTAGAAGCACAAGAAGTGAACTAGAACTTCTCATGTACTGAAATGAAATTTTCCTAGTGAGGGCTCCACCACAACTTCTCTTACAACAAGGTTCTCTCCGAAATTGCCCCGTGCGAGGACTGGAAGCCCTGTGATAGTGCAGGTAGTTGCAAATTAGGCGAGTGGGAGGACTGGGGCGACTGTAGTGTGAGCTGTGGCGTCGGTCATATGACGAGGAAACGAGTGGTGGACAAATTTCCAAAGCTATGTGGCGAAGCGTGTCCAAGGGATACGTTGGAGGAGGTAGCACTTAGTACTCCTGATAGATGGTCGTTGATCAAGGACGAAGACTTTCTGGCTAGGGTTTTGGATGATTTTTGTTATCGACGGTTTGCTCTTGCCCTTTCATCTTAACTCGACGATGAATCTTCAGCAATGCCAATGTGTTTGTGCATGTCAGTACTGCTACTCCTTGTCCCCACCCCTATCTCCAGACCAAACCGTGCAAGGGTTCCGGTAGCTGCGAATGCGTAGACGCAAAATTATCAGGTTGGAGTAGTTGGACGTCTTGTTCCTGTCTGGGTCTCCAGGAACGGCATCGTTCTATCCGGGAGCACGCGAACCACTGCGGGAAGCCATTGGACAAGGGATATTCACTTTATGGCGAGAGACAATAGAAGTTCAAAAAAGAGGTATACGGGTTTAGGGTACACATTTGTTGTCTAATTTTTTTTTATTTTTTGATCTAATATCCAGTGGAGACAAAGCAGTGCGTGCCTAAAGACTGCGGTGACAAAAAGCAGGATTGCGTTCTTAGCAGATGGAGTACGTGGAGTGAGTGCACTGCTACCTGTGGCGGCGGACAGCAGTTTCGGAGTCGAAAGATTGACATTCCATCCGCATTGGGTGGCGAACCATGCTTGGGACATTTAAGGGAAACGAGAGAATGCGGGATGTCGCTCTGTACGAATCCGAAAGACTGCGAAATATCAGCGTGGACTAAATGGAGCGATTGCACTAAGTACGATTTTATACAGTTGTGACTGTTCTTGAAGTAAGTACTCGAATAGTTAAACTAGCTAGCAAGTAACAGGTATGACTATAATAACCGTGTATCTTCGACTAATTGCGTCTCATTTTGGACAAATGGACTGATCCTTTTTTTTCGTCATATGCAAGCAAAGTGTTCTACCTAAAACCACCACGGCAGGAGCTGCGATGGCGGGCAGGAGTTCCGACAACGGGTAATGATATCAGGCGCATCTCATGGTGGGGCAGGATGCGCAGACCAATTGTCGGAGATACGAGGTTGCAACCTCCAGCCCTGCTCTCTAGACGTAAAAGACTGCAATTAAGGATTTGGTTTTATTCCTCGCTGTTGCGCGATTTGCTTTTCCAAGTGCTCAATAGCGTAAGATGCAATGTAATGATAGTGCTACTTCTTGTCTGTTATAATATACGAACATACAACTCTAATACTCTTGGTCTGAATGGAGCGAGTGGTCTGCGTGTAGTCAGAGCTGCGACGGAGGGTACAAACAAAGGGACCGGGCAATAGCGGCTAGTCCAAGACACGGAGGGTTGCCATGTGAAGCGAGAGCAAAGAGTGAGTTGGTATTTTGTTCCTCAGCAGTTTATCATCGTGGTGAACATATACTATAGATATATGACGCCTCGTCCATCCAACTGAGCTTCAATCAACTTTCCTTTTCAATCAAACCTTGTGAAACAGGCACCGTGCAACACACAACGATGTCGACTGGAGTGTATAGACGGCAAGTGGGACGCCTGGTCTGAATGGTCTCATTGCTCAGCATCCTGTGGTGATGGTGGTGTGTCGACTAGACATCGTTATGATGAAGATGCTGAACCACGAAGCGCGTTGTAGATCGAAGTAGAGTAGTCTTCTCTTTCACCCCTGGAGTGGGTACATTCATTCACTCATTCAAATGAATGTTGATGTAAATAGCTCCTTGCGATTTATATTTTTGAGAAAAACCAAAATCTTCATTGAGGAGCTGCATTCCCTTCTATCCATCCAAATGACATTGAGGAGCTGGATTCCCTTCTATCCATCCAAATGACGTTGACCCGTCTTTCTCAATTTGATCGCTCTCACTCTCTGCATCAAGAGCTACTACCTTATGCTATTGACAAAGTGTACACACTGTAGCAAATTTATGCTCACCTTGCTTTCATTTTCTTGCGGTAAAAGTTTGGCCTAGCGCATGCGGAAAAGGCGTTGAGGGGTCTACGTGGGAAGTGAAGGAATGCAACCGAGTTCCATGTGAGCAATCGGTCGACTGCCAATTATCTGAATGTTATGCTTCTTCAGTTTGGCTGTTCCTGTACGCACCATCGTTGCTTTCACGTGTAATTCTAATTTGTTTTCAATCTATCACTTGAGTGGAAGTTCTAAACGGAAGGTCTAAACGGAAACATACAATTTTTCTACGTCCCACCGCGAATGTGAGAACAACTACATCAAGACCGACTAAGTACACTAAGTACGACTAAGTCTGTAACAGACTCAACATCTAATCTTCGTCGTCCTGGTCCTCATGCTCTAGTGATTGTAACGGCGTCAGGCGGCGCAGTCGGGAGATGAAGGTGGAGCCGGCCAATGGCGGCAAAGGCTGTGGTGGGCCTCTTGAGGTCATAGAAGGTTGCAATTTGCCTGATGACGGCTACGCAACGTGCTCTGATAGCGATGCGGGCAGGAGCGGTAGCAGTGTTATGGTTCGATGCTGTGATTGATGGGGTGATTATTGAGGACGAAGGCAACTTAGATTAAATTCACGCTGGATGTGTGTCGTGTGAAGTACTGACATGACATGACATGACATGACATGACATGACATGACATGACATGACTTTTTCCTTCGCTTCCGACTCATCAGTTGGTGAAGTAGCCCTACATCCGCCTAAGGATGATGGATAGTCGGTCAATGCATTTTCCACACTAGCGCAACTTTACATCGGCTTATAGTAAACGTGATTAACATATGAATTTACTGTTCTAATCTCCCAGTCATCGACTGCAAAATGAGTGAATGGGGAAAGTGGGGAAAGTGTACCGCAGTGTGCGACCAAGGAATCCAGATACGGGATCGAGAGGTAGAGACAGCGGCATCGGCCGGAGGCAAACCCTGTGGCATACAACCAACCAGAGAAATGCAAAGCTGCAATAAAAAGCCGTGCCTTGGGCCGCAGGTACTTGTTAGAGATTTGTCTTCTTAGCAGGTACTTGTTAGAGGTCTTGTTGTGGGTATTGGTTGCGCAATAGGAGAAGGACCAAATTTTTAGGATAATCGTCGATCTCAACAACATTCAGGATTGCGCCTTCAGTGACTGGTCCGAGTGGTCCAAATGCAGTCAGTCATGCGGTGGAGGTATGCAGCAGCGGATTCGCGTGATTGATAAGGTAGCTCGCCGTGGAGGCAAGCCGTGCGAGTTGGAGAGCACAAAGTTGGTCCGACCGTGTAACGAAGATTTGCCCTGTAATAGTACAGGTGCCGTAGAATTTGAGCATGGCAATGGCAGCTTCAACGGGGTCGCTTCATCATCATCATCGGACCAAGCAGGGCAAGAGTTATGATCGATTTGATTTGTCTACTTTCACTTTGATGGAGATACATTGATTGTGGAAGTGTTTTAGCAAGATAAGACGAAGGGGTAAATCTCAAATGAACTTCTTTGATTTGTCTTTGATGTAGGTATTTCGAAGATTATATAATCTCAAATGAACTGCTAATATCTTCAGACGAGGTACCTGAAATCGATTACAGCGTGAAAACGGACAAGGGATTAGTACCCTTCAGCCCTGACCAAGTTTGTGGGTGGGAACCGTGGAGCGCCTGGGGCAAATGTAGCACGACCTGCGGGCAAGGTGGCGTGCAAGCGCGTACTAGACATTTTGTTATGCTGATGTGCGGTCTTTATCTCGGAAGATCCCGAAACAAACCTATTATAGAGAATCAAATGGCTCCAATCTTGAGGTGCTTAGGCCACTCTCATTTTCAAGGAGGTCATCTCATCTCAGAAAAATCCGCGTTTTGGCTCTCTTCAACAATTAAGTACTGGAACACCACCTCGTGCTAGGTAAATGAATGAATGAATGAATAAAAGCAGATGCAGTAATATTCGTACATCCCTTCTAATCTTGGTCTACGACCGCGCGGTAGCGACAAGGAGACATTTTACTCGGAAATATCGCGAACAAAGGAAGAAAATGTTGCTGAGGACAGTGGAGGCTGGCTGTTCCGGGTCAACAATCAAGATGCGGAAAACCCTGGGCAAGCAACGAGCAGAGACAAAAAAGTTGAAAGGATAGGCGAAGAGGAGAAATCGCGAAAAGGAAGAGGTAATATTTTTACCATTGCTTTTATATACGACGTTTTGATGAGGTACCGCTTGCTGCTTTGAGATTGACACGTTGTTTAAATCATTGAAGTAAGAACAGCATCCAGCGTATAGTGCTTTCTTCAATCTTCCACACTCAACCCGCTCTTGAACAACAACCACACCAATAGGTTTTTGGACAAAAGCTGGTCTTTTTTTAGTAGGCCTTGTGTCATCGTTGGGGACGTTGACACTTTTGTCCCGACTTTTCCGCAGGCGTTCGCAGGATGCGCTAGCCAACGAACCCTTTGTCCTAATTGAGGATGAGCAGGGAAATTCATACGCTATATGACTAGGCTTGTAATAAAGTCAAAAGTTGTGCTGGTTGCACGAAATTAGTCTGGCTAAGTGAAAAAGTTTACAACTAAATATTCGTTTTCTTTTTTAGTTAGGGCTTTATTGAAACAAACTATAGAACAACCCCGAAGCCGAAGCTCTAAGCCTACTTCATTGAAATTCAGTACTCTCACGAAACCGTTCACAATGAAATAGAAATTTTCCTTTTTCGCTGGGCGAATTTTGCGAGGATAAACATGAATACTTTTGTCAAAAAATATTTGATTATGATTCCTTGGGCATTTTGAAATTAAATGATAAAAACTGAAGCAGTCCTCGCTTCGCGGACGACAGAAAGAGATCACAGCTGCAACAAGGATTTGATTGTTTCGCTAAGAGAATTTAACAGCTGAAAGTGGTGGATCAGGATCTTTCAGCTGTTAAAATAGCTGTCACAGACGACCGACGAAGGCGATCCACGGAATATTCTCCTTGAATCTGAATGATAAGAAATGACCACAACAGTAGCTCCAAGAGATCCCACATATTATATGCGGAGTAGAGACGATGATCCGACGAAAAAGAAATCAGACTGAGTAGCTTGCAAGAGATCGCTAGTGTCGGTCTCAGTTACGACTAGGAACTGTCTGTGGCAAATGGAAGGCCTAAGAGGTGAGATCTCGCTGCACGATACCACTTCGAGTTCCAACTTAGACTTCTAGCAGTCTTGCTTCAGTAGAAATCCTGCTACGGCAAATTCTAATGGCAATTCTAATGGCAAAATTTATGGTCCATTACCTACTTCATTTTTTGCAGCTACAGCTAAGCGTTGTATTTGATTTATTTCAACGATTGGTGTCTAACCTACTTAACATATAGAGAGAAAGGATGTCGCGGTCTTCATCCTCGATGGATCGGACCTGGGCTGCCTGGGCTTCGCTGTCTGTTGCTGGCGCAGCAGCTACTGGGACAGCACTCTACTTGCACTGGAGAAGAAGGCGTGATGCTGAAATCTTACTAGAACAAGAAAAGCAGAGAGAAAAGCAGAGTGGCGAAGATGAAGTACTTAGAAGCAGTAACCGACAGGATCATGAGAGGCCAACAGTACAAGCGTCGCGGCCACCAGAGGACACATCATTAACACCCGGTAGTAGTTCGGAAGGAATAACCTCCCCCGACCATGGACCACAAAGCCAAGAACAACTGGAAATGAGAAGAACCCTCGTTCTTTTCGGACATAGCAATAGTTTGAGCGAACGTCTAGCGACTATCGCTGCGATGGCTTTGGGCACAGTAGGTGCGAAAAGAAGTGCTGGTGAAGACGATGATGAAGTTCCACTGTTCAATCGTGTAACTAGAGAAACCGTGAAGTTAGCACCTCGTACTAGCGATGTGCCAGCGGTGCAGCTGACCCGATTTGACCAGGTAGATTTGGAGGACTTTGCATTCTTCGACCAGATCGTGTTTGTGCTGGCAACCTTTGACGACGGTCCCCCAGAACCAGCTCGAGTGCTGTGCGAGCAGATCGGCGAGGCCGCAGTAGACCATCGTTTTGGAAGTGCGACACTGCGACATCTAGGTAGTGGTAGCAGCGCGTGTTCTAGTAGTACTGCGCGTGTTCTAGTAGTCGGTCTTGGCGACTGGAATTATGGCAGAGAACTCTACTGCAGCGAAGCGGTAAGGTTAGCCGAGAATTTGAAGAAGCTAGGTGCGACGAAACTGCGATTAGAAAAGGTCGATAGCGCAAGCTATTTGGACGATGAGGAATCATCCTCAACAACAGCACCCGCTGAAAAAGAGCCAACAGCCACGCCTCTAGAACGCATGGAACGGCTAGTGATTCAAACTGTAGTCCAGTCATTGTTATCGCCAACAGCAGCCGTGAATGAAGATTCTGTGGAAAGTCGAGAGGGAGCGAACGAGGAACCTTCAGGTTGCTGTCAAGGAGGAGGTGGTAGTTCATCGGGAGGCGGTTGTTGTCAATCTAGTAGTAGCTCTAGTGGCCACAAGAACTCTGCTGCCAAGTCGCCCTCTAGTGCCTCCACCACTCTACCGGGAACTCCAGATGGACAAACCGTGGACAAACCGGGAGGCGAAACTTTCTCTGAGAGCGAGACAGAGTCTGAGGAATATAGTGATTCAGACGAAGGTGATAGTGATGCGGAGATGTTTGGCTCTGGACAAAATGATGCTGCAAACAAGGATCCTCTCTTTGTTCAAGAAGATGTGGAAGATTTTTTAACGGAAAATGCACAAAGTAGTTGCAGCAGCGGAACAACGGTTGGAGCGGCGAAAAATGGAAAGCAAGGGGACGCGACAGCGGCAGGTAAGAATTTTGTTTGCTCTTTTGATCTTATGGAAATCTAAGAACTCTTGGAATGATACTACCGTAAAAATTGAGATTGTTATCCTCGTATTCAGTTATATATAGTACAACACAAGTTGTGAAGATGGTCAACATCCTTGTATTCACACAATTTTTAGGACTTATTTCTGCTATCAAAAGATGATGTCTCACTACTACTTTGAAAACCTAAATCAGCCCCGGTGAAGAAAAAGAAGATGTTGTCAACGCGCCAGCGCGAGAATCTAGCAAAGGAGGGTTACAAAGTCGTCGGCCAGCACTCAGCAGTGAAGCTCTGTCGCTGGACGAAGCATCATTTGAGAGGCCGGGGCGGGTGCTACAAACACACCTTCTATGGGATTGCCTCTTTATCCTGCATGGAAGCTACGCCATCCTTAGCATGTGCTAACAAGTGCGTCTTCTGTTGGAGACACCATAAGAACCCAGTGGCGAAAAGGTGGGAATGGGAAATGGATGAACCGAAACTCATAGTAGAAAACTGGCTAGCAGAGCACGCAAAGATGGTAAAACAGCTAAAGGGTGTACCCGGCGTTACACCCGAACGGTTCGAACAAGCGAAAAAGATCCGGCATTGCGCTCTTTCCCTCGTAGGCGAACCCATCATGTATCCGAAAATTAACGAGCTGCTCCACCTGCTGCACAAGGAGAAGATCTCTACATTTTTGGTGACCAACGCGCAATTTCCAGACGAGTTGAGAGCCTTGGGTCCAGTGACGCAATTGTACCTCAGTATCGACGCGCCAACTAGAGAAACCCTGAAAGCGGTGGATAGGCCTTTGAAAGAGGATTTCTGGAGCTTGTTCTTAGACTCCATTGATGCTCTACGAGAAACGAAATTCTCCAGAACGGTGTTCCGGCTGACGCTGGTACAACTGCTCATACTTGCTCTTATTCTTATTCTTATTAAGTCTACTTATACTATTATGGTTATTTCTGGAGCTTGTTCTTAGACTCCATTGATGCTCTACGAGAAACGAAATTCTCCAGAACGGTGTTCCGGCTGACGCTGGTACAACTGCTCATACTTGCTCTTATTCTTATTCTTATTAAGTCTACTTATACTATTATGGTTTTGTCGTCATCGTCTGAAGCATGATGAAGACGATTTCATTCAGCATCTACGAACTCTCATGTTCTTCAGCGTGATTTCCCATATGATCTCCTCGCATCGTTTCCTTATTGTTGTCAACAGGTGAAGAACAAAAACATGGACGATACTCACGACTACGCAAAGCTTATCAAGCGAGGACAGCCAGATTTTATCGAAATTAAGGGAGTAACCTACAATGGCGACGGACCAGGCAAAGACAAGATGACGATGAAAAGCGTACTAAGACTTGTTGAATTTTTTGTTGTATCATCGGATGTGATCGTCCCCTAGGGAAGACGTTTCCTTCCTAAACCTCTCCAAATTAATCCCGTGGCACCCGGGGCCAGTGGTTCATAGTTTTTGTTGGACAGTAACGGAGATTAGTTTCTGATGAAGCGGATTGTTTTTCCATTTGCCTTATAATTACCTTATAATTAGCGATTACTACGACGATCCCCACCCACAGGTCCCGTGGCACCCGGAAGTGGTTGCGTTCGGCAAATCAATCCTCGAGTATGAAGGTCTGTCAGACGACTATGAACTAGCTTGCGAGCACGAGCACTCTCTGATCATTTTGCTCGCTAGGAAGAGTTTCTACGACAAGGAGAAGCACGAGTGGCGAACGCACATAGATTATTCGCGCTACATCGAGCTCGTGGAGTCTGGAGAGTGGCGAACCAAGACCAGTCTCGACTATGCGTGCTCGACACCAAGTTGGGCGCTTTCCGGTTCGCCGGAGAAGGGGTTTGATCCGAAGGATACGCGAGTTTATAGGAAGAAAAAAGACAAATCTGCTGCCGTAGGGGATCTCGCAGAGGGGACATCTGCAAATACTGGCGCGGCTGGTGGTGCTTGAGTGGTCACCAGTCGAATAAGAGACCCTTGATGTCAACATTCATTTTCTAATTGTTTGTTATCATGTTGGAGTAGAATAGAACTACCCTATAAAATGTCTTTGTTTTTAGACCTATCGTTCATATGTATCATACGACTCATGCGACCCCTAGCACAAAGGAGTGTCAATCTAAGGTAGAATATCAACAGACCTCAAGAGGAGTGTCAATCTAAGGTAGAATATCAAGAGGCCAATCAGACGCATAATACTCAAGGCGATAGCATCTTCGAAAATTTCGAAAAAAGGTTCCAAGAAGGGCCGACAGATTCACAGTAGTCCATTTTGGTCTTCTATATCGCTTGGCTCTACGACCACAGGAGGTACTGTTTTTGAGAAAACGACAAATCACATCTGGAGTTTGCTCTTCTCGTCTACCCCAAACTAAAAATGCTGTGATTTGCTCAAACAGACATCGACGAGGAGCATTGTTAGGAAGACAGGAGCGTCGGTGTTCGGAGGATCAGATCTGCAGGTGGCAAGGTAGCATTTTAGATCTACTGCGGATAGGGAGCTGGAGTACGACTGTTTCGAGGCGACGGAAAAGGAGGATCTTTACGAGAAAAAAATCGGTCACCAGAAAAAGTGATAGCTTTTCGATTCTAGTGGTAAAGATGGATGATCATCTATTTCAGGATCGCACTATCTTCCTTCATCACAGATCTACAAACTTCTTCTTTCAGGATCCATTGGAGACCTGATCTTGCATCACAGAGATCCCTGAATCAAATGAAAAAACCACTTAGATGAAGGTTGTGCCTCTCACCAGGTACGCATATGATGTCTCTTCGATGTTTGTAGCTTCTATCGTCTGAGTATTGTACCTCTTATCTTCCACTTGAGTAGTCTAGTCCATCTAGTTCTATAAGTATAAAGCAACTCTTACTCTCTTTGTTGCGGCACTAAACAGAGACGGTCGGCGAAAAGGGGTTTTTTGAAGTATCTATTAATACGGATTAATACGGCGACCTTGAATGTGGGTATGTGATCAGTCGGCTGTTGTAGCAGAATTAATATTTTACGCTGATTATCCTTTCCTCTCACTTGTAACTAAGCTGCGATGAATTCATGTTTATTCTGAGTAGAAGACTAAACCGTAGCTCGGATAGTACCTACTATGGCAGCGCCAGCGGACGATCCTTATGCGCTGCCAGCGCAACGCAGTGGCCAAACCAAGAAAACCAAGAAGAAAGCAAAAGCGACAGAGAATGATCGCGACCTTGAAGAAAGAGCCAATGATCATGTTCGTGGACGTGGGCGTGCTGGAATTGAACGTAGCACCGCCACAGCTGGTGAAAGCCGCAGTGAAAGGCCAAGCGAGAAGGACAAGGACAATGTAGAGAGAAGGATAGCGTGTGAGCCTGCCACTAGGGAAAGCAAGAACCTGACTAGCACGACGAAGGAGAGCAACTTCAAGCCAACTAGTGACCTCTTTGGAGGTGCATCGTCATTCAAACATGGTGGCGTGCCAGCGACTAGCGTTGACGAACCTCCAAGAAGTGCTCGTGGTCGAGATACGAGGACTGTTGGTGAAGAGCGTGCACGACCATCGAGAACTGACGCTGGTGTAGTTCGTGCCCGCCCATCGAGAACCGACGAGCAGCCCGCTTTCCCTGGACAAACGAGTACTAAGAACAAGGAGGCTAAAGCGGCTAAAACGTCTACAGCAAAAGGAGCGAGTTCCAGCGGAGGCCCAAAAAACCCTTTAAAAGACATCGAACGCGTGCAGATTTTATTTCCAGTGCCTTCAGGGCTGAGCAGTTCTGTATCCTGTTTCCCTGATGAATTGCGTGTTTCACCGGACTGTGGAGTACCCGATGGCACGCCAGTGGAAGTAGCTGGGCGTGTTGTTTTGCGCATCTACAACGACCCCGGCATCCGTTCCACCACACGTTCTTATGTCACCGCAGCGTGTGCGGCACGCATTGTTCGGAGCGTTGTTGGTTCCAGATTAAATGTGGATTTTATAGGGAAAGGGAAAATCGATCTGCGCACCTTCGGTTCCAGATTAGTGGATTTTATAGGGAAAATCGATCCTACGCACACCACTTTCAATGCTCCAGAGGTGAAGGCGATGCAAGAGCGCTTGGATGCGATGGTGGCGCACACGAGTTCCCCAGGCGCTGATCCGGCGACACCGTTCTTCTATAGTGTACCCGTGAGTCGACTAAGACTCGAGCTGGTGCAACCGCAACGCAAGGACTTGCCAAGGAGTTTCTCCTTGGAAGGGACGCTTGCGAGTATCCTGAAAGGTGGATTTTTCGCGGAAGGGGAGTTGCGAACCGTGAGTCTTTTTGGTCGAAGGATGCTTGTGCGTGTGAAAGATGCCACTATACGAGCTAAGGATGGAGGTTCGAGTGCAGAAGTAGGTCCGACCTTAATAATGGGTGTTGCTTCTTCTTCCAGGGCACCAGGAGGCACAAAAGCAGCAGCCACTAATAAAGAAGCTGCAAAGAATCGCAGCGTGTATTTTCAATTTTCAGAATTCGAAGCCGAGGATGGATCTAAGGCGCAACCAGAAGTGGAAATCGTGGAGTCAATGAGAAAAAACTCTTTCTCAGATCCAAGTCCCGTTCCAGCAGAGAGATCAAGTTCAAATCCTTTCGCGTCCTCTTCTGTCCCATTGACAGGCAACAGCGCAGCTTCGTCATCCACAAGTGCGCGTCCATCTGTGTCTCCTAGTACGGAACCTTCGACAAGACCCCTCTTGGAGGATGCTCCTGGTGGAAGTATTCAATCCACAACAAACAAGAGCGCGAGTAAGGGCTTTGCTCAAGTGGGTGGCCTAGGCGAGCGGATCGCCCAATTGCGGACGCTGATCCAACAACCGCTATTGCATCCAGAGCGCTACTTGAAGTATGGACTTGCGGTTCCAAAAGGAGTCTTGCTCTATGTTAAGGGTTTCCGAATTACATCCCTCACTACCATCCTTGTGACTTTTTTTCCAGTAGGACGAAAGATGTAGTTCTACTTCACTATTCTCATGATTTCGATGTCTAGTGTCGTTTAAGTCTTTTCAAGGATGTTTTTCGAAATAGGTCAACAAGGGGAAAATAGGTCAACAAGGATGTGGTGAAGAATGCAACTCGGCAACCTCTAACTATGGCCCCCCTGGCACAGGAAAAACCCTGTTGGCGAAGGCTTTAGCCGAAGAACTGGGCTGCCACGCAGAGATCGTGGAGGCAGGCGACTTGAGTTCCCCCTACGCGGGCGAGACGGAGCAGCGCGTGACAGACATATTCCGAAGGTGCCAGGAGAAGGCTAATGAACTGGTGGAAGTTTCTGCGAATGCACTAGAGAAGTCAAGTTCGAATCATGTTGGGTCTGCGAATGCACTAGAGAAGCGTCGACGTCCACGTGGTGCGCTGCTTTTTGTAGATGAAATCGACGCCCTGTGTCCAAAGCGCGAAGAAGCCTTATCCGAGTCTGAGCGACGTGTGGTTGCCACGTTTCTGACACTTTTGGATGGTGTAGGGAGTAAAGAATCCTCATCCGCGAGTCAACGAGGCTCAGTAGTCTTGCTTGCGGCAACGAATCGACCCAATGCTTTAGATCCTGCTCTACGCAGGCCTGGCCGTTTAGATCGGGAGATAGAGATAGGCGCGCCTAATGCCCAAGGAAGGTTCGAAATTCTCAGGGTGTTGTTGGACCGGATGAAGGAGCGATCGTCGGGAGATGATGAGGATAATGATAATACGAGGAATTATGATCCTCTTGCACAACAGGAACAGCTAAATGGTGGTAGACTTGGAGGACTTGGTGGGCAACTTCTTTGGTCTATAAACGACTCAGATCTCCGAGAGATAGCCCAGGACGCTCATGGATTCGTAGGTGCGGATCTCGAGGGACTCTGCAGTGCGGCAGCACTACTGGCCATGAATTCACCGGTCAACGTTGGTCATGGGGCTTCTTCTAAATCGCAGACATCAGCCGTCTCTTCCCCAGTAAGTGCTTCTTCTACATCACAAGCAAGAAGAACGGTGTCTTCCCCAGTACTAGGTGCGAAGGAGTTCTTCCGCAAAGCGCTGCGGAGTGTACGCCCGTCTGCTCTCAAGGAACTGGCTGTAGATGTGCCCAATGTCAGATGGCAGGACATTGGAGGCTACGCAGACCTGAAGGAAAAGCTCCAGCAGTCAGTGGAGTGGCCTCTCAAGCATGGCGCACTATTTGAGAGTCTGAATCTCGTTCCACCACGAGGCATTTTACTTTACGGCCCACCGGGATGCTCCAAAACGTTGATGGCGAAAGCAGTGGCTACCGAAAGTCAGATGAACTTTATCAGCGTGAAAGGGCCCGAGCTGTTCAACAAATACGTAGGAGAAAGTGAGAGGCAAGTCAGGGAAATCTTCCGGAAAGCAAGGCAGACGCAGCCGTGCGTTATTTTCTTCGACGAAATCGATTCCGTGGCGGCAGATAGGGGAGAAGGGGCAGGTAAAAAGCGCATAGATTTATTTTGGTGAGACTTGCGTAGGTAGCATTTAATTGTTGAAACAGGCGATACTGGACCCGTGGTTCACCTGTGTGGTATTTCAGATGTATTTTGCACTGCGTAAGTCACAGGATTTTGTTCGAATAAGCCGCCTATTTCTTCAAACTGAGCATTCACTTGTCTGTAAATAAGCCACTAGATAACGACCACTTGCAAATATCTGCGAAATGAACAATGTACAGGGGGTGCCTCATCCGTTGGTGCGCGTGTCTTGTCGCAATTACTGAACGAAATGGACGGGGTTGGCAAAGCGCAAGACCTAGTTATCATGGCTGCTACGAATAGACCTGAAGCTTTAGATAGTGCCATTTTACGCCCCGGTCGCTTCGATCGGCTCCTCTATGTCTCCCTGCCCGATGCAGAAGCCCGAAAGCAGATCCTTCAAGGCTGTTTTGGCAAGATCTTTGCGAAATCAGAGAGCAGAGATTTAGTTTTAGAGGCGCTCTTGGAGGGTGAAGAGAAGGGAGAGGACAGTCGAAATGAAGATGCTGGTAGCGACACTGAAGATCCTGGGGAAGGCGTTGTCGAGGGATTATCTTCATCTAAACGAGCAGACGAAACTCTAGAGGCCCGCTTCAGTGCCTTTTTAGCAGACCTTGCAGTGAAGATGGACCGTTTTTCTGGGGCGGAGGTGGTCAACGTTTTCCAAGAAGCGTCCCTTTTAGCAGTACGCGAAGCTGTGCTCAACGGTGGAGGAGCTCGAAGTAGCCGCCCTAGGTTGACCAAGCGCCACTTCTTATCAGCTTTCGCAGAATCCAAACCTAGGACCAGTGTTGAAGCGATCAGGTTCTATGAAAGCTTTGAGCAGAAGATCAAGAGCTGAAAGTGCGGTCAGCCAAGGCTTTGAGCAGAAGATCAAGAGCTTAAAATGCGGGTCAGCGATGAGAATCTTCCGCAGAAGAACGAGAGATGGATAGTTGCAGAAAGTGAAGAATTAGATTCGCTTTAGCTTTGTTCTAGAGGCCTTGAGTGCTGTATTGCTTTCTGCAGCTCGCAATATTTTAGATACAGTTTTCTCACCGATATTTCGTTCTTCGGATGAGCTGCGCATTTGTATTCTCAGAGTGTAAAATCACTCTGTGCGCGTTTCCACGACCGCACAGCCTTCCTTTGTTTTCCCCCTTCCAAGTCAAATCAAGAAATTCTACCTGTGCTAAAGTCGCGTAACGAAGGAAAGAAAAATCGCGCTTCTGTTCCGTATAATCGTTTCAAAAAAAGTCGCCGCAGGGGAAGACTAAATCTGTCATTTAACCTCCATCTTTTGATCTAAAGATCTGCTCCAGTCTCTGCCCAGGAGGTTATTTTCATTTGTGCACAATGATACTAATACCCAATGATAGTACAACATGTCACCACATGATACAAAGTAAGCATGATGATACTCTTTTTCCGAATCCCATCGTCGGAGGGCGATGCAGATGTGGAAAAAATGCACCAAATCAAATTAAGCCGCAGTCTGACTATATCTTGCTTTAGATACTAGGAGAACCCTTTTTCTTTAGATCAAGAGCTGTCACAGCACAAGGTCTTCCCCGTTCAACCGTGATGACTACCTTATTCGCAATGCTTTGTCTTGATTCTAAGACGAAGGTGATGCAAAACATAATCAATCCTTACTATACTGACAAAATTCCCTACTCTACTGACACGCACTTCCGTTCAGAAATTGATCCCAAGACGTGAAAGATCCCAAGACGTGAAAGATCCCAAGACGTGAAAGATCCCAAGACGTGGAAGATCCCAAGACGTGAAAGATCCCAACACGTGAAAGATCCCAACACGTGAAAGATCCCAACATGTGAAAGATCCCAACATGTGAAAGTTCCAATATTTTGACATCGACACTGAGATGCCCGCTTTTTTCGCTCATGTTTGGATGTTTGTGAGACTTTCCAACCGTTCTAAAGATCTGAAGAAATCCAAGGTCGATGAAGGTCGACTGAAGAAACTGCGGGTCTATGGAAAATTTACGTTCTAAAAATAGGAGAAATTCAAAGCTGAGAAAATCTAAAGATTCGTTGAAAGACCAGTCAATGAAGATGGTCTGAGGATCCGCCTTCGATCTAAAGATCTCGCCACCAGTTTGTAATACTCGAGGAAACAACACGGGCTCTGAAGTGCGACTTGTTGGCCGGAGCTGGTCGAAGATCCTTTTCTCAAGATATTCACCCCGTCCTCTGTAATAAATCTAAAAATAAATATCAAAGCATCAAAACATTATGCGCTACTACTTCTACCTAAATCGTCTGCTCATACCTATTTCACCCACTTTCTCTTACGAACGTCCACAGGGAAACGAGACAAAAGAACCTCCATTTAAGTAGACTCTGAGGTAAAACACAAGACCAAAATGGGAAAGGCTCGCGGAATCCGTACTGCCCGTAAGTTGGTCAACCGTCGTCGCACTCAGCGATGGGCCGACAAGGACTACAAGAAGGCGAACTTCGGTACCTCTTTGCCTGTTTTAGATTTAGATTCCACTAGAAGGCACACGCATACGCGGATGAGTAAATTTGTTGCTTCGTCGGACGCTTTTGCGACTGATGATCCACACAAAATATCCTTTAAGTTTCAAACTGAGCTGTGCCTCTACTTCTGTGGAGTTCAGTCTAAGCTGCCACATCTAAATATCTTGGCCACTTGTATAGATGTCTCACAAAAGGAGAAATCATTCTGAACAATGGGCGAAAAACTTCCAGAGTCCTTGAAAAGGCCATGGTTATAATACAGAGTAGACCATATTTACTTCTATTATAATACAGAGTAGTCCATTATGATATCATGATGTGTCTTTCCTTCTGAAAGGATAGTAAAAAACCTCAGGTTCCGTCTACAAGTGCAATCCTTTCGGAGGCAGCTCCCACGCCAAGGGTATCGTCGTCGAGAAGATCGGTATTGAGGCCAAACAGCCGAACAGCGCTATCCGCAAGTGCTGCCGCGTTCAGCTCATCAAGAACGGAAAGAAGATCGCCGCCTTCGTCCCTAACGATGGTTGCTTGAACTTCATCGATGAGAACGACGAAGTACTATCTTTTTGCTTAGACTTCCTTATCTGTTTGTGTCTTTTTATTTCGACAGACCCATGTGATCGTTAATGTTTTAGATTTGAAACAAAAGCTTTCTTCCTAGCGTCGCGTGAAGCGAAAGCAAGTGCCACCACTGCTTCTCTCCCACCAACAGCAACAAACCTTTTTTTCGACACAAATCCAACATCAATTCAACATCAATTCAACATAAATACCAATGCACAATGATTCATAATAACAGGTCCTCATCGCCGGTTTCGGTCGTCGTGGCCACGCCGTCGGTGATATTCCGGGTGTCCGATTCAAGGTCGTCAAGGTCTCCGGTTGCGGTCTCTTGGCTTTGTACAAGGAAAAGAAGGAGAAACCGCGTAACTGAGCATGTTGCGATTACTTGCCTTGTGACGTATTCGATTTCGGAGAATATGGATCAGTAGTATGGCTTGTTATTTGTAACAGTGAGGAGACAGCGAGTTCTGGGAGATGCTTGGACTGTTGGATGGAGATAAGCTTTGGCACTAGAGGACCTCGAGGATTGAGGACGGATTCGCATCTGATGCAAGCTAAGTCAGCTTTAGGCTGAGCTTTGTTTCCTGTGTGATGATAATGTGCTAAGACGATTTTCGAAAACAGTCTAAACTCTTGTGCTTCTGCGACTACCTTGGAGGAAAAAGATGGTGCCTGGCCAGCCAGACACGTGCGACTACGTATTTGGAGTGTTCGATATTACCCTCTTACGTGTTCGATATCTGCAAAGGAGGTCTTCATCAAAACTGTCTCATTCTTAGTGTCGGTCTGTTTCATCATCATCGTTCTTTTGATGCAGGATAAACTAATGCTTCACACGGAACCCAAGTGCCGTGTCCACACCAGGCAGTATCTAAAATTGGCTTCTTTTAGATTTCTGTGAGATTTTGCAGTTGGCGATCATGATTTCAGTGTAGAGCGCGTCTGTGAAAGGAAACGGCACGTTGCGCGAGCGCGCCTTGCACGAGAGCGTTGAGAGAATTGCTGTGACCCCTGTAAACCCTCTGCACCTACTTTTTCGACCAGATTTTCCCGATTTCGTATAGGTATCACGTGTGGGTCCACTAAAATATAGCGTGTTTGAGTCAGTATGCCCGTGAAAGGAGGAACATCAGCCGCCAAGCTATTCCTGTATGTGCACATAAGTATTTTGTATGCCTTTACATTGCTTCATATGTAGATTTGACCAGCACAAAAAATGTCGCGTCTTCCCTGTTCTCGTGAAACACGGCCGTTTTTGCCTCCGAAAATCGTGGTGTCAATCCTGTCTCGACGTCGCATGGAGAATAGCATGTGAGAGAATCTTGGCGAGGGCGTTTGATCGGATTCGGTGGTGGCCTTTGTTCCGGAGGGAAACGGTAAAAGCGAGTTTGTAGTTGCTGGCCACCGATTGGCCAGCGATTGGGAGCTCGCTAGAAGAAGGTCCTCCTTCAGATTGTTCAAGTAATTCCACTTGAAACTTCTGAGATCTCGCAACTTCTGCTCTCGCACTGCTCTCGCTTTCTGGAAAGATTAGGAGTGTGATTGGTGTGCCTGGTTCTTCATCCAGGATATTCTCCCGTATGCGCCGTCTCAAAATCAGTCGCAGCGTCGTTCCTGCAGTTTCTGGGCAGCGATTGGGCGACAATTATTAAGGCATTTCTGGCTAGCGTAATTTCTCATAGATTTGCTTTTCCATACTTAAGACTCAAAGTGTAGGTGACAGTTATTTGAATTGAAATGTGCTGTTTAGCCTGCAGGTCAGTGTGTGGGGAGTGCTTCGTTCGAAGTGGACGACGGAACTGGGTCAGTTGCGTTCTAATGTGGAACTTGTCAGGCACAGAAAAGTTGGTGCGCGTCCATATGCTAAATTAACGCAATTCTGTTGTAAGTACTACCAATGACGCAGCGACTACAGCCTGTTCTGAGACCACAGTTCTCGAAAAATGGAAACTAGTCATACTGCCATCATCACAGACCTGCTTCTTGATGGTTGCTAATAACACGCAATACTCCGAAGTCAGTTTTTTTTTGAGCGTTCCGAGAGAAGGTGTTGATCTAGTTAATGTTACATATGTTCCATCAGCTTCCCAGTAATGGCACAAAAAGTAGACCTTAGTTCTAGAAGTCATACAAAGAAGGCCCTTAGCGCGAACAAAATACGCTGTTCTTGCGTAGAAGACCACAGGATATCAAGCTCGGGAATGTCTACTTAGTACACAACTCCATTTATAGTAGTCACTGAAAAATATGGTTCGTACTGCGACAGCCTCGCAGCATTTTTAGCGTCACTCTGCCTCGCCTTCGCCTGAGAAAAGGTGTTGAGCGTTCTGAGAAAAGGTGTTGATGTATTTAATTTTACATATGTCACATCAGCTTCCCAGCCGATAGTAAAGTAATGACACAAAAAGTAAGTAAACCTTACACAACTCCATTTAGTAGTCACTGAAAAATATGGTTCGTATTCTGACGGAGCGCAGCATTTTTAGCGTCACTCTGCCTCGCCTTCGCCTGACGTCGACACATCAAATAATTTTGGCGTCTCTTGCGCACTTCCTATTCAGCGGAGCAACGCGTGGCGTGCGCACAGTCTGATCGGGAACAGAGTAGAAGCCACTGCACGAAGAGAAATCAGTTCGAGCTGAAAACCGATTCCGAAGGTGATATGACTTCTTGGTGGAGCTGGGACACTATCCCTAATTGACTGGTCTCTTCAGCACCAAAGAAACTTGTACTCAACAACCTGTGGCAGCTTCTGCGAGCCTCTAGTACCCCAGACCAAGAGCAGAACCTTCTAGCGTCTGTCTTAGTTCGTAGTGGACAGCAGCAAAGATGACAGCCGCAAAGATGTCCGTGTGTGACATGTCGCCGGCTGAGTTGCGGCAGCAGGGGAATGACTTCTTCAAGGAGAAAAAATTTCAGAGTGCAGTTAGCTGTTACTCGCAGGCGTTGACGTTAAGGCCTTTTACAACCGAGAATAGTAACATGAGTCAAACCTAGTTGACGGCGTAATTATGTGCTCTCACTCTAAGTCCCGTAGCCGAAGCTTTGGGCAACATCGACGATCCAGCGGAGCTTGCAAAACTGTATGCGAATCGGGCGGCGGCTAGTGCAGGCCTCAACGACTGGGAAGCAGTCGAGCGAGATGCAGAGGCAGCGATTGAGGCGGACCCAAAATTCGTATCATTTTACTTATGATGGTTGGCGATTGGGAGTCGCTTGTGTAGCTTGTTCCTACATCTTCGGGATGCATACTACACAAACTGCATACTAGACAAACTGGTAGAAATTAGTTATGCAGACAACAACCCCGTAAACAACAATCCCGCAAACAAAGTTATAAACCCCACCCTTCCTCAAGCTCAAGCACGATGTACCCCTAGAATGGGTTTACTACTACTACTACTACTACATAATGCTGCAAACTGCATCAAACGAATGACACAGGTCAAAGGTTATTTCCATCTGCAACGGGCGCTGAAGAAACTGAAGAGGCCTGACGAAGCGCTGAGGGTGGTGGAAACAGCGCGAAAGTTGGCTCCAGAAAATGAGGATTTGAGGATAGCCTACAACGTTAAGGCTGTACCTAATACATCTTTGGGCGCATCCTTGAAACGTATGGAGGAGTATCCTAATGGAATACTACCCCATACTTTTCAAGGATGTACTTGAAAGATGAATTGCGGACAGCTCTAACAACGAGGCGAAGCGTTTGTGTAAGCGTTCAATTGACGACTACGAGGTCGTCAAAGAGGTGGGAACCGGCAATTACACGTCCATTTGTATCGCAAAAGATTTGAAGAGCAATGAAGAGGTACTAGAATCTTTTCAGCATAAGACATCTCCTGGAGTTATGTTTCTGCATCCATGTTTCTGCAGTGTCTCCTACATGGACGCTGTGATCGTTACATCTCCTGGAATTATGTTTCTGCATCCATGTTTCTGCAGTGTCTCCTACATTTTACCATAAGACATCTCCTGGAGTTATGTTTCTGTAGGAATCCTCTAGTCTCCCTACATGGACGCTGTGATCGTTTTTAAATAGGAGATGAGAATGCAGCGGGGATCTGATCGTTACAGACCTCCCCCTCTACATTCTCATCTCCTACTTGTCTCTTCACAGTAATACCTCCTCACAACTACAGGTGGCCTGCAAGATGGCGGACAAGCACAAGGTCCAGCACATGAAAAAGACGCACGAACTGCGTCGTGAGCGGCATATCCTAGATCGCTGTACACACGAAAATCTCATCAAGTTGCAGGAGTACTTCGCGGACGAGAGCCATATCTACATGATTCTAGACTACTGTCGCGGAGAGCTTTTTGAGATGGCTAAAATGTGCGGTCTAGGCAGAAATTTGAGCAGATACTACCTGGCGCAGGTGTTTCTCAACTCTTTTTTGGGAGTTTGAAAAATTGGTAGTTTGAAAAAAAAAGTTTGTTTTAACCAAAGAAGCTTGTCTTGGTAGTTTGGGCTCTATTCTTCAAGAATTCTGAAATCAAGTGATTAATATCCCGTTAACAATAAATCTGGCACGATTGGTGCAAAAGCAAACTCCTACCACGTTATGAATTTAATCACAATCCAAAGACCACAAACTCCCACCACCATTTATTTCTGAGTTACCAATCACCAAAATGAAAACTAGAAAACGCTCACTACGACCATTTTCAGGCACTAGCTGGCCTTTCCTATCTGCACAGCAAGGAGATTATGCACCGGGACATCAAGGCCGAAAATACCCTGGTTTGTCACAGAACTGGACTAGTGAAGTTGATCGACCTTGGAACCGGTAAGGACTTGAGGTATCCAGATTTGGACAAGGTAGTGGAGACAGGTCCTATGCGTCGCAGCTTCGTCAACTACGTCGGAACACCGCAGTTCATGTCTCCGGAATGTACTGTTTAAAGGTCTTTTTACACTGCAGTTCATCTCTCCGGAATGTACTGTTTATTATACCTACACTGTTCATACTTATACTGCCGGATAAAATACTGAGGCCCGCAGAGAGAGCAGGACACCACAGCAGAGCCTTCTAGCATGAGAGAACGAGTCAATAGTCTCGGTTCCAGCATGAGAGAACGAGTCAATAGTCTCGGTTCCAGCATGAGAGAACGAGTCAATAGTCTCGGTTCCAGCATGAGAGAACGAGTCAATAGTCTCGGTTCCAGCATGAGAGAACGAGTCAATAGTCTCGGTTCCAGCATGTAGTTCATGTCTCCGGAATGTACCTGCTTTGCGCTCCTCTTGAATTACACTTTCGACGAACCCTAGTATCACAATTGCAATAATTTAAAGTAACGTGTACAAAACTTTTGTCACGAATTCGAACTGTACACTACTAATGAGGAAATAGATCCTCTAACAAATAGACCTCTTGCCAGGCTGCTGCCTGGCACATTAATCAATCAACCAATCAATCAACTACCAGTGCCGTTCTTTACAAAAACCGATCATTTTTACTCCATAGAAATACTGACTTTGAAAAGTCTCAATCAATCCGCTACCAGTACCGTTCTTTACAAAAACCGATTTGATTCTTCACAAAAACCGAGCTTTCTTTTTGACACCTTAGGTATACGAAACGAGCTCTGTGGCTTTCCTTCCGAGTGTTGGAGTTTCGGCTGCCTCGTGTACCAGGTGGTTTACGGTATACCGGCATTCCATGCGGGCAGTGAGTATCTGGTGATATTGATTAAGGATAAGGTCAATAAGTTTGGCTTTTCAATGGCCCCGAATGCTCACCTAATTACCGGTGAGCCACTACTGAACTGAACTGAACAAGACATTGCACTCTCCACATGACATCATCCTTGACCTTTTACTTAGTTTTTTCAAGTGGGAATCAATAGGTCGAGGACGTCAAAAGGACTATATAATCAATAGGAAACCCTTTCTCTAAATTAAGGGTGATGAAGGATGATTTGGAGTTCCCTAGCGAAATCCTGTACCCGGAGGTGAACGATCTGGTGCGGCGTTGCTTGAAGAAGAATCCAGCAGAGCGACTAACTTAAGAATGAATAGAGTCTTCGTCTCCGATAATTCTAAACAGAGGACGATGAATTCATCTTCGTAGAGTCTGAAGGTTAAATTTCCCCCTCACGACTCGGCTTTTCACTTCCGCGGCCGTCATTCTTTTTCGGCGTTTTCATAGTCGTGAATGCTCACCTCCTCGAGGCGAGCCAGCTCCTATCCTATCCTACACACTGCTGGAACTGGTTTGTTCCGCCAATAGGCTTCAAGTACTACATGGGACACCATGATGATGAAGGGACTGTAACTTTATTAGTTCATGACAACTTCATAGAGTTGTCCTCACCCAATTTCCCATGCAAAACAGTCCCCCGGCTCACTACCTCGTGCTAGGTAAATGAATGAATGAATAGAGTCTGCGTCTCCGATAATTCTAGAAAGAGGACGAATGTATTAAAAGTCAGATGAATAATTCTGAGAGATTTTTTAGGTCGTGAATTACGCTGATTTAGATCTGAGAATTTCTGAGATAATAATAGATCATGAATTACTGTGAGGTGCGTTTCTAATAGTTGTTGACGCAGATCAAGAACCATCCGTTTTTCGCTGGTGAGTTTGAGGCAGAAGACGTCGAAAACATGGACGAGGATGCGCAGGCCTACCTGCGAAAAAAGCGGGAGAGCGAAGCGAATGGGGCTGTGGTAGGCATGAAACTGCAGGACGTCCAAGAGGAGGACGTCCAAGAGGAGGACGCCCCAGCAAGCGAAAAACGAGCAAAAATCGCGACTTTGGTAGAAGGCCAAGCGACGTCGAAGACAAAATCACCATCCGCAACATCTTCTTCTTCTTCTGCTCTCCCGAACAAGATGAATGAGCAAATAGGTGGTGCATCTGGAAGTTCGTCCTCCACGACAAACCAAGAAAATCTAAATCCTCACGAAAACTTTAGGTACTTCGTGTGTAAGAAGAGCATCACATTGCCAGGAGGAGAGGTAAAGAAACGTAACCGACCCGTCTTGCCGCTGACGTGGCATTGTTTGCGCGCAGTGTACGACCAGAAGAATGAAAAGAACTTTTAAGGTCAACACTATTAGTGTCAGTAGTGTCCATCTTTGTTCTCGGCATGACCTTGGTGTTTCCCTTTTTGTTCTCGGCATGACCTTGGTGCTTCCCCTGTATTTGTTTCCCTTTTAGGTATTCTTTTCAGGGGAAATACTTAAGTTGTATCTATATGATGTATTCTTTTCAGGGGGGAAGAGAAGGTGTATATGTATTCTTTTCAGGGGGGAAGAGAAGGGGGTCGAGATGGGGGAGCCCCCGAGATGAATAAATGCCGACTCTAAAACTTGTTCAAACTACGCGAAGAGCTACTGCCTGCTTGGAAACGGAAAAGAGATGAACTCGAGATGGGAGTAAGACGACTTCATTCGCCAAGTGCTGGACCGTCCGCGAGTGGAAGACTAGCAATGCCGGTCGACGCGACTACTTTGGAGGGTGCTTCTTCGTCTTCTCCGACGACAGGGGTAAACACAACTAGCCGTAGTTTAGGCAGCGCGGCGGGCACCTCTTGCTATCCGCTAAATTACACGACCAGCTCAAATATTAGACCTTCAACAACAGGAGCTTCCGATGGAAACATTCACCAGGGAGCGCAAGTATTAAGGATTACCACATTGGTGCATTCTTCACTACCATCCTTGTGACTTTTTTTCCAGTAGGACGAAAAGGGTCAAGGATGATCTGAAGAATGCAATATCGCAACCTCTAATAGTAGATGACGATGTTGTCTACGACAGCTCAATGACGCAGACGCCTAATGGAGAAGGAACGTTAGCGAACTTGGTAGAGAGAGTAGAAAGCTATTTGCAAGTCTCTGCCTGGGAGCGTGAAGTTCGACCGGGCCAGGGACCCTCGGCGAAGTTACAGCGTTTTATGGATGAGGATGCGAAAAAATTAGACGATACGGAAATGGCAGAACGAGCCGACAAGAAGGCCAGGAAAAACCGAAGGAAGCAAAAGCGGGTGAAAAGTTAAGGCTGCTCGTTTACATGATTCGTGATTCGTAGCCATTTTTCTACATCGTATACTACTTGATTCGTAGTAGCCATTTTTCTACGTTCATAGCTTAAAAAATCTGATGATCATGAGTTTGAGTACCTATTGCTGCTGACCTGACCTTCACGACAAGCGACCTTTACGACAAGCGTACCGATTCTTTCAGATATATCATCGTAGATGTAAATATTATCAATCTGAATCTTAGATGTAAATATCTGTATATAATCTTAGATGCCTAAGTAAATATTATCAATCTACTGTAGCTCTAATCCAAAGCCGAAAAAGAGAGACGATTGCAGACCTCAGACGACGAAAACAATGGTCCCCTGTTGCCGAGGGAGCAGGACGATCGTGCGATCACCTCTTCCTCAGATGACGCGGAGAGCGACGCCGACTTGAGTAGCGACACCTCGGAGGAGGAGGAAGATGATGCTAAGATGAATACATCGACAGGTGATGTTCGGATGAATACATCGACAGGTGGTGGTGGTGGTGGTGATCACGATATTAAGCAAGAAGAAGGGAAGACTACTAATGGTGATCAGGAGAAGCTTGAAGGCGACAAGAAGAGTCAAAGTGATCACGGTATTAAGCAAGAAGAAGGGAAGACTACTAGTCAAAGTCCTGAAAAGTCGAGTCTACAGAAAAGCCCAGACGCTAAGATGGACGACGAGGATGATATCGCGGTTGAAGTAATAGAACAAGGTCCTAGGGCGTAATCACCATCAACGAAACTATAGTTGATGGGGAGGATGATCAGCAAAAGTTTAAGTTTTTTCAAGTCAAATTTTGCGTGTGAAAAAAAAAGAACCATTTTTCCGCCACCTAGATCCTCCACGTTCTTCTTGAGGGTACCATTATATAGCCCCATGAATTGATGTCGACTTCCCATGCGACAAAAAGTTCTTTTCACTGGTGCTTCGTTCGCGTGCCGCATCTTTGACACGGTAGAACAATACTGGAGTGCCTTTAGGAGCACTTGTCATTGCGGAGGACATGGAGCCACACAGTGTGCTCTGATCATACTTATGTTAACTTCTCTTCTAGTACAAGAACTGTTTACATCAAGAGAACAAGATCAAAAAATCTTTCCACTTGGTTGAGGGTCCGGAAGTTGTAAATCGATCAGGAGATCCAAAAAGAATAATGGTGGATCAATGAAGCAAGCAGAAGATCTGGCAAGACTGCCAAACAAAATCTATGATCTGTCAAGGTCAATTCATTCATTAGGCAGAACTCGCAAAACATAGGGTAAGGCGGAAATAATGTACGAGTTGACAATCTCAAAGCACTTAAGGCAAGTGTGTAAGGGGGAAATAAAATGTACGCTCAAAGCACTTAAACAAACAGCCGGCTTGTTTTTTCCTTTCTGGAATTAGGTTATCTTCCCTTCATGCAATGTACTAGTTGACAAGAACCGTACATAATATTACGCTGTCTACTTTTAATGATGTTCTTGAGTCGTACCAGCTTGATTCAACCGTGAAGAATTTATACTTTTTTTGCGACGTGTAGAGTTTTTCACTCTTAGAAAGTAGATTACTAGACCGACTGCGTCCGAACCTTCTAGAGTATCAGTATTCTAGATTACGATGGAGTGAGTGTTCGTGTTGTATTTGATTATTTCGAAATTTCAACTTCGTGAATCTGGTCCATCTTGGGGCAAAGTTTCCTTTAGTGTCTCCCATAGAATCAACCGCATCTAGCTCTTACAGTCCTAGTTAGTAGCTACACTCGTAACGATAAGCAATGATAGGTTAGATGAAGATCCTCGTGAAAGATAGTTTGCCTAACACTTCTGTGAAAGTACTTTTGCCATCTTTCTCTCAATCACAGAACCTATTAAACTGTTTGTAACTACCAGTATTGCTATTGTTTTTACCCCCACGACTACCTTGTAGAATTTATATGGCGACTCGTCACTTGTTCGCAAGTCTGTGAAAGATTATAGAGATGCTGCGGGTTGTACTGCCAGCTAAAAATGGGAGCCCTGCGCGTCAGCATCAGTGCTTCCAACGATGGTCGTGGTGCTTTGTCCGCCGATCAGTTTATCAGATCCTGATAGGACTCAGTGGGTTTCTGCTGTGTGGTCGAGCTGTGGTTGACTACGGAGGTGCGGTTCATCACCGCAGCACACCGACTCCAGACTGGACTAAGAAGGACTGGAAAGACTTTGCCAACAACGACTTCCAAGCCTATGCACGATGGCTACGCAAACATTTGTTGAGGCATCAAGAGCCTCTCGTTGAGCCTGGGTCTTCCAGTGAAGATTTTTCTGCTTCTGAACAAAAGCAGCTGGAGCTAGCAAAAGGTCTGGGACAGGACATGCTCGGCAGAGTGATGCAGGATCTTGTGGCGCATCGGGCCGATAAAGAAACTCTACGTCGTCATGATGTGGCCTCCGAAGGGGCGACCGATGCGAGTAAGATTTTTGCTTCTAGCACACCTAGTTGTGTTCTTGGGCCTAGTGTTCTGGCTGAACAGGCACTTGAGACTCCTAGAAGTGTCGAAAAGTCTCGAAAAGTCTCGAATGGTCTCGAAGTTGAGCCACCTAGAAGTGAACCTGATGAAGATGGTTCAACCGCACTCCCAGAGCTGTCTCATGAAGTTGACCCAACCGCACTCACAGAGGTTTACCCAACCGCACTCCCAGAGGTTTGGGTATACATCCCAATGTATCCTCGAGATGTGGCGCCACCTCCCGAATTCGATCTCTATATTGCTGCAGTCGAGGATTTAGTGGCTTCGCAGATGGGAGAGGACGAGGAGGAAGACGACGGAGATTTGGTTTCATCTGCGACAGACCCGCATACTATGCAACACGTAGAAGTTTCTGGTAGTCGTGCTGACGCTGCTAGGTCAATCTTATTTAGCGTCGTTCCGTCATCTAAGAGCTCAACTTCATCTAGTCGTTCTATTGCGGTAGATTCTTCTATTGTTGCTGCCACGACATTACACAGAACTTCTAGTCGTCGTGTCAGAGGTCGGAAATTCCTTGCGCCGCTAGGTAAAGAGGAACCAGAGGGGGAGGATCCTGTGCCGATGGTAGCTGAGCCGGAGGATGAGGAACAGATGAGTAGTAGTGGTGGTGCTGAAGCTGCACAACAAGCCGGGCCAGAACCGGAAGATGAGGCAATGCTACAAACTGCTAGTCGTCACCATCACCCCTCTGTCCGTGATTGCATCAGAGAGGCTCTTAATGGATCTTCCTCCGACTTGGACATGTCCACTGGCTACGCTAGATGCGTGATTCCCATCCGCTACTTAGACTGGGCGTGGCCTAAATTGGAAACGATTCGAAACCACGCGACCCTATTCGAATTGCGTCACGAGAAGGAGGTTGTCGTGAATAGCAAGAACGATGTGGAGGTTAGGGTTACTGTAGGAAAGATTGAGGCAGAGTCTGAGGTGAGAAGTGGTGCTGATGGTCAGGAGATGGGAAGTGGTGATGATGGTCAGGAGACGAGAAGTGGTGATGATGGTCAGGAGACGGAGGTACCTCCGGAGGGATCCTCCCATGGAGGAGAGGTTCTTGCGGGAAATATCTCGAGCACGTCGCCTGCAGCTGAGGAGGGCATACACGTGTCATCGTCGTCGGCGCTACACTCCTGGTCGCCCAGTTTATATTTAGGTAGTGCTTTTCAAGAATTGTTTATGGATTTGGTGGGTACAACCATGGAGGTCGAGCATGGAGTTGAAGATGAGAGCACACTGATACCTCCATCTGCAGGTCCTGTCGAGGGGTCAGCAACTGGCACCACCGAAGACGCTGTAAGGATCGAAGACGGTCAAGATTATTCTACAAGAAGCTTTTCGGAAGATGCGCACCAAAATCAGTGTGGCGCAAGAACTCTTGCCGAGCACGAGGACTCATGGGAGCTCGCGCCCGTCCTACGCGGCGGTTGGTCTCCTGTCACAAACCGAATCGCTCGCGCAGAGCGTAGTGCGGATCGGAAGGCGACATTTGTGTTTTGGCCACGGGTGGAGATTGCGTCGCCTCTTGAGAGGACACAAGAGGACACATTAGTACAGCAAGATGATACAAGAATCTTCCATAGGAAGACCAATATTATATCCGAGGCTACTGGAGGTGGAGGCATCTCAGGAGTTGTTGGCGAGGCAGGCTTAAAGAGTATAGGCTTAAAGAGTGTCCGTTATTCGTGGGAGGTTTCTGGAGAGCCTTGCGGAGGTAGTGGAAGCAGTCTAGTTCTGCGCTTGGCTGATGGGGTTTTGTGGTCGAAGATTTTCGGCTTAAAACAGGCGGCAATAGAGCCTGGAGAACTACCTGGAGCAGAACTACCTGTCCAACAACTGTCGAGGGAAAAGCTTGACCAGATGTTGCGCCAGGTGATTGAGGAAATTCGCACGGGAATCATCAAGGCAGAGGAGCGAAGACCGGATGAGAAGGATGAGGACCCGTTTGGCGGAGAAGTGAAGACTGTCGTAGGGCGAAGGTCTTTACTGCAGATTGTTGCTGCCAGAGAAGACTCCAACGAGAACAACAGAGATGAAGCTGACGTAGTGCTCACTGCTTTGTGGAGGATGCCCAGCATCACTCGAGCTCATATAAGGAGCCTTCTGCAACAGGTACGGGATTTGCATCCTAGCGCAGAGCTTGGAGTGTCTGCCGTTGAGACAGTGATGCGTGGCTTAGGGCTGGAAGAGCTCCTTGTAGACCCTGAGTTTGATGACCTCCTGAATACATAGGTTACAGTCATTCTATGACAGGATCAACTCGAACAGTCGACCGACCGCTGGCAATCCAACAACAGGCTAAAAAAGTTAGTGGTAGAAATGAATCGTCAGGGAAATCTTGGGCAATGTTGCGCCGAATAGATTCACATCATCAGGCTACGAGATCGAATAAAAAATTTGCGTTAAGCTCAGCCTAAACGAGGGGTCGGAGGAAGAGACGACTAATATTAGGTTACCAGATCGCTAAGTGACCCGTTGATTTCCCTTGCCTTACTAGTCCTCATCTGATTGATAGCTTACCAGATCGAGTTTGATTGAGAGCCTTACCCTGACCCTAGAATTCAGGATGATTGTTTGTTAGAGATGTGATCTTACCTACCTAGAGGATATCAGTTTTAGGTAGAAGTAGTGGGAAGCTTGAACATGGATACAATTTCTATCGACATGCTGAACTAGTAAGGACTGTAGCTGAAAGTTTATGTAAGTACTTAATTGCTGAGGACCAAAACCAATTTTTTGAGGTCTACCTAATGTTTATCTTGAGTTATACCATACTAGCACTAATCTTTCTAACTCTAGTCTACATTTAAATTTTTTTCTCCTCTTCCCTCTTCCACTTACTAGCGATTAAAATGTACACGTATTTCGTCTCGAAAGGATAACGTTAGTTTCTTCCATTTACAGGCATCCGCAAAGGATGTATGAACAAAAGTATGAACAGAAATCTTTATCTCTGCATAGGCATTCATAGGGCGGACCTGTTATTGTGCGTGACCTAAATATTTGGTCCCGATTGAAGATGAACGATGTGAGGGAGCCAGGAAGCGACGTGATGGCACATGGGTATAAAATGTTCAGTTATATGGATATAAAATGTTCAAAAGTTTTTTTATGATTCGAAAGTTTAGGGGACTCTCCGTAGCTTTTACCGTTGAGATGCATCGCTTTTATGCATCGCTCCTGTGGCAACGTGTACGGACCTCTAACGCGTTACCTCTATTCGTCGCTTCAGCATCCGCATTTTGCACTTCACACACTTCACATATTGTTTTCCGTATGCGCTCGGTCTAGCGTATCATAGAACGTAGAACCTAGCGTAGCGCCACCAGCTCTAGGTCGTAGTCGTGTTTTTGGCTCTTCAGCAGCCACTGACGTCTGCTAGTTTTCCTAGGAGAAGAGAAAGTGTTGAACTTGACCTTTACCGCGTGGGTCTGGTCTCTCCTATGGGGTGCTGGTCTCGTCCTTTGAGGTACCTCGTCCCTTGACGTACCTGTCGTACGTCGCCAGTTCAAGCAGCGGCTCCTCTTTCGTCTTTGCCGTCCCTGTCGTACGTCGCCAGTTCAAGCAGCTCTTCCTCTTACGGTGCCTCGCCCACTTATGATGGCATTCGTGAGCATATTCCTGCATCGGTGCCTGGCGGAAAAGGAAATGCACAGCACTGGACTGGTCGTAAAGGCCCCATCACAGAAAAAATGAATTTCGTTCTGCACAATCTAAAGTTGCAGAGGCTTGAGCTACCCAACGGTCGCGATCACTGCAAGGCATGGCAGAGTGGCGCTACGGAGGCATCCAATTCGTGAACTTTTACCACCAAGCTGGGCATTGGAGATGTACCAGCCCACGCCAGAGAAAAATGGTCTGGGGCACCTCTGCGGGGTCCGCTATGGTGAATATGACAAAAGATGACGAAGGCACAGAGGCATACATGTTGATGTTCGAAATTACGGCTTTTACAGAGCACTGCTGCTCTTTCTCTTTCCTCTGCAGTGGAAGGTGGTAGCGCCGCTCTTTCTCTTTCCTTGCTCTTTCTCTTTCTTTCTCTTAAAAACAAAGTGCGTACCAGTCTAAGGACTGGGTATATCATCATCATCGAAGACAAACTACAAGACAAATAGGGAAAAGTGGAAGCACTGTCCGAAAACGGTGTCGCCCCCATCGTCCACATTAAATACTCAAAAAAATTTTCGTGATCAGAAAAAATAAAAATAAAAACCACGGCGCAGCGGTTCTTGGTGTAAGATCCCTATGAAAAATGTGTAAACAAGTACTTACATGAAGATCATGATCGGGCCCGCTTTGGCATTGTTCCATTCCCCTTTCCTCGAAAACATTAATGGATGTGCATGATCAGTGTCATTGAAACAACAATCGGATGAACAGGTACTCCACATTTGCTTGCCTTGTCCCATTATACGTTTGCGATTCACGATTTATTTGCATGTTACTATACTATAGATCTGGAGTACTTTCGATAATTGTTCATTCGCGTTCGTCATCGCAACCTTCACCTTGTTGTATTACAATAGTTACTCTTCATCTAAGTTAAAGTTAGTACTAGTAGCTATCCCTATCATTATCCAAATCCGTTGTATTCAAGCACAACTGGAATTGACGCGAAGACAACATGAGTTTAGTTCCATTTGCAGGCGCTCGCGGAGCCGCGCCGAAAGCTCGCTTGCCTTTGCTCTGCATGATGATGGCGGTCCGCTGTGTCGACGCTGCGCGACCGTCCACCCGTGCGACTGCTGCCGCGACGCTTGGTGGATTTCTGAAAGATAATTCGCCGCCGCTGTATCGTCCTGCTCCTGCTCGGTCCAGTTGTACCGAACCGGATTTCGCAGAAGAATTGTTCAAGGTCGAGTCGGGCGAAGAGTGGCTCCTGGCAGCTCCTCGCGAGCCATTGCTTCTAAATAGAAAACCGAGCTGTAGCGAGACTTACAACGGATGGGAGCCGTATTGGGAACAAGGTCATTGCGGCCGTTGGGAACAAAAAGTGCAACCCTCGGGTTCTGGAGAAGGGCAACACTTCTCGCCTTCTGGAAGGTCGTCGACGACTTGTCGCGAACGTAGTCTGTCCCCAGCGGTAACCGAGCTCGACTGTCCACTGCCACACGACCCACGACATGAAGTTGATGCGCAGGATAATGCGGCGGAAGTAAAGGAAGAAAAAGATGATGACATGATTCACGACAAACGTGGACAAGGTGAAATTGGAGCTGGAGGGAAGAGGCCTGCGAGCTCCCTGACGAACTTGAACTTCAGTCCCGCACGTGGAGGTCCTTGCAGCCAAACCGAAATAAAGCAGGAAATGAAAATAAAGCAGGAGGAGGAGCAAAAAGAAGCCGAAAAGCACGCAAGCGGTGACACTGAGGGAAACGAGAGAGCGCCGTCTGGTGTGGCACCTATGCACTTTGAAGATGGGGAATCGTGGCAAGCAGGCACGAAGAGGAAGTTCATCGGGGAACAAGTGGATTCGAGCGGAGGAGGGCGAGGGCGCGGCTCCTCCTTGCACGACGTGGCGGTAAGTGCGAGCACCGAGGCCCTTGCAGGGGAGAGTTCAATAGCAAAGCTCCAGAAGCGCTTCAGGTCTCTGCAGAATTACCTTCACGGAAACAGTCTTCTTAATCATGGCGGCGAGCAGGACCCCGCGGCGGACGGGGGCGAGGGCGACGAGGAATTCGAATTTGGTGCGAGTGATACGGAGCCACCCTCCGAGACGACCCTGCGCGGTATGGCGGACCAGCTAATGGACTTCGGTATGAGGGCGCTGCACACGACAGGGGGGCGAGACGAGGGAAGTCCCGAACCAAACCGCCGAAGCCGAAGCCGCCGAAGCCGCTCCCGATCGCAAACCCCCGCTGACGTTGACATCCCACCAATCGCGAACGGGGCGGCGGCGGGGGCTCTTCCAGCAGTCGTGAACAAAGATGGGGATTCACGCCTCTCCTCCGTCGCTTGGCGCGGTCCGCAGCCGCAGCAGTCACGGTCACCTAGTACTTGTTGTGATGCATCGTCCGAGGACACAGACGCCTCGTCGCAGGCGTCCGACGATGCTTCAGACACGTCCGGAGATTCATCGTCGTCCGACGACACCAACGAAGGCGCTTCGGAGCAGGACGAGGCCGACGAAGAGGCTCCACCCCGGCGTTTGACGTTGCTTCCTGCTCCCGAGTATCTCCGGGGCTTGAGGAGGAGCAAATTTTTGCCGTTGCGGGCGATGGAGATGCAGTATACAAGCGTCGCTATCACTCCAGCATTACTGGGGGAGGAAGTTGTGGATGATCGTGATTCCATTCTTGATGCGGCTGACAAGCCGCAATGGGATGGAAACTTCGACTACGAGACGCACACCTTCGACTACTTTCGGCACGATATGCTCCCGGGCGACGAGGAGCTTCACAGGCCGACGCGAAAAAGAGTAGCGGCGCACTTCGAGAGAAAGGACATCCGAAGCGTGGACCAGCTCGCGGCCTTCTGGTCGTCCCTTCCCCGAGAACAACTCGTGGCGTTCTTCGAGGCGTACCCGTTCGAGGTGCGTTTGCCTTTACTTAGCAATTATTGCATTTTCTTGAGTCATTTTATATCTTCGACCATGATTTAGATTTTTGGATTTTTCATTTATTTTTATTGCCTTCACGATTTTGTGCACTTATTCTATCAGGATTACTACGAATACAGGTGATCGAGCTGTTTCCTGAGGATAAGCGAAGCGCGAGTGATGTGAACACGAATGCCGGAGCCTTGCATATCGTTCTTGAATCGCAGCTCTTCTGGGCCTTACACCGAGCGAACACCGCTCTAGCGAAGACTCTGTTTGCAGAGTATCCGTTGGCAATTCGTCGGGTAGACGAGGACCAAGGCCTTTACCGCCCTCTGAACAGCATGTATCGGGTGGCGGAGTGGTGTCTCTCGCGCCCTTCGTCCACTCCCTTCAGCGCGGATGCAGTTGTGAGCTCGCTCCTTCGTAAGCATGAGAGGGATGTGCGCAGAGAGGACCAACGCACGCAAAAAATTGAGGCCTCCCTACGTTCACCGGAGGAGCAGCAGCAGCAGCAGGTCGAGCTGTTTGACGATGATGCACAAGCAGTGGAACACGATGGCTATTTTGCTGCGTCGCCATTGAGCGAAAGCCATATGGCTCAGCTTTATACTGGACAGTTTCCGCCGTCGTCCTCGTCTCCAACACAAAAGCAGGTCGAGCAAAACGCTTGAAATTCTCAAGTTGGAAATATGAATCAGGCGTCGTCTGCCAGGACGAGCGGCAAGGCACATCAGAAGCCAGAGGTACGGAAACACAAACAGTCACAGAGGGACGAGGTCCGAAGAATATCGACATCAAGTGCTGAAATACAATAGTAGATTAGTAAGAGTAACAAGTAGATTAGTAAGAATAACAAGAAAGTCAAAGCATAAGTAAGAGTGCACTTTTATTTTTTATGCCGAGGCATTTTTTTCCAGAACTGGACGTGGAAGGAAGCTCTCGAGGCCAAAATCATGCTTCTCTGCTGGACTTGTCAGGAATGCTCATCAATCTATTCGATTCACTCTCCCCTCAAATAGGCGCCTTGGCAAAAATTTGGTTACCTTACAAAAATCTCAACGCATGCTAAGAAGGCGTCCCACGGTTCTGTTTTGTTGATGCCATCAACCTAAGCCGCGACCCCCCCCGCTTACGTTGATGCCACGAATATTCCAGGGGCGCCAGCGATGGCGTCGCGTAAATTCATGGCATCAACATAAGCGCCGCGAAGCGGCCCGACCCCCCCCTCCTTATGTTGATGGCATCAACATAGCCAAACCTTGGGGCGCCTTCTAATGAGTCCAACGATTTTAACATCTCAACGATTTCGGCCCACCTCTCCTGACCCTCCGAGGAGGGTTTGGGGTTACGGACCATCTGTTTTGCCCGCCAAAATGCGGGGATAAGATACTCCGCAGCTGTTGGCGTGCTTGCACGCCAACAGCTGGGGCCAAATCGTTGAGGTGCTCAAACCGTTGAGGTAAAACCGTTGAGATTTTTGTATGTCAACCCAAAAATTAGCTCTGTCCAGTCTTACTTTGTTTTATCATTCATACTCATGGTGGTCAGACTGATGGCACCAACATGCCTGACTCACCCTGTCCCTGGTGCTCCCTCGCTATGCAATCGGGGGGGATAATTGAGATGCCTGCTGGGCGTGGACGGGTCTCCTGCTCCCTATCTACTTAATATTCCTAAGAAAGTAATGCCTTGGCGTTTTGGATCGTAGAGCCCTTTTGTAAAGCGAAACTTCTGGCGCTTCTCGAATGCGCCGAATGTCATGTGAGTTTGTTCAACTGCTCCTGCGGCAAGCTAAAATTGATAAAACAGATGTACTTGCGGCGCCGTTGGCGCGTTGCCCTTGCAGAGTCCACCGGCAGACTGCGCCCGATTGCAAACTCCGCGCGCACATTGCGCCGGCAGGCTGCGCGTCAGTGTGCACTCGCAAAGTGCACTTGCGGACTGCGCTCGCGTGCAAATTGCGCCTCCAAATTGCGTCCGCAAATTGCGCCCGCAAACTTCGCCTGCAGGCTGCGCCTACAGACTGGGCTGCAAACTGCGCGCGAAGCTTGCGTCTTCAGAGGCAGACTGCGATCGTAGGCTGCTTGCAGATTGCGGCCGCAAATTCCGCCCGCAAACTGCGCTCGCAAACTGCGCCCGCAGATTGGGACTGCGCCGGCGTTTTGCGCTTTCAAACTGCGTCCGAAAACAACGGCCCCAGATGCAGACTATGCCAATTGCGCTTGCTGCTTGCGCTTGCAAATTGCTCTTGCAAAGTGCACCGGCAGACTGCGCTTGCAGATTGCACCTGCGCGCTGCGTCTGCAAAAGTGCTGGCAAACTACGCCCGCAGCTTGCGCTTGCTGAATGCGCCCGCAATCGTCTTGCGAATTGCGCCCGCGAATAGCGCTTGCAGATTGCGCTTGCACACCCACGCCGCACCTGCAAACTGCATGCGCAGACTGCGCCGGCAGGTTGCGTCTGCAAGCAAATTGCGCCAGAAAACTGCGCCGGCAGATTGCGCCCGCGCACTGCGCCACTCGCAGACTGTCTGCGCGCGAAAAGTGCGCCGGCAAATTGCTTTTGCAGATTGCGCTGGCACACTGCGCCGGCAGCTTGCGCCTGCAAACTGCGCCGGCAGCTTGCGCCTGCAAACTGCGCCGGCAGATTGCGCACGCAGATTGCGCCTGCAAACTCACGCCCGCCGCACTCGCACACTGCGCCTGCACACTGCGAGCGCTTGTGAATTGCATCCGCAAACTGTCGGCGTTGGCAGATTGCGCTTGCAAACTGCGCCGGAAGATTGCGGCTGCAAACTGCGCCCGCGCGCAGACTTCGCCGGCAAATTTCACCCGCGGGCTGCGCTTGCAAATTGCGCCCGCAGATTTCGCTTGCGGGCTGCGCTTGCAAACTGCGCCGGCACCTTGCGCCGGAAAACTGCGCGCGCAAATTGCGGCTGCAAAGAAATTGCGCCTGCAAACTGCGCCCGCAAACTGCGTCCGCAAACTGCGCCCGCAAACTGCTCTTGCAGGCTGCGCCTGCGCATTGACTGCGCCCGCGCACTGGCTGCGCCTGCGCACTGGCTGCGCTTGCGCGGTGCGCTTGCAAATTGCGCCGGCAAATTGCGCGCGCGCGCATTGCGCCTGCGTATTGGGCCCGCAGATTGCGCCTGCAGGCTGAGCCTGCAAATTGCGCCCGCCGACTGCGTTCGCGATTTTTTCTCGTGGATTGCACCTGCAAGCTGCGCCCTCAAGCTTTGCCCTCGGGCTGCGCTTGCAGATTGTGCTTGCAGATTGCGTCTGCAGACTGCGCGCGCAGGCTGCGCCTGCAGACTGCGCCTGCAGACTGCGCCTGCAGACTGCGCCTGCAGACTGCGCCTGCAGACTGCGCCTGCAGACTGCGCCTGCAGACTGCNTCAGGATGATCTGCGCCCCTCTCTAGAGAAATGAAATACTTAAGAAAATAAACTGTCAGGATGATCTGCGCCCCTCTCTAGAGAAATGAAATACTTAAGAAAATAAACTGTCAGGATGATCTGCGCCCCTCTCTAGAGAAATGAAATACTTAAGAAAATAAACTGTCAGGATGATCTGCGCCCCTCTCTAGAGAAATGAAATACTTAAGAAAATAAACTGTCAGGATGATCTGCGCCCCTCTCTAGAGAAATGAAATACTTAAGAAAATAAACTGTCAGGATGATCTGCGCCCCTCTCTAGAGAAATGAAATACTTAAGAAAATAAACTGTCAGGATGATCTGCGCCCCTCTCTAGAGAAATGAAATACTTAAGAAAATAAACTGTCAGGATGATCTGCGCCCCTCTCTAGAGAAATGAAATACTTAAGAAAATAAACTGTCAGGATGATCTGCGCCCCTCTCTAGAGAAATGAAATACTTAAGAAAATAAACTGTCAGGATGATCTGCGCCCCTCTCTAGAGAAATGAAATACTTAAGAAAATAAACTGTCAGGATGATCTGCGCCCCTCTCTAGAGAAATGAAATACTTAAGAAAATAAACTGTCAGGATGATCTGCGCCCCTCTCTAGAGAAATGAAATACTTAAGAAAATAAACTGTCAGGATGATCTGCGCCCCTCTCTAGAGAAATGAAATACTTAAGAAAATAAACTGTCAGGATGATCTGCGCCCCTCTCTAGAGAAATGAAATACTTAAGAAAATAAACTGTCAGGATGATCTGCGCCCCTCTCTAGAGAAATGAAATACTTAAGAAAATAAACTGTCAGGATGATCTGCGCCCCTCTCTAGAGAAATGAAATACTTAAGAAAATAAACTGTCAGGATGATCTGCGCCCCTCTCTAGAGAAATGAAATACTTAAGAAAATAAACTGTCAGGATGATCTGCGCCCCTCTCTAGAGAAATGAAATACTTAAGAAAATAAACTGTCAGGATGATCTGCGCCCCTCTCTAGAGAAATGAAATACTTAAGAAAATAAACTGTCAGGATGATCTGCGCCCCTCTCTAGAGAAATGAAATACTTAAGAAAATAAACTGTCAGGATGATCTGCGCCCCTCTCTAGAGAAATGAAATACTTAAGAAAATAAACTGTCAGGATGATCTGCGCCCCTCTCTAGAGAAATGAAATACTTAAGAAAATAAACTGTCAGGATGATCTGCGCCCCTCTCTAGAGAAATGAAATACTTAAGAAAATAAACTGTCAGGATGATCTGCGCCCCTCTCTAGAGAAATGAAATACTTAAGAAAATAAACTGTCAGGATGATCTGCGCCCCTCTCTAGAGAAATGAAATACTTAAGAAAATAAACTGTCAGGATGATCTGCGCCCCTCTCTAGAGAAATGAAATACTTAAGAAAATAAACTGTCAGGATGATCTGCGCCCCTCTCTAGAGAAATGAAATACTTAAGAAAATAAACTGTCAGGATGATCTGCGCCCCTCTCTAGAGAAATGAAATACTTAAGAAAATAAACTGTCAGGATGATCTGCGCCCCTCTCTAGAGAAATGAAATACTTAAGAAAATAAACTGTCAGGATGATCTGCGCCCCTCTCTAGAGAAATGAAATACTTAAGAAAATAAACTGTCAGGATGATCTGCGCCCCTCTCTAGAGAAATGAAATACTTAAGAAAATAAACTGTCAGGATGATCTGCGCCCCTCTCTAGAGAAATGAAATACTTAAGAAAATAAACTGTCAGGATGATCTGCGCCCCTCTCTAGAGAAATGAAATACTTAAGAAAATAAACTGTCAGGATGATCTGCGCCCCTCTCTAGAGAAATGAAATACTTAAGAAAATAAACTGTCAGGATGATCTGCGCCCCTCTCTAGAGAAATGAAATACTTAAGAAAATAAACTGTCAGGATGATCTGCGCCCCTCTCTAGAGAAATGAAATACTTAAGAAAATAAACTGTCAGGATGATCTGCGCCCCTCTCTAGAGAAATGAAATACTTAAGAAAATAAACTGTCAGGATGATCTGCGCCCCTCTCTAGAGAAATGAAATACTTAAGAAAATAAACTGTCAGGATGATCTGCGCCCCTCTCTAGAGAAATGAAATACTTAAGAAAATAAACTGTCAGGATGATCTGCGCCCCTCTCTAGAGAAATGAAATACTTAAGAAAATAAACTGTCAGGATGATCTGCGCCCCTCTCTAGAGAAATGAAATACTTAAGAAAATAAACTGTCAGGATGATCTGCGCCCCTCTCTAGAGAAATGAAATACTTAAGAAAATAAACTGTCAGGATGATCTGCGCCCCTCTCTAGAGAAATGAAATACTTAAGAAAATAAACTGTCAGGATGATCTGCGCCCCTCTCTAGAGAAATGAAATACTTAAGAAAATAAACTGTCAGGATGATCTGCGCCCCTCTCTAGAGAAATGAAATACTTAAGAAAATAAACTGTCAGGATGATCTGCGCCCCTCTCTAGAGAAATGAAATACTTAAGAAAATAAACTGTCAGGATGATCTGCGCCCCTCTCTAGAGAAATGAAATACTTAAGAAAATAAACTGTCAGGATGATCTGCGCCCCTCTCTAGAGAAATGAAATACTTAAGAAAATAAACTGTCAGGATGATCTGCGCCCCTCTCTAGAGAAATGAAATACTTAAGAAAATAAACTGTCAGGATGATCTGCGCCCCTCTCTAGAGAAATGAAATACTTAAGAAAATAAACTGTCAGGATGATCTGCCCCCCTCTCTAGAGAAATGAAATACTTAAGAAAATAAACTGTCAGGATGATCTGCCCCCCTCTCTAGAGAAATGAAATACTTAAGAAAGACTCCCCTATTCTTCATATGAAGTGGTTGACAACATGTGGAGGACAGAGGGAAGCCTTCCCGAGATCTGAGCATTGCGTACTTAGCTGCTCTCTACTCGAGCAGGACAGTAGCTAAAAGACAACTTTGTTCCAACAATAAGATGGTCTGCTCGAAAATTTCTTGCTCAAAAGTCCGAAAATTTGTCTGGAGGAGTTGATCTTTGTGTGAAGGAGGACCTCTTGGTAGACAAAGGCGACTTTCCAGTATATTTGAACTCATTGTTGATGCGAGTCGTGGTGGATGAGATTGTCATTCCTGGATTTTGAATGGCAAAGGCCTTGACAGACTGACAGTTGACATCGGCGCCCTATGTACATGCCTTTGCCGTTAGTCGAAGTCTGAATAATATGGGAAGCACGAAGAGTGTGCGTCAAATACTATTTTTGTGCGTACGCGTGCATCATGCCATGCTCCACGTCCAAGCAGCAAGAGTCAGCCAGTTGCTCTGTCGAATTCTGGTAGCACAATGCTGAGAAAGAAAGAAGAGCACTAAGCCTTTATCAGTCAATGTTCGTGAGTCGACTGTATCAGTCAATGTTGTCTGCGACGATGTGAATATGGTCAACAATGCTTAGCACAATACTAGTACAAGAGCACTAGTAGATGTTCCTCTCGACGAGCCGACGACGACTGGCCACTCCAAGCTTGAAGATCTCTTCACTTTTTTCGAAAGAAAAATCGAAAAATCGAGAACTGTCGTAGATCTGTCAACGTTGCTGAGACGATCCAGCCACATGGAGATATGCTGAGACGATCCAGCCTTTTGCGCTAAATGAGGATCCACCTAGGAGAGCTTTCACTCAGTTTGTAATTATTCATTATGCAGGACGTGGTGCTGATTGTTGTGTGTAATGGGGCGTGATCTTCGTGTGGCTGTAATTGGACTTGATCTGCATGTGGCGTCTATCTCGACCTCTGAGAATGTTTGCCTGAGTTGGTCGTGTGATCGGCAGTGACTGTGCATGCATGGTCTCCGTCGTTTCCTCTGTTGGTACAACTAGTTTCATCATTTTCTCGCTTTTTGAAGACGCACGATGGCAGTTCTTCCAGCAAAAACGAGGAGAGCTTCCTCGGCGTAGGCGAGACAGACGACGACCGCTGGAAAGATCCGCTTTTTTTTTTCGGGACTAGTCTCATGACGAGGACGTTTTCGAGACCAGTTCTGCTGCCGCTATTGCTATTACTATCTATATCGAAGAGGACTACCCTTATAATGGGTGGAGCGGCCGTTGCAGAAGTGAAGACGCGCACAACGCGCAGCGGGGACGTGTACGAATTACGGCCAGGAGGGTCGTGGAGGCTCGTGTCTCACGGAAGCGACGTCGATTTGTTGAAAAATGAGGATGGAGAACAACCACAAGGACCACTCCTCTCGTTACCCTGGCGATTTTACACGGAACCAGTATACATGCTTGGAATGGAGGCGGAAGAGGAGGGCCTCTTCGAGAGGATGGACAATAAGTGTTTTGCTCAAGAAGTGCCTTGCAATGGCACGACAGCTTCAGGAGCTGCTTTGATGTCTAGTCTCGATGCGGGGGATGCTGGCGGTTTCGCTTCGCGAAAAAGGGGGAGAAGACTCTCGGTGAAAAGTTTGGAAGAGCGACGAGCCACTGCGGACCAAGAAACGGGTGATACTGGCGGCGTCGTGTGGGATGCGGCTGTAGTGCTAGCTGCACTAGTGAATTCTCCTCATTTTCTAGGTGGAGCAGGCGACAATATTACAGACAGAGATCATCATGCAAACGGAAGCGGTGTCAACGTTATGTGGCGTCGACCCGGACTGCACTTTGGGGATGGTGTAGGGCTAGAAAACGGGGGTTCAACACAAGCTGTGGCATTAAAAGCACAGAATGAACAGCTACGAACGCGTTTTGCCACGACTGAAGGAGCAGCAAAGAAAGCTGTGAAGGAGCTCTTCTCGAACTCGCATGTGGTCGAACTAGGTTCTGGCACTGGGTATGCCGGGATTGGCGTCGCTGGTAGCGGAGCGGCCTTGAGCAGTGTGACTCTAACTGACTTGCCCTACTGCGTAGAAAACATTCGCGCAAATGTGGAGAGGAATGGCATGCGGGTGGAGGAAGAGACGCCGATCCTCGTCAGGGAGGTGGAACAAGTAGACGGCATCAAACTAGAGGGCGGAAGACGTGAGGAAAGGACTTCTGGCACACTCCTTCCTCGAGTACACGCCCTTCCTCTCGATTGGACGTCACCGAGTCAGAACATTCGAAAGCTCCCTTTTATGAGAGAGGGAGCTTGTGAAGGAGGTGATCTTGTGCTCTTAGGAGCTGATATTCTCTGGGTCCGGGAACTTGTCAATCCATTGGTGGAGACGGTGAAGATGATAGCGAGGAGCTTTCTTGATAGTAGAAAACGGCATGGAACAAGTGTGCGTCCTACATGTCTTTGTGGAGGAAACACTGCTCATTGTTCGCAAGGAACAAGTGTGCGTCTAGTTTTCTCTCATCAAACCAGAAGCAGACCCTTGGATCACTTATTTTTAGAACAAATACTGGATATGGACTACACTTCTGAAACCGAGAATGATGTGCAAGTTTTTGTGGAGGAAACACTGCTCATTCGCAAGCAACCGGAGATCAAAGTATGGATTTTCCGATTTGTGCCACTTGTCCCACCTAAACAACAAGACCAAAGAAGGTAAAAAACTTTGCCAAATGAAATACCCCATGATTATCGCTCACAAAAACAACCCTAGTTTTACTGATATGACCGTTTTTGTTTGGTGTCTTCTGTGAAGCACATGTGTAGGAGGAAATGCCTTCTAGATCAAAACGTGAATGGTTGAAAAAAATCCCATTTGGAGTCTTCAGTTCTGTGAGTGATGTTGATGTCACCTCATCGGGCTGGACACTTTCTCGGCCTGTCTATGACCGTCGCGGAAAATGTTTCGTCTTGCCGGTGATTGGTGATCACTTGCGACGCAATGAATGAAAAGGGTTGCGGCTAAGATGAAAGCGGTATCCGCAGTTCAAGAAATGCAGCTGCCTCTACTCATGTTTGAATAGATTGCCCTGGAGATGTAATTGATAGAAAAACTGATGTGCTTGGCCTTGGTCATGCTCACTATCAGAACTCATCTCTACGCAGGAGTCGAATGTACGGCTTCTCCGATAGATGTAGATTTGTGGCCGATTGTACGGTCTTATGCGCCCCCAGTATGTAACTTGGATCTTATATAGGTTAATTAATTGATTGAAAGGGCGGTGGCATATAGTGTTAACGCAAAAAAAAAAGATCTACGGGTGCTAGGAACAGCATCGTCAGGGATACACGCACGACATCAATGAGCAGGGATTGTTTACAGCGACCAAGATTACTTTTAATGAAGCGAGAGAGGATGATGAATACGATAATCGGAATCATCTGTCCTGCAATAAGGATCTTTTTCATCTCGTGTAAGATAAGACTTTTGACTATCTAAGGTTCACAAGATCATTGACTGATGGGTGCCTTTGGCTTTATTTATTTTCCACTGATGATGTCTTTGCCCATGTCGATGAGTAAAGAATGCAGCATCTCCACTTGAGCTCTCGACCGTTGACGCGGCAGTCCGGATGCTTCAGAAATCGCGGAATTCCTTACTATTAAGGGCTAACCAATTACATCCTCCACAACCATCCCACACTCTCTTTCTAGTAGGAAAGAGGTGGGGGATGTGCTGAAGAATGTAATGTGGCAACCTTTAATACTACTCCCACTCCGTTGTTGTACCTCAACATGCCGCTGAACTTGCACCAGGAGGGACATCAAAAGTACCTTGTGTAGTTGAGAGAAATGTAGTTGAGAGGCATTACTCATCAGGAAGACTGGAGCATGTTCTGCAACTACCTCTTCCAGTACTGAGAAAGTCTACGAGCTGTACTGGAGCATGTGGAGCACCAGGTTTCCGGCGCTGGTTTTCCTCCTCCGCAACCGGTGATAGTCGCAGTTCAATAAACGAAGCCGAGACCACCTCCGCAACTGGTGACGGTCGCAGTTCAATAAACGAAGCCGAGACCACCTCCGCAACCGGTGATAGTCGCAGTTCAATAAACGAAGCCGAGACCACCTCCGCAACCGGTGATAGTCGCAGTTCAATAAACGAAGCCGAGACCACTCCTTCGACAAGCCGCTTTGAGCCTTCGTTCTGGAACGTACCAAACATTCTTTCGGTTTCGCGACTCGCTTTTGTCCCTGCGCTGATCGTGACGCACTACGCACCGGTGAGTTGTTTTCCGCTACAACTTCTAGATGGTTCTTCACAGTTCTTTTCTCTCGGATTTGGTGATCATGTCAGTCTCGACAGAGAACAGGCCAGTGCGCTGTTATTTGGAGCTTCGGCTTTCACGGATTGGCTGGACGGCGTTGCGGCCAGGCGTCTGAAGCAGCAGACCCTATTTGGCGCGTGGCTAGACCCAGTGGTCGACAAGATCACTGTGGCTACTGTGTCCTGTCTCTTAGTCGAAAAATTCGCAGACCCAATCGTGACAGTTCCGATAATGCTAATCTTAGCGCGTGAACTCGCCGTAAGCGGATTTAGGGAGCTGTTTTTACTGGCCAAAAAGGAAGGGGAGGAGGTGCAGCAACATGGCGAAGGTGGGAGGACACCAACACCCTCATCGCAGCACCATGGCGAAGGTGGGAGGACATCAAGAGCACCCTACATTAGTCCGGAACGACCTACGACTTCACGCTTAGAGGTGACGACTCTTTTTAAGGCACGACAACAGCAGGGTGATTTACTCACGTTAGTTAGACTAAAATGAAAACGAGTGAATGTGAATCCCTTAATCAGCAGGGTGATTTACTCACGATAGACTAAAAGGAAAACGAGTGAATGTGAATCTTGCTAAGTGGTCGTGGATGAAAGATCAAGATTGTTGTTGGTGCAGGTACTTAGACAGCTCAACTTCGTCTATCTTTGACGACGGTACTAGTAAAACCTAGAATTTACAACATCAGCCATCAAGTTTTGACGTTGTGACACCGCAACCTCTTTTCATAGCTGCGAAGTGGAAGACGGCGTCTCAGCTTGCGAGCATTGTTCTGTTGCTTCTCGCAAAAAGGGACTCTGAGAGAGGCGACTCTCAAGCAGGCAAACCTGAAGATGGCGAGGATAGCAAGGGCCTGGATGCCACATCCCAAGAACCGGAAGCTCTTTTTGGCTCAACGTCTAAAACATGGAACAACAGCACTGTGATCTTGCATCACACTGGTGTCGCATTGCTCTGGACTGCTGCGGCACTGTCAATAGTCACCGGTCGCAACTACGGCACCACGGTCTTTCGCGAAGTACGCCAATCTGCGGGAAGGTTGTTGCGACCAAAGTGAGTATACGACGCATACTGCATATCTCCGCACGGCGCGACTGCATTTATCTCGCACGATCCTCCAGCCACATCATGTACGAAGACGTGAGCATTCGAAATCTTTCACCACAAAGGGATCAAGTGGTGGATAACGGCATCAAGGAAGAACTTATTCGTCAATGCAGGAGAAGGATTACGTCCAGCAACCTCTGAGGACTTGAATTGCTGAAGTTGGGAAAAAAATCCGCAATCTACCGATCGAGATATTTTTAGTCCATCGATCGCCCACGATCGCTTTATTGACGCTTTATGATCACTTCTATGGTCGTCCGCACGATATTAGCGCTTCATTATTACGGTGGCGCAGATCCTGAACATGGCTTCTATATTACACGGCTTCTATGCGCGAGCGGTTACATCAGGAAGAGACGCATGATAAAAAAGTAGTTCCCGCACCACCTTCTTCCACTGCTCCAGCTGGTGACTCGTGGTCCCTACTTCATCACGAAGGGTTAACCTTGAGGACGTGTTGAACACAGCAGCGCAGTGTTAGACTGCGCTAGAGGATAATCGCACTCGTGGAGATAGAAAAACTGTCATCATGATATCCTTGTGTGTTGCCTCTACGTGGAGATAGAAAAACTGTCATCGTGATATCCTTGTTTGTTGCCTCTACGATTGAATGGCCCAATGTTGCCTTTGCGACCTTCTTGTATTTTTGTGTATTTGAAGGCATCCGCATCGGCGATGCACAGTCCAAACCTGAGTAGGAATGTCATGAAACGGAGAATGCTAAGGATGCTACGAAGTTCTGGAAGATTCGGTTTTTGTTTGTGATTGTTTTCTTTGTTTCAAATTACGCGTGAAAGATGCGCTGAGGACGAATCTGTTGCTACGCACTGGCAGTGTAGGAGAACCGTCTGAGACGCGACGATGATGAAACTCGAAATCCGCATGTCGAGTTTGTGGCTGAGTGAAATTTAGATGCTGCTTCTCTATTCCCGCTGTTGAATCTGAATCTGTATCGTCTTCTTGGACGATGGAGACAAAGTGGTAGAGACGCCATGAAAATTGTTCTCCGCATCATCTTCGCAGGAGCACAACGTTATATATGTCTCTCATCTGTGATCGTGAATGATACTTCATGGTCCTCTTCTTCGTAACACTGGTCCTCAGCCAAGGAAAAGCTATCTTCCGCCACTGAGAGTGGAGGTCTGTGTGATCCCCTCCCCAACATTCATTTTTTCCTAGATCAAGTTCAAGTGAAAATGTTTTATCTTCCTGTAACAAACAGAATGGTCCTCAATCTCAACATATAGAAAATTGAAATTTAGAGTTATCAATAGTGAAAACCATTGTCCGTTTTTCTAGCGTTCCCTCCGTGTGTTATATTAACAAGAAAGTTGTATACTAGACATGTGTGCTGACTGATTGTCTTTACTAACTTTTCGAGCATTATTGTATATTTCTAGCTTTGAGATTGAATAATTCCATACAGAGGCATATATATAATTCAAACTACTAGAAGATCTTCAACGAGGAATCTTTGTTTTTTACATTCGAAACACAAACACGCGGTGTATCTACTCATCATATTGATTTGCTTTCACCATGGGAAAGAACAACAAGATGGCTAAGACGCGATCCTCTGCTCCCTCGTCGTCGTCGTCGACAAAGAAATCTGACGCCAAGAATGCGAAAACGGATGAAAAGACCGTTGCCACCAGTGTGATGAAAAACAAAAAGACGAAGATGGCTGGTAAAAGCAAGAAATCTGCTCGGAAGTCCGAGGAGGAGGAACTGAAGGATCAGGAGGATGGATGCGTGGGAGAAGGAGTCGATGTGGGGGAGGAGGTATCTGTCAGCGATCTTGTCAAGGATTTCCGTGTCTCGCTGGGATTTCCAAGTTGGAAGCATGCGAAGTTTAAGGCTAATATCGGATAACTCGTCGTCTTCGCATGTTATAATTAGCTGTCTACTCAGCAGTATTCTCCTTTGATTCATCTGAGAACATGAAGGCAAAAGATGAGCTATTGCGAGCGCTAAGAATTGCCGGGTGTGCAATGTGAAGATCGGGGAAGCGGCTATTTGCTTCACATTCGAGGACATTTTAAGGCTGGGCAATTATGATCACCTCCTTATCGAAAATATGCTGAGTGAGTTGTATCCCCGTAGTACTTATCTCAAGGGCATTCTAACCTTAAATGAGGGACAGCAAGGGATGAACCCACTCAGCAGCAACAGATAGTCGTAGGAGTCGTAGTCATTGTTTAGCTCTAAGCATCGCCCGCTTGAGCGTGAAGGAAGCTGCGCTGCAACGCGCGCGCCAGGAGGAGCGCAAAAAGTCCGTCGCTGCTGCGAAGACAGCGCTAGAGAAGAAGCGGCAACTTAAAGCAAGCAATCCGGAGGAATACGAGAGAAGGTTCTAACGATTGTTGGGGCTTTAAATGTTGTCAAAGTCGGTAGAGCCCTTCTCGATAAGTCCGCTCAACAAGATTAGAGAAGTGTTATGACTTGAACTTCTCGTCTTTCTACTCTACGGAAAATGCGAGGAAGATGATGACGCGTCAGCCGTCTACTTAATGGGCATTTCGCTGTGGTTCTCGTTTCAGTCATCAACTTGAACTCCTCCTCTTTCTACTCTAGGTGATCGTGAGGTGTTGTTTATTTCTAAGAACGCGCCCTCTTTTCGTAGTACTCTAGGTGAAGATAAACACTCAGGTATAAGCGATTCCACTACCAGGGATGCCCTTGCTGTGAAGCGATGGGCATCTCGCTGCCGGAGGACGAATGGGGGGATGCCGATTATCACTGTTCTTATTCGGATGAAGAAGAAGAAGAAGAATACGACAGCCTTTCCGAAGAAGCCGCGCAGATCGAGAGCGGCATGATCCCTAGCGATTTTGGTAATCTCGACTACCTCGACCGCCAACAAGAGGATGGCCGCCTGCGTGGTCAGCACACTTATGCCCTCCACCCGACGGCGAGGTGTCTGGGCTCTTGGCGGAGGGCGAACTGGTGGGAAGGCTATAGGGCCAGGCTACCGACGTCTGCGGCTCTCCTGAAGGATGTGCCAGCGCAGGCGCCAGCTGCTCCCCAACGTGGCAGAATTATGGCCAACGTGATAGTGCAGAAGTAGAGCTTGCTCCTTTGTATAAATACGTATGGTATCTGACATCATGCCGCTTGATACCTTGATATACTTAGATTGGCTCTCGGAAATATTTGCTGATGACTTCACGCGTAAATCCTTCGGATCGATTCAACTTGATTCTTAGTTCTGTACTAGTACTACGGTATAAGGACGACTCTCCTTCTGTCCCTCTTCAGGACTCTCCTTCTGTCCAGTACTACGGTATAAGGACTCTCCTTCTGTCCATCTTCATACTGGAAAGGGCACGCGGTCCTGCTCCTATACTTGAAATCAAACCGGCGATGACGGAGAGCGAAAAGAAAGAGTTTCAGCTCGTGTGGGACGCCATAGAAAGTGGAAATGGAGATCCGAGCAAGGTGGCAAGTAGTCTTTGTATCACAGCTAGTGCAGCTTCCGCTAGTGCTGCAGTCACTGCCTCCGCTCTTACGGGCGCTGGAGCAGATGGAAGTGCTCAATCTTCATCTTCGTCATCCTCTTCGGGAATAAATCGCAGCGTTCTGTCAAACAGCAACTGGCAGAAGATGCAACAGCATGTGGAGAAGGTAAGGGGAAAAAACAAACCGGAGCTGTTAAGAATGCTCAAGCATAACGGGATCGTGGGCGTGCAGACGTGTGCAAAGGCGCACATCGTGGATCTCGTCGCCGTCAACCAAACGCTTGGAGTTTATGAAGGAGCAAGGAAATCAAAACTGACATTATTTCACAGTAGACCCCAGGCTGGCTATTGCACTCAAGGAAATCACAACTGACGTTATTTCACAGTAGATCCCAGGCTATTGCGTTAGTGCTTGTATGAAAAAAAAATCCTCAAAACGTGACCTCTTGTCAGGCACATCAATCACTCAATCATTCATGTTCCTACTACGTAATCTAGCTTTACTGTAGAAAAAGAACAAGGCCGCCTAGAAGAAGGCGTTTGGAATTGAATGGTGACAGCCATCTCGCTCCCAGTCTGATGTAGGTGTACTGGATCAATATGGATCATACTCTTTTTGCAAAAGTAGTAGAATAAACTCATTCCCTTTTCTAGGTCGAGCTGTTTGCGTTCCTCCTTTTTTTTCATACTCGGCTGAAGCATTGTCCAAAGTGCAGGCGAGGACAGCTCGACTTCGATTGGGCAACGGGTAAGGTGACCTGTCGAGGTTACAAGCGGGGAATGACCGGCTGGGTGCACTGTGCGGGTCCAACATTTTTATGCTCTTGTAAAGTGTTAGCTTGAAAGGAGTAGGAGTAGAAAAGAAACGAGACTGAGAAATGGCGTACTAGATTTGGATAGCTGTTTATCCTTGTTTCGACAAGATTAGAGTTTCAACTTCTTATCTTGGCCTATTGCAGTTTGAAGTTCGGTATTCTATCCTATGATTAGCAGTTCTAAAAGTTGCTGCTGGTGAAACGTGGCGCGATCTGGAACGTACGGCGTGGAAGGATGGCCTTGCGGCACCACCGGAGACTAGAGAAGCTGCGCGAGCACGAAAAGCGGCAAATCCGTATCGACCGGCCTATAGTAGCAGCTTCTTCTACGACGACTACGATCCCTTCGGTGACCCTTTTGAACCTTTTGGTTTTTTTTAGGACACTTCGGAAGAATACCAGGTAGAAGAAAAAGAAGGCATTTCAGAAGAGTACTGCAACTGTACGTAGAAGAAAATTTCGGAGAAATACTTGAAGAATACTACGAAGCACTTGAAGAAAGTACAAGTAGTACTTTACTTACCAACATGATTTCGATGATCCTTTGTATCATCTCGGTTTTCATTCGAATTGGTATTAATTAGACTCGATTTTTCGATTATAATCGGGTAGGACAGGCTTCTCGCACTAGAAACAGTTAAGCGTTGGCGGTTTCATATTTCTTGCTGTCAAAGCGGGAAAACATAAAACAAGTATTGCTCGAACCTGAGAAACAAAAACTTGCGTGTTGATGTCGTTGTTGCTCTGGTTAGATCGCAGTTATTCACAAAGGGGAATATATCTTCATCATGAGCAGCACCGCTCTCACCTGCAATGGCGTTCCACTGTGTTCCGAATGTTTATGACTGAGAGAGTTGGCTAAACAGTCTCTACTAGAGGATCTCTAAACAGTCTCTACTAGAGGATCTCTAAATAGTCTCTACTAGAGGATCTCCGGAGGATCTCAGAGAGAGCAGTATCGTGTTGGAGGATCTCAGAGAGAGCAGTTGCCTAGCCTTCAGGTTTCCAAGGTTTGTTTCATTCCTTCCCTCATTTCGTGGCATCCCTTTGTCTTTGCGCCTGTCTGTTGCTTGTAAAACGTAACGCGCCCCTACTTGTGGTGTAGTCATTCCCTCAACCTCCTAGTTTCTTGATCATTTTAAAATCGGCGGGTTCGTAGAGAATAGAATGATAGAGGAGCACTAAGCTCCGCCTGCCGCCGGTGATAGAGCTGAGGCCGCTCTTTCAGTAGCCCCAGGATACAAAAAAAAAAGAAATTTTTTCTGAAGTCTCCAAATCCAAATCCAAACTGACGATGTCCAGTAGGCGTAGTTCCGTGATGAGGTAACATGAAAACCTTCGTCTGTGTCATTCTGAGGAATTTAATTCCGTAACCTCTACTAATTATGGCTACCAAAGGGCTTGTGCTATGGAAGCTGCAAGCGCTGTGGACTACATAAGTTAAGGCTAATAGCTTAGTTTGGCTACTGGTAAGTCTAGTCCGTGAACTCTCTGAACCGGCACCCATGAGAGTTTTCACGGTCCTGCTTATCGCGAGCACGCACGCCCTTTTAAGGTCGTGGGACCTCATGGGCAGCAGTAGCCCTATTATCCGGATATTAGAAGTAGATAGAAATTATTTTATTTCGATATTTTCTATTTATCATTTTTTTCTAAGTGTCCTCGTCTTCCTCTCCTCTCTCTAACCTCACCTTAGCAACATTGGAAAGAAGAAAGAAAAGCTAAACTTGCACTTAATAGTTACTAGAGATGTTATAGAATATAGATTTAGAGAGATACCCCATGAATTTGAGTGGGTACATCAAATTAGAGACGGTTGTTATACCCCATGAGTGGGTAGTACATCAATCAATCAATCAATCAATGAACTGGAATTTCACATCTACAATGGTCAACTGGAATCTCATCTTTCTCTTTATAATGAATGACAATTCACACGATGACCATGACCGTGAACAATTTTGTTTTTTACCTCTACGAGATGACGTCTGTTTTTTGATTCGCTGTATCTTGTCTGTGCGGATCGACAGGTCGTATGGAAAAAAAAGTCTAAACATAACAGGAGGAGCCAGCACGACGAGCAGCGCGACGAATGTTAGTGTAGAAAGGTTGTAGTTCCTATGAAAAGAGAAAAACGCGCCTGCTTGAGTCGGGCTTTTCATTTTCCATAGGACTATATGCTTCTTCCCCCTGGTATACTAGTTTTTTTAAACACTGAAACAACCACCCAGCGAAGCATAGGGCCGCACATACGGCCAACAATTCGACTCCTGATCGATTGACTGATAGCCAGCCTTTGGAAAAGCTCGCTTTTCCACGAGGACGATCGTCAACATTTTTACGTGCTGTGTTTTTGGTATATTTTTCACCCCTCGCTTTTGATTTTGATTTAGTAGATATATTTTCCCACATTCATTTTTTTAAGCAAGAAGAAGAAAGAGCAGTCCCTTTCCTCTTGGAAGAAGGGTCGTGGCTTTCAGCTTTTTTTTTTTGATTTGTGCCTGCTCTAAGATTGAAGATATGTGGAGCAACAAGCAAGTAGTGCAGTCTGATCAAATATCAACTATATGAAAACGAAAGGAGGAATAGTGAAAGGAGAACTGCAGAACAATAATTAGTGTTGTCTTCTTTACCCCAAGAATAGGTACACTACTACTACTACTACTCTTGGAAGAAGGGTCGTAGCTTTGTTCCGTCCTTGGTCTACGAGGCTATATGAAAAATAAGAAGTACGCAAAAGCATGAACAAGATGCTATCCATTCCGCTCATTTTCTGTTTGTCATTTTCTGTTGGCTCCTCGGGCGCGTCAAGTGCAGGAGTACCAGGTTCGCGGCCGCAGTCAGAATTTTCTATATTCCGCCACGGTCACAGCGTCACGGCGTTGAAAGCACGAATCGCGCACCCCGTGGAGGAGGACACATCAATGGAACAGACGAGTCAAAATGAAGAGCCAAGTGCGACATTAGACCTTCGCCAACGACAGAAGGAGACTCGGACGCTTGTTTCGGAAAAAAATAGCTACGGCGGCACCCCTCTCCTAGAGTTGATGGGAATTCCGGAAGCTGTTCTATCTCCTGCCGAGCGGTTAGAGTCAGCACGCTTTCTGCTCCACAGAGGCGCTGACCCTAACGCCGACCTGGGGGGCAAGCATGCTGGCTGGAGTGGAGGAGTGGTGATGATGTGTCAAGGTACGGGCCCGCTCTACTGCGCGTGGAGCGACGTTACCATTGATGATCATCCCACGAGAATGGAAGTTGATATCCCACTCGTCGCGCTTCTCTTGGCGTACGGAGCCGACTTTTTCGAACTTTTGCGCAGGGTTCCCACGGGAGAGTTGATTGCGTTTTCCAGACAAGGTGGTGCGCTTTCCAGACCTAAAGGTTTAACAGCGCACTACAACCTGGAGTCTACAAAGCACATATGTGACTTGTGGCCGCGTCAGAATGGACGCTTTGCCAGTGATCTAGTGGAGTACTTCACCAGGAGATTAGCGCTGAAACCCCGGGAGCAGTCGTGTGCTACGCAGCATGGCACTTCTTCTTCTGCTGCTGCTTCTTCTTCTGCTGCTTCTTTTTCTACAGGCACTGCTACAAGGTGGCCACGACAGGGGTCCGGATCTGCATCATCCTCCTCGACAGGATGCTTATCAACAAACCCTATGAGCAGGACCTTTACGGCTGCTCCCCTTGTAACCGGGGAAGCTGAGTCCTGTAAAAGTGATATGCTGGCGCAACGAACTGCTATTCTTGCTTGTGCAAAGTCAGGTCTGAAGAGTGCACGCTGCTACAAGAAAGGCACTTAAGATAATTATGGAAAAACAACAAGTTTTAGACTTACTCTAAGATGACTCCATTCATTCTATCGCTATCAGTACCATACTTTTGCCACAATCGTTTCTTGAGAAACTGCAGAATGTTGTATTCAATTTCTAAGCATATTCAACTTATATGTAAGAGACAGAGTAGAGCTGTTTCGTCTTGCCAGCAGTATAGGAGGACTGCTTGAGACGCCATGACGATGATGCTTTTTTTTTAGTACTAGACGCGCAACATGCTTTCTAGAAGTGCGCCATTCTTTGAAATTTTTTGTTTCGCCAGGTCCACCTCTGGTTGCGTCGAAAGAAGCAAAGCGTGAGCCTCTTCCCACATATGTTCAATTTTCTGCCGACGAGATCGAGACTTGGAGTGCTGCAAGGCTGGAGGACGAAGTAGAAGCACATCAATTTTTGGGACGAAGATCTGCTCTTCCATCCTCAATTGAGATGATCGATCGAACAGAGACAGAGTCGACTCCTGCATCAACTGCACGACTTCCTCCGGATCATCAACACGCGACGACTTTCTCCTCCGCGTCCTCTGCAGGTGAGCGGGCTGAGCGGGTGGGAGAAGGAGCTTCCTCCGGTCTGCCTGAGGAGGTGGTGGAGAAAGTATGACACCAGGAAAAAGTGTACTCATACTCAAGAAAAGAGGCTTTTTCCTACTTAGAAACTGCCTACTTTCTTGAGGGTGTTGAGTACACTTTTTCGCTTCATATGAAGTGATGCGGAATCATTTCCCTACAGTTGCGGAGGGCCTGGGGTTGATACGTCTGCGACCTGATCTTGAGGACAGCAAGAACAAGAGGGCAGAAGTGCTTTTTCGAGGCGAGGAGATTGATGGCGAGAGGAGTCCTGCTCCTGCCGTCGAGGAGGGTGATGGCGTTCTCAACGTTTTTTCCGGTTTTGACACGATGCCAGACTGGCGTAGGCAAACGAACAGGTTCATGCAACTTTCTGCTACGCTTCGCCGTTGTCCGGATCAGTCAAAAATTCGTGACTTCGCGTCCTTAGTAGCGATTGGAGCTCGGATTTTTCAGGCTCTAAGCCAGGAGAAGGAGTTGAAAGCTCTTGAGGGTTGATAATCAGGACTACTTACTTCTATATAATCTCTTGTGTGCTGTGCTACTACTACTTCTATGAAAATCAGTACTACAACTACTTCTATGTTGTATAATTATCTATCAGTTCTTGTACAACTACTGTTAGTTCAGCTTCAGTAGTATTGTTCATTCTTTATATATGCAGTATAATCTTCTTCGCTATGCTCCCAGCATGCACCGCACTAGTTAACTAGTATATACATATTATATTTATATGTTTAAGTTTCTAAACAGTGCAGGTTACCACGCGCAGTTAGTGGCTGCATGTTTGGAAGAAGAAGCTCTTCTTGACTATCTACTGCGTGAGAATATTAGGGCGTCTACACTGCAGCTTAATGTCACTAATGCGAATACGATCACTAATGTGACGGAGTATTTGAATAATTTTTTGCCACGACAAGAACGACTACAGTGTTGATATAATTTTAAAGTAGCTTTCTACTTCTACGGCTGTCACGAATCATAAAGATAAACTAGATTGTCTGGCGCTTCACCCCACGACTGAGTACACCACGAATGAGAATGAGTGAACAGCTATCAATTGTAGTTGTACTAAAGTTACGACCACTAGAAGCCTAGTAAAATGGAACCAAAGAACTAGAAGAAGAGTGCCTGAATAAGGCACAAGATCAGGTAGAAGAAGAGTGCCTGAATCTAGGCCGTTAGGAATGTCTGAAGAAGTTCAGGTTAGACTAAGGCGGGCTAAGCCTCCCTAAGTCTAAATCTAAAGACTGTCTGAATATCATGTGAATCTAGGCCGTTAGGAATGTCTGAAGAAGTTCAGGTTAGACTAAGGCGGGCTAAGCCTCCCTAAGTCTAAATCTAAAGACTGTCTGAATATCATGTGAAGGCTGACTCCTGAAGATCATCGGGTCGCTTTACTTGGTAGACTCCGACTTTTTGACTATAAACCAGTGAATTGCTTCGAGTAGGACAGGCTACTCGCGCTAGAAACGGTTAAAAGTTGGCGGTTGAATATTTTTTGCTTTCAAGGCGGGAAAACATAAACAACCATTGCCGGAGCCTGAGAAACATAGAGAACGTGCTTGTTGATGTCGTTGATGCTCTGGTTACACAGTGATTAAGTGAGTGACAGGGTATTATAACTCATTCACTAGTAGCACCTCATTGACAGTTGCAGTCCACTGCGCTTCTAATGTTGTTCTGAGCGACAAGGCGACGCAACATTATAGCAGCGTGCGAAAAAGCAGCTTTTTGTTGGGAAGAAAAACTAGCTAAGAAAACTAGTTATGTCTCGTCCGCCTGCAGCTTTTTGTTGGGAAGAAAAACTGGCTAAGAATACTAGTTATGTCTCCGTCTGTCCCTTGTAGAGAAAGATTGGTTGAAAAAGATGGATGACTGAGTATGGTAAACATTCTCTGGATCTCTGGATATCCGCAGAGGATCGTGCTGTAACGTGTTGTAACTGACGATGTCCAGTGCGCGTAGTTCCATGGCGCTGTAATACGAAAGTCTGCGTCCTCTCCTGCGTCATTGTGATCATATAGTGAAGTAGTCTTCTATACCCCTGGAGTGGGTACATTCATTCATTCATTCATTCATTCATGCCATTGCCATTGCCATTGCCATTTTCATCTCGTTCATCAGAGTTTCTCATACCGCAGCGATTATCTAAAATTGCGATACTTCTATGAGAGATACGAGTCCCGAGAGATAGGTGGAGCAGTACTGCAGTCTTGTTATACTTGGCTTCTACAAGAAGAACAGGGTGAGTAGATTGAGGAATACGCACTGGGAAATCATTGTACGGTCTTCTTGTTATCTACGAAAGATGATAGTAATTCAAAAACACCAATTATTTTCGATTTTCGAGTCACGGTTTTGAAATTTTGATTACAGATGATTAGGCGTTATGGAAGCCGCAGATTAGATTCTTGAGTAGTATTTAAGATCTGTACTCGCATGCTACAAGCAAAAAAACATGATGTAGTGGAGCGACAGACAGTACTAGCCGGTCTTGCCGACATTAGCGCTGACGTTGTCGTCCGTGACGACTGTGCTCCATCGTCAAGAGATGCCTTTCTCGCTCCCTCATCGAAGGCTCCCTCATGGGAGGCTCTCGGCTTCTGCTACATGGTCATCTCGTTCACTTGCCTCTACGAGCTTATCTCTTCCTCGTGGAGTGACAGCAACGAAAGATCCGCATTCGGAGGATGGAGCAGAGGAAATGCGGGGTGTCAAGACAACAACATCAGTAGTAGCAGTCGTAGGAGATACAGACCATCAAAGCCATGAGTTGAAAGAAAAGTACAACATCAACTGCGAAGTAGAGGGTGCTAAAATAGGGGATAGGGATGACAGGGACACTGGGCACTCAAGTAGAACGTCGATTTCCACACGGACGGTGTCTACGGAAACTTCTTTGTCTGCAGAGACTTCGAATTTTATGGTTTAGAAGTCTCCTCGGGTTTAGAAGTCTAATTAAATGTGATAGAGTCTAATTAAATGTTTAGAAGTCTAATTAAACTTTGTGGAAGAAAACTGAACTTACACCTCATGCTAGGTAAATGAATGAATGAATGAATGATGTGATTTGCATATAATCATCGACTCAATCTATTACTTCTATCCATACCAATCAGCTTGTCCCTTTTATACAAGGAAGTGATTTGATCTGGCAACATTTCAGAATCGATCAAGGAGCTTAAGGTTTTTCAAGCCTGTTACAACGAGCTACTACTGGTGCCGCACTCTAACTCTACAACATTCGACATAAGCACGATCGTCGAAGATGTTCGAGCATCTACATCAGCTGTACAAGAGAAAAAAAATTATGTACACGAAGCCATAACAAGTAGGGGACGAACAGATGATGATGGTAATCCTTCTGGTGCAGGTACAAGTGGAAGTAGTAAGACTAGCAGAGGACCAAGATCAGGATCACATGAAGATGACAAAAGAAGAGTAGTAGTGGACCCTGTTTTTCTTGCGGAGGATTCGGGTCGTCCACCAGTTCTTGGAAATGCTGAAGGAGAGACGCCTTATTGGTCCCCGGAGACGGGGTTTGTGCCCCGTCATAGTGCTGCTGCGTGGCACTGGTTAGGAGATCCAGTGCGAAGCGGCCTGCAGAACCCAGAACAAGATGTGCTTAAGTACAAGGTTATGGCTGGGTTGCAGAAGCGGGGAGTTTGTACCTAAATACCCCTTATTAAGCGAGTTAACTAATCATTAGAAAAGCAAGATACTATAAGCATCATGCTGTGAGTGTGAGTAAGTAAACGATGAAGATGTACGTACCTCAAATGGAAAATCATAGTAGGGGGAGCAAGTGAACATTTGGTAAAGAGTCTCGCTACTAGTTTTTTCTCTGCTGACCTGTCTGAGTGACTTGAGCTTTTTGTATTCGACGTGAGATTCACCTTACATACTAGAAGTAATTTGTGTTATTGGTTGTAGGAGGTGTGTGCGCTAAGCAATGCGACGCTTACAGCGAGCAAATTGGCAGCGGCGTGTTTGGGTGGGAGGATTTTCCGGCAAGCTCGAGTGAGACGGATCAGCTGTGTATATCTCCGCCTGAGGCGGGTGGTAGTTCCAGCTCGGGGGAAGCAGGCTCAGCGATTGATGAGGCAACGAGCGAGTTTGGGTTGCCTTTGAGCCTTGAGAATTCGCATTTCGCAACACAGATCCGGACGGCGAAGGATAACACAAGGCTGACCTCTGCGCTTTTGATGTGCGCGGAAAAGCGTGCGCTGCTCTCCATCGGCTTCGAGAAAATCCAGATCGTAGTGGATGAAGTGTACTGACTATTGGCTTGCCAGAAGGTTTTGTGCATAATCAGCTTCACAGCAGAAGCACTTGGTGGGCTGGGGGCTCTTTAGTTAGCTGCCGGTGAGGTTCGGCATCCACGGGGAGCGACGACCGCTAGCGGGACATCTTTGGGCCCACCTTTCTCTTCCGTCGCGCTGTCCGCACATTTTTCCAAATGTATGACTACATCGGGCAGTAAACAAATGCAAACTGACGCCCCAGGGGCGGAGTGGTAATGATGACCACCCTGGCGGAAGCGTTTGCGCAAGCAAACCCATGGCGCTAGCTTTGTTTTGTGAAGGCAAATCGTTTCTAGCCCACTCTTCGGCGTGTGGGCTCTTCTTTCGGGTCTCTTGCCAAGCTTTACCGCTAACGCGATCACCCTCCAACTTCTTCGGATCTGCAGCAGATGACGCGTTGGACGGTGGGGCGCCAGCTCCCAAAGGGCCAGGATGCAGGTCCCCAGTGGCGCAGCCTGGCTGTAGGGTCATCGAAAAGCGGTGAACGGCAGGAACCCCCTCAGAAATGGCGCTAAGGCTGCCGCTTCTCCTTCTAAGAAAGTGCCAGGCGCTTGCGAGGTTAAGGCAAGACCTGGCGCTAGTGTTTTGATTGCGCTCGCTGGTGGCATCACCAGCCTAGGCAGCCCCGAAGGTCGACACGAAGGGAGACGAGCAGCGCGGGGGGAGATCATTACCCGCCAAGAGCGGCACCAAAGTCAAGACTGACGACGGAGGCGACGCCTGCCAGCAGGGGACCAATGACGTCAGTAGGCACGGACGAACACAGGAGCCAGGACACGGGGCCACGCCTTGCATTAGCATCGGGCGGAGAAGACCATGGCAGACCGCGCCGGGCTGGGTTTGGGCTTTGTCGTGCCCCTCCGGCGTGGCTTGCTCTTGCTACGCATGCAGGAAACAGAGCAGGAACAAAATGGGCGGGAAGCGTGGGGCAAGAGAATAGCCCACGCCGGGAAGGGATGCCCGGCCGGTACGTTGTGCGAGCGTGACGCCACCAAGAGTTAGAAAGCGGCCGGGGGGTTGCTCGGTCGTGGTGTGACTTAGTTCGAGCAAATGGGAGCCCACTGCGCGAGCCGCTTCATTGTGTCTCCAACCGTGGCGGGCCGATTACTCGAAGTTGTGAACTTTGCCCCCCCTCTGGCGTGGGTACAAGCCAGGCGGGCCGTGGGCGGGTTGGATAGCCTGGGCCCGTGGCTGGAGGCTTCTCCCTTTTACTTTCGCTCTTGGCAGGCAGAGGCGGCGCCGTGTCGCGTGTCTGCTCTTTTTGAGGTGGGGATGGTTCCCGGATGGGGTCAATGGATGCCCACGGGAGAAGCACTGGCCCAACTCGCCGCCAAGCAGTGGCAGGGAAGAAAAGGCGGCGCTCATTTGCTGGCCTTGCTTCTGCGGGGTCCCTCTGTGCTCTTTTTGAATGGTGAATGGTATGCAAAACCTTTGCCAGCGCCCGCGGGCGGCGCACTTGCGCCGCCTTAGATAGATAGGCGCACGCATGCGTGGGTGAGTGGGTAGCAGGGTGAGGGTCGCCCTGCTAGTTTCATTCGCGGCCCCTGGCGCTTATATATTGTTTTGGATCTATTGTAATCGTGGTACATAGCTGATTAAATGCACATCCCAAACAAACTTCTCAGGATCGGCAAGATTTGTCCAGGGTGTTTGGTGTTCACTATACCCTATGGTAGTGCGGTGACCGGATGCCTTCTAGAGGAGTCTTCAGACCTGGATGTTGGTATTCGCGTCGTTCCTGATCGCATGGGCCTGCGATTAAGACAGGCTTTTTTGTATGTGCTATGTATCTTCCCAGAAGTATCTTCCAAGAAGTCATATGCTACTGAGAATGGAAGCGATGTCTGGTGATCATGTGCATAGAAGTAGTAAACAAAAACAGGGACTTGTTCAAGACAAGTTGAGATGTGATAAACAAAAAGATAGACTCGTCGGAACTACGTTGAACCGCTTCTCTCACTCTCCTGTCTTCATCTCCAAGGAGGACTTATTAATTTGTTGTCGCATCTGTTATCTACGCGGAGGAGGTACTTCTCCCCTATGTCTAAGTAGTATGCCACATTTACTCCCGCACTACTCGTACTCAAAATTAGATTTTCTTTCGTTTCAATCTCCTCTAAGACCACTCGCGGATGCCAAACTGGAAATCCTGAGTCAACTGCGGAACCGTCTAGAGGACATAGGCTTCGCTCGACTGGATCTCGTGCCAGCTAGAGTGCCAGTACTTCGCTGCGCGTTGCGTGAATACTCGGACTACGAAGCAGACAACGTACTTCTAAGGACTTTTGTATCCTCCGGTGATAGAGTTCTAGGCTCAGACCTGTCTGTTTGAGGAATTATATTAAAGTACTTTGCTCATCTTCCTAGGTCCACCCTACTAATAGAGTTGCCTTGAAGACCACCAAGTCTTCTTCTCTCTCTCTCTACATTTTCGTATCTACTTGCCTAACCAATTATGAGTCGGTTATTTTAGGCACAACCTTCTGCTTACGCACGACGAATCGGTTATGACAAGTACAACCTCCTCCACCCAAGTTATAAGTACAACCTCCCTCCAGGTGCACAGTTCGTTGCGAGCAGAGTTTGATATTTCCTTGCACGTGGATGACTACGTGTTTTGGAACAGTGTCCTTCTGCAGCAGTGCTTAGCGCAGGACTGGTGGACCGCCGAAGCCGCGGCCGAAATTCATGATGATATTTATGAGAAGTGGACGAAGGATTTAATTCCTACCAAGATTATTGTATAGTACAGTCTGGATTTCTGTTTACCCTAGTCATTCTTATCTCAGAGTACGAATACTCGTGAATCATAGTACAAATACTCGTGACTCAGGTTCGTGAATATCAATCTGAAGACGATGAACACATAGATCCTACGAGCACGACGACGTCTAGACTGCACTTGGTCAATTTGATACTTTTACTTATATTCACACTAAGAAATTTCCGTCTAAGAAATTTCCGTCTGCATGACGTCACTACGGAATACTTTTACTTATATTCACACAAGCTCGTCTAAGAAATAGCCGTCTGCATGACGTCACTACGGACTGCGGATTGTGCGAAGCTGTGTCAGGACTCATGGCGAGAAAACGCGCAAGAGGACATTAGGACAGCAGCTTATGGAGGTTTTCCCACCTCTACGACGTTTCGCTTCGCGTGCGTCCTGAAACAGTGGGCTCGTTTCGCAAACCTGAATCCTCATAGTCACGACGAGTACGCCAGCAACTACAACCAACGTCTCCGGTCTCGTACTAGCTCACGGATTAGCGTCGCCTCAACTGGCGCTGCGAGTATAGCCACAGTTATGAGTCAGGGAGCCAAGCCCGCCACCTCCGAGTGCTTCCTCTACCTAAACAACTACTGTTTGCTGCTGATGATGCTCTATTTCATGCGGCGAACGACCACTAGAGGGGCTTATAACCATGGAAGCAACTACACTACTGGCTGTACAAGCAGTTACATTTATGGCTACCGCTGAAGCATATCCTGAATATCATCCTTGGCCTCCTTTTCAAGGGGAAAAGGGGCGCAAGGATGGGCTCAGGGATGCGACGCAGTTTATTTCTAAGACATCAGTGACCCTACAAACAGAAGTTACAACATCAGTCATGCGCCTACAGATCCGTCTACATTCGCGCTACCCTCGTCTTCACAGCTGGACACATCCACCACATTTCACGGGCCAGAAAACTTCAGGTCTTTGACGCAGTTGTTCCTGTCCTTCGTACGCTTTTGGACCTATGAGTTTGATGCCCAGGTTGAAACAGTGGATATCTTCTACCAGAACGAAGCGTCCTCAGAACGCAACGTCGAAGCTGCGATGAGGTCACACCGCGAGGTTGCGCGTGAGAAGTGTCCGCATCTGCATTTGTTAAGGCACCACAATGATTTGATGAGTACAATGAACCAGTGATGGAGTTGATGTGGGAATCCCAGTCGATGAGTACAATGAACCAGTGATGGAGTTGATGGGGGAATCAGAAAATGGGCATGGGGTCCTCCTCTAACAAGTGCTAGGCGTCAACATTGAAGCTAGTCAACATAGCATTTGTTCGAACTTTTCTAGTGTTCTTCACTGGATGATGTCCTCATTCTCATCTGGCGTTCCAGTAGCCCTCCTCTAATCCCTGTCATCCGGGACCCGTTAAAGCCACGCTTCTATAAGGGGTTAAGCAGTCAACATTGGGAACAATTCCTCGATAAACTCCATGAGGCACGATGTGCGATACTGCGTAGAGGAAATTCTCCGGCTTATCCTCTTGCTTATGGACGACAGATATAAATGATAGTAGTTGTGCTGCTGGTACAGCACAGATAAAGATAAGATTTAATCATGAGAAGATCTTTCGAAGATGCCGGTCATCTAGCTGATTCCTGGTTGTTAGAAGCAAGTTTTGACGTTAAGATCCTACGGGACCCTGTAGTTTCTATGAACTTCTGCAGTCTCTTCTCTTCTCTCTTCCTAGAAGAGACTCCGGGTTTCTTCTCTTTTCTGTTTCTCTCTTCTCTTTCTCTCTTCTTCTCTTTCTCTCTTTCTCTCTTTCTCTCTTTCTCTCTTTCTCTCTATCTGCAGTCTCTTCTCTCCTCCTCGAAGAGACTCCAGGCACCCCCTCACTAGGCCTCACACTTCGGCGGCCGTCACTGTTTTGTCCCGCCATTAGGCTTGTAGCACTAGCTGGGACATCATGATGACAAAATTTCCTACGGGACCCCAATCGTAGTTTCTAATCCCCATTCCCTTGTGAGCACTCTCGTCTCGCGGTTGCTATTGGCGCAGCGGGTCGATGGAGCCGCGAAGGGAGAAAGCAAATGGGAGGCGCAATTTGTCCATCGGGTGTAGTGTCCTGGCAAGAAGACGTGGGGCACGAAGACGTGGAGGTCGAACTCGAAGCAGAAAAGAGTCATGCTAATGGACGGCCGTGTCCTTCTTGGCAATCAGAAACGATATTAAGGTCGGAGATTTGTCTGCTTTTTTACTGTTGGTCTACACTGTGCTTGACTGAGGGAAGAAACACAAGTAATGGCTTGCTCACTCCTTCAACGATGGGTCTAATAAGCAACTTCCTCCACGAACTGTTTCATCTTGCCATTGCAAGATACATAATGACTTTTTTCTCATGAAGAGAGAGAGTTTCTTGAATTCTAAGGCCAATGAAACTGTTTGAGACGCACTGAAGATGATGAGCACTATGTATATTCCTCTAACTTGTTCAAAGACCACGACTGAATGTTCCTGGGCTTCGTCGTCGAACGGCGCATGATCGACGTATAGTCGTCGATCGATTGCTTAGCGCCTCCACTATGAGGCACTAGGATAAGACCATGCGAGTAAAATTCTTAGCTGGTTTTCTGCCCCGGTGGTGTATCTGTAGGAATGTGTGATTTGGGGGTAATCATGACTTGATTTCTTGATGGCAGTGACCACAGCTCTGGTTGCAGTGGCGGCAAAGCGCATCTTTGTTCTTCTTTGTCACGACTTTCTTTGTGACTGCGCTTTGCTGCCACTGTTATTGCTCCACTTTTTGATTTTCCTTTCCGGTTTTGTTAAGATTTGATTCATTTACGAAAGGTATAGATGATAAATTCAGTGAGAAGGAAGTGACGCATATACTCAATGAGTCCTAACTTGCGCTGTTCTTGTTTTTTCCAAATCCTACTCATTCTAGTAAGTAGCCATTTGTTCACCATCTCTCTCATAAATTCAACTATTCAACATCCTGTGTATGTACTCCTTAATATCTATCAGGTAATCATGCATAATTAAGAATAGTTAATAGTGAAGATTCTGATTCTGTCATGTTGTTGATTATGTTCAGGTTCGTTATTCTAGGAAGTTTTTGTTGCTATTGTTTCCCTGGTCGTCGATTCTCTTTCCCCCCTATGAAAAGGTTTGATTCCTCCTATGTGGTTTTGTGAACGGGAGTGAGGACTACTGTAACTACAAGTAGCTTTTCACTCCTTTCTTGTAAAGACTGTTCGTGTAGTTCGTTGTACAAGTACATGTGAAGAAGAAGATGAAGTCCTGTTGCTACCTGTTACGTTCCTCGTGACGACTAGCAGTCTAGTTTTTCAGAAAAGAATCTATTACTCTATTAGCCTGGTCGTCGCCGTGCTTTTCCTTCGTGCGGTAATAGGCGGAGGGTGAAAGTAGATATCCCACCAAGAAAATGTTCAATATAGCGATATAGTGTTCACTCTTGTTCAACGGACAAGACTATTTCTCACGCGCAGGATCTTTCTACAAGCTCCCTAGGGACAGGTTGCAGATCCAGCACGTTCCCGGATAATATCAGACAAGTGATAGAAGATACAGATCAAGTGAAGATACAATCTCAATCTTGGTAGACTAAAGCGAGGAGAGGATTTTGTAGTTGAAAAATAGTGGAGGCAAGGGATATTGTACTTGTGTTTGAAGGATTCATCACCCGCCATCTTCTCCAGTCTACAAAAAAGACTCAAGTACTTACAACTATTTGTTGTTAAGCAGCTAGCGTAATCGTAGACGAGGGCTTAGGGGCTAGTTTGGCAAGACTTGTCGTCAGAAGTATAATCGAATAGCTGGAAAAAGATGAGCCAGGCCTTCGCTAGAGGATCTTGTCGCTTAGGGCATGAGCGTGTGTCACAGCGCGCTTTGGTTTCTACAGGTACCAGCATAGTTGGCCAACGTGGTACTTACGCCGTTGCTGGATGCGGATCAGCGACGACTCCTGCTTCAGTAGAATGGCCATCCCGGCATAGAGGCGGTCCCTGTCGTGAAGAGGAGTACTACAAATGCCTCCTTAGACTACAAATGCCGAAACTGTTTGCTGGTGCAACAAGGGGAGTGTTTTCATGGGGTTTTTCCTCCACGGGTTCCTCATCTTCCTCGTGCTCGTCGTCCTCAACAAGGGCATTTAGCTCATCGCAGGGTAGTTCTCAGCAAGGTAGTTCTCATTATGGGTTGAAACATTTCATTTTTCCAAGCCTTCTCTACTTGAGATTGGTACTAAAAAATGAAATGTTTCAACCTTTACTCTCAGCAGGGCCGAGTCCAGGGGGGTTCTCAGCAAGGTAGTTCTCAGCAAGGTAGTTCTCAGCAAGGTAGTTCACGAGTCCAGGGGGGTTCTCAGCAAGATGACTACTTCACGATCCTCGGTTTGCCACAGCGTTACCTCATCACTCGTGAGGAATTAGACCTGGCGTTTCGGAAAACGCAAAAGCGGTTTCATCCCGATGTGATTGCGCACTTGCCAGACGTGGAGAGACTCCCACAGGAAGAGCTGAGTATGCTTAAGGCTCAAAAGAACCCATCTCCACGTGAATCCCGTTAAGATACAGTTATTATATTATCAAGGCTATATAAGTAATGAACCCATCGATCTCCACGTGATGAATCCCGTTATAAGTAATGAACCCATCGATCTCCACGTGAATCCCGTTAAGATACAGTTATATTATATTTCCCATTAATGGAACCCGTTATAATAACTGGAAGAGTCCCATTAATGATACTGGAAGAGTCTCAGGCTCTTGTATTGAAGCGAGTACTTCTGGGGCGAGTATTTTAACGGGATGCATTCACGGGCTGGGTTATAAGGGGAGCTCTAATATGCGTGCTAATGAAGCTGCTAGAGTCTTGCGATCGCCTTTGGAACGAGCGCGATACTTTATAAGGACGGAGCTTTACAAGAAGTCAGCTCGGGGAGGACCAGATAAAGGGGTTGAAGCGTCTGCCATCCGAGGTGCAAGTGGTACAAGTACAACACCCAGTAAGGCATGTTCAGACGCAGGTATAGGAAAAGACCAAGGGGGCACAGAAGAAGACGCAGAACAAATGGAACGGATAGAGGATAGCTCATTGCTCCTAGAATTGATGGAAAAGTACGAAATTTTAGACGAGGCAACGACGGCAAAGGAGGTTGCTGATGTGCGCACAGAAAATGAAGAAAACATAGCAAGAGCCGAATCTAAGATTCAGGAATATTTTGAGAGCCTTGAGGGTGACGCCGAATCAGTAGATAAGCTTGAAGAAGAAGTCCTTGCTGGTGTAAGGGTCCAGATAGAGAAATTGTCTCTCTATAATCGTTTGACTGAAAAAATTCGTGGCAAGGAGGATGAATTGGGTGAGAAATAATGATGCTTTCTTTAATATATATTGAAACTACGACCTTGATCTTGACTTTGATCTTCCGTTTTCTTTGATATTTCCACCTGACGAATGACGGATGGCTGTTGGACGTCTGTGCTGTCTGCTACAATGAAAGGCTACAATCAACGAGGTAGCTTGCATCTGTCAGTCTGTTTATTGTTGTCTTCTTTTCTGGCGATGAGTGACCTCTCCAAGGTTGTTGCGATTCTGTCCACCGATTGATTGAGGGAGTTGTAGAGAAGGAGAGGAATTGAGAAGTGACCCTTGCCCCTTTGTTGAACCCTGTCCCCCAAGCTAGCGACCTAAATGAATCGATTTCCAATTTACGGCTACCAATTTATTAGCTTTTCACTAGCAGAAAAATGAAAAAGTACATGTGACGAGTCTTATTGAGGCCTAGGCGCAGCCGCGGGATTACCCTTGGTCGAGGAGAGTACATCCGGACGCAAAAGTGGCGGCTCAGTTCTAAGACGCGAGCCGAAGCCTCAGTCCTTCTACGCGTATTATCCAAGACGGCACAGGCTTGAGTTCTACGAGTATAATTGAATCAAAGACAGGAGCATAACAGCGACAGCCAAGAAACGAAGATGAAGAAGTCTCTTTCCTCTGCAATGTCTCCGAGGATCCAACGGGGCTCCACGCTGTCGCCGGAGAAGAAACTACGAATCGAGTACGATGAGGAACGGCAGGTCATCATGGCAAAACATCGGGAAGAGGTTTAATTTGAGACCTTCGTGTTGATAAGGATGTACTTAACTAGATGTTTTTGTTTCTTCTGATTTGGTTTTGCTTTTTCAGCTAGTGTGTACCAAGAATGAACTTTGTAGATGTTGGCAGTGAGAATATAATTCGTACAAGTACTAGAATGTTGAAGTGTGCGTGTCAAGCGACAACCTTTGTATTCTATCCTGTCAGCTGCAATCAATGACTGCTCGATGCGATGACGAAATTTCGAGAACGACGTGCGGTCTGAAACAGCAACACGAGGAGGAAATAGGAGAGCTGAAGCGTGCGGTGAAATATGGCCATATTAATGAACACGTAGATTAGAACGGATGGGACCTACGAGTATTGTAGCGAGTCAGACTAAGTACATCTGCTCTTTTAAATTCTTTAAAATGTTGGCGGGTCTATCCGTCTTCCTTTCCGATAGTGCGTTTCCTAGGACTTTCCGATAGTGCATTTTCCATTTTTAGATTTGCACAACTTCGACCTAGCAGTTGTATCACACGGTTTGATCAACATTATCCCTCGTTTCTGTTGAGATGAGATGGGCAGTAGCAACCTGTCCTGCTATCCTATCCTATTTATCCCTCGTTTCTGTTGAGATGAGATGGGCAGTAGCAACCTGTCCTATCCTATCCTATCCTATTAGATGAACATTATCCCTCGTTTCTGTGCCTCCTTTTCACACCTCCTTCATCAGACGGGTCTGGAGATAGAGTACACCTCTGACCTCGAGAGAGTTCGGGAGGAGCGTGTGAAGGAGAAACATGCCTTTGAGGAACGATTGGAGCTTTTAGAGAAGAAGCTGAACCAAAGTCGAAGAGAGTTCGACTTGGAAAGGAGACAACTGGTCTCACAAAAGCAGGAATTGCAGGTTCTATAGCTCTACTCGAAAACTGAAAATAGCCGAGTTACATATATAAATTGATCTATAGACTACTTCTGATTTACTTTTCAAAAAAAAAAATAACCGAGTTACATATATAAATTGATCTATATTAGACTACTTCTGATTTACTTTTAAAAAAAAAAATAACCGAGTTACATATATAAATTGATCTATATTAGACTACTTCTGATTTACTTTTCAAAAAAGGACTTTTCAAAAAAAAATCTATTGTCAGGTGGAACGCGACAGTGTTAAAGTTAAGGCTCAGCTTTCAATGGTCATTGGGGTTGGTCACTGAGATCGAAGAGGCGACCCCTTGCGGAAAGATGAGGGGAAAACTAAGGGAAAGGGGAGAGCTTTGAAGGGGGTCCCTTCCGTTCAGAGTCAGTGACCCTTGAATGCTGAGCTTTAATAAAGAGATGCACCAGAGCTACGTGGACTTGTATGGGAATATCCTAACCAAGAAGGAGGACTCTCACGCGAGGCAGCTAGCCGAGCTAGCAGCAGATCAGGCGCGCGAGAAGGAAGAGGCATTGCGGTTATGATAACCATTTACTCGTCATACTATACGGTTATGATTTTACTCATACTTTTCTTTTTTCGGTTTTTGTTTTTTCTAGTTAGATATGCTCCAGCAACATACTATACGGTTATGATAACCATGATGAGTACAACCTACCATGATGAGTGACTATTTAGTGCTCTTTATGACTAGCCTGGCTGTTGTACTAGTCATAAAGAGCAGCGTTGGGTCTTAACCGCAACGCCTCTTCCTTCAAGTGAGTATGAGAAGTGTAAGTAGTAGTAACAGAGTAAAGTAGAAAAAGAAATAGTTCCTTGAAGAAGAGTAAGTAGTGCTCTTTATGACTAGTAGTAGCAGAATATAGGGACCACTCGAAGTTGAGCAGCAACAGAGCTCACTCTAATATGCGTGGTCGGAAGAGAAAAAGCAAAACTCGAAGAGCAAATGGAAAGGGAAAAGGGAGTGATGAGTCGTACTACTGCTATTTCTATCACTTCTTTGGTAGTCTAAGTACTTACTTGATGCTGATACATAGTTGTCGATTTGATCTAATTGATGCTGACACTTGATCTAATTGATTCGCGTCTCCAACAAAACCACACCACTTGCACTTTAATTATCACCCCTCAAACTCAGAGGAAAAGCAGCTCCTCTCCGTGGAGTTGCAGAGTGCAAGACATCAGTGTGAGGATTTGCGAGCACAACTAGCAGCGAGGGAAAAAGAACACGAGGATTTTCTGCGGGAACATGCGATAAAGCAAAGCGACCATCATACGAAAGTGGCTCTGAGGAATCTTTATGGATGCAATAATTGGAAATATGTTATCAAACTCAACAGAGTTTCACATAAGTTAAACTCAGAGTAATTGGAAATATGATATGTTATCAAACTCAGAGTTTCACAGTGAAACAGAGAGATTTTCACAGTGATTCTTGCAAAGCCATTAATCGATCCACTACATTGTCTAAATTTGGAAAGTCATTATCCCACTGCATTGTCTAACTATCACTAGAAGATATCACTAACTATAACACTTCTAGAAGAGCCTAGAAAAGCAGCAAGAGGAGATGGCTCTATTGTTCGCTACTCTATCTCCGCTCTAACCCCCACTAGAAGAGCAGCAAGAGGAGATGGCTCAGTTGGAGACGCGGAGACAGACCGAGATCCAACATGCTAGGGCGAAACTGCGGTCGTTGGAGACAAGGTACGAGCACAACCTGGAAAAATTGAAGGAGGACTTTGAGGTCCGACTAAAAACCGAAAAGGAACAGTGGAAAGCGAATAGTGCCGCGTTAGCGAAGGTTGAACTGGTAAATAGTGAGGCATTAGCAAAGGTTCTTGAACTGGTACTGCTTTAGAAAGCGAATAGTGCTGCGTTAGCAAAGGTTCTTGAACTAGTACGTAAAAACTGAATTTAAAGTTGTTTATTTTGTGATTACAACAGTGACACTGTTGTATGCTCCTCTTTTTTCTCATCTTTTCTTCAACTGTCCCTGCAGGCTCTCGCTCTCGTCATGCCTCTGGCAGACGCGAACTCCCTATCTTCATCTCTAGAGTCATCCTATTCAAACCTATGCTTTACCTCACTTCAGGCCGAACTCGAAGATAAGCATCTTTCAGAGCTAATAGAGAAGGATAAGGAACTACAGACTAAGATCGAAGCATCGACACGAGATTTGCGGCGAAACCTTGAAATTATGGCATGGCTGAGTGCTAGCCTGTGGAAATAAAGTTGCAGTTTTTGAATATCACTCTGTAAAGGTGCTAGAGATTTTTGCCTGGCTGAGTAAGAAGTACTACCCTATCGAAGAGTTGCACCAGTTGTTGAATTCGTAAAGGTGCTAGAGATTTTTGGAATTTCTGAATGTACTTTTATGGGTCAACGAACATCTTCTTCTCTAGTAGGACGATCATCTTCTTTTCTAGTAGTACGATCACCTTCCGATGATTGACACTTTCATCCGTTACGAAAAAGAAGACAAATTGGCTCTCCAAAAGGCTGATTTCGAACGGCAGATCTCTTATCTGTCTGGTCGTTTCGAGCAGCAGCTGGTCGAGAAAGAAACTGAGTTGCTCGAAGAGAAACGCGAATACCAGAAGATGACCACCTCCCAGATATTAAGGCCTCCCACAATTTTTATGCATCTTCAGGAGCATTTCTTGGAGCTATCCTATTTAAGGAGAGAGAAGTTCTTCAGAAGCATCTTGAAGCTGTCCCATTATAGATACGGAGAAAGAAATTGTACCAGCATAGCAGTCCCAAACGGAGAACGAACTTGAATCAGGATGCAGCTGAGGAGCCAAGAGGGATATGAGCACTACCTCTAAGGATAATCGCCCTAGAGGATCAAAAGCACGAAGCGATGCGTGGTTGGGAGGAAAGGGTTACATCGTTGGAGTCTGAGATCGAAACGGTGAAAGACGAAAAAGATGGTGTAATAGAGCAGATGAAGTTGCAGGAGGCCATTTGGCGAGGATGTTATCGCCAAGTAAAACATTTGAGGTGCGTAGTGGAAGCCTTTCGTCCGGCTTTGAAGCGGAAAAATTTAAGGCACTTGTTCTGGGTAGACTCAATATCCAAATCACCTGTTGCTAGTGTAGACTCAGTATCTGCTTGTGGTCTGTCTGTAGTATTTCTGTATGCTGTTATCTCTCTTTCTAACTCCTGATTTAGGCGCCACGTCGAACTCAGTTTCCTCGCCTGCCAGGTCTGTGACTACTGCGAACCATTCGGCGACAAGCAACAACAGGATGACAAAAAAGACCACTTCTGGTGCACACACTAGTGCTGTTGGTGCACCTCAACAGACTCAGTTGTCTTACAACAATACTAGTACAAATCGCCAATTGGGTAGTACAACCACTTCACAAGCGCAGAGACACACAAGCACATGCGGATCGGTAGCTGAGGTTGACTCTGAACGAATGGACGCTGCCGCAGCGTCTAGTGGGTCTTTTCGTCCAAGCAGCTACTGTGTGATTAAGGCTAGACACTCACTCTTTGGCGTGAGGTATCCTGGGTCACGTACGCGCTTTCCTTGACTTAAAAGGGAAAGCAAGGGGAAGCTTGGCGTGAGGTATCCTGGGTCACGTACGCGCTTTCCTTGACTTAAAAGGGAAAGCAAGGGGAAGCTTGGCGTGGGGTATCCTGGGTCACGTACACGCTCCCCTTGAGTTATAATTCAAAGGGTCAGGAAAGCAACTCTTGACCTCTTGACTCAACCACAGGTAGTGAGGCTCTAGCGTTAATGTGATCAACTTGCAAGATAAACGAGGTGGAAGTTCTGTAGGTGGGGTGGTCGGTCGAGCTGGCCCATTCTCGGGAAGCAGCGCTAGTGGGGGGTCGCCTCGTGCCGAGCGCAGTCTGACAGCATCGAGGAGCGCTGCTGTGACGTCGGTTCGGTCACCGAGTACAAATACAGGCCCAATGCGATCAAACAAAACTGTGGTTAGATTATGACTGTCTAATGAGAGAAGAAGGATGCGTATTACTTACTCATCGATGTTGCTCATCGTGTTATCCATCGTTTTATATTGACTAAGTGTAACTCAACATCTCTCCCTCTCTTCCCACTTCCTCCTGATTATAGACTTGTCGAGAGTTCACCCTAATTGATAATATACATATAGCATTTATTGATTCTAATTTCAGTAGAATAAGACTCTTCATCTGTGAGATTGCACTAAGTTTCTTGATATTCTAAGGTCTACATCATGCTTATTGATTCTAATCTCCGATGAACTGCACCAAGACGAGCAGCAGGACTTCGGAAGAGACCGTAACCCGACTCTACTGGAATTTTCGCCACGTTCTCGAACAGCCATAAGCCGCACACCAGAGAGCGTCCGAAAGATATGAATGGACGTTTAATTGTTGTTGTTGTTGTTCTTGTCTCAGTAAAGTTGAAGTACAAGTACGTTCCCCTCTCCTCTATACACTCGTATGACTTGCAAAGTTGTCTCTCTCTCTCTGAATATGTTAATGAAAGCACTTTTACAGGACCACCAGACGATTCCAGATGGTCGCGTGTTGCTAGGATGAGGTGACAAAAATAACTACGCCTCAACTACAAGAGGCTTCCTTTCATAATGCAGCAACTCTTCGACCAGCCTGTACGTGACCGCCAGTAGGGCATGATCACCGCCAGTAGGGCATGATTGTGTGGGCAGATGGCGATATTGAAGCGAAGTTGGTGTGGAGCGCGAAGAAGGCTCTTCGAATGAACGGTTTTTAGCGTATTTCGAGATTTACAGAGCTTTTTGTGGCTTATCATGATATGGGACGTTTGAAGATGATGTCATACACGCAACACGTACACGGTCAGGTATAAGGAATACAAATGCACTCTACGTTGTTACGGAGGTAGACCTATGAGGAAAGTACTATCATACCAGAGTAACTATGAAAAAACAGTACAGATGGCGATGGAAAAAGACAAATGATTGCAGCAGGAAGCACCGAAACAACTACTTAGTCAATGCATCACTCTCTTCGAAAATAAATCTGAAAGATCTAGTAGATCAAAAATGCACCTGTAATTCTCAGTATAAACGTATTTCTATAGCAGGCTTGTGCGCTTTCAACATTATCATTGTATAAAGAACAGTTAAACAGCCACTCAAGAAAAATATCTCGTAACGATAGAGTCTGGGCAATTGTAAAGTCTTTTTGACCTCGAGACATAAAATGAACCCCAACATGAAGCAAATCTTCAAGGAGTAAGAGAAAAGTAGCACAGTCTTGACTTCTGCACTGTCAAACGTTGGAATTTCTCGATGTTGCTTGTCGTCTAAATCAAATATTGAGTTCTACTACTGTACCGCTGCGTGCAACAAGAACAGCCATTCTGGACTATATGAATCAATCATCGTGCTTGTTCCCACATCATCCATACGAATGGTATGGGTGCGTGCCTTATCGGTCGTTCCTCCTGCTAAGTCAAAACGAATAGTGAACTCAATGAAGATCCATCTCCAACAGGCTCCTGCGTCTGAAATGTTGATCCTACAGTTCATAGTCGTGAATGCTCACCTCCTCGAGGCGAGCCAGCTGCTATCCTATCCCAGGTGTGTGCTTTTACAAAGACACTTTAGAAGATGATTTTTGTAGTTTTCCACTAATAGCCGGTCGTGAGGTCGTGGGATTCTGTAGTGGTCATGCCAAAATAATCGTACGGTGAGCTTGGTGAACAGATCACTGGACTCTGTCATGCCAAAATTCTTGGTTCCATGCTTGCTGTGTCCTTATCCTCAGTGGTGCGGTTGTTGTTTAGTACATTAAATTTGTGCTTCGGTGTAACATGATCGCATGAAGCAGGTTGTGTCCTGCCAATGCACTTATGGTCGCGGTCATCACGAGGCATTGAGCAACGAAATTGATGAGTTTTGTCGTTTTGACTAATACGAATACCCGCGATAGAAGGAAGAGGTGGAATTTTATGAAAATTTTTCACTAGCTCCGTTAGAAAAATAGGTCTAAGGGAAATCACTACCTTCAGCATAATGGATTAATACTTTATTGCTCGGCAGTGACGGGCCAGACTTTCCTTGATACGTCAGTCACGCGATCATGATGACGTTTTCTACTTCTTGATTCTAAGGACAATTCGTGCAGCTTACCAGTCACCAGACGATGAGGTCTACTTCCACTTTATTCTTCTAAGAATCATTCATTCCTGAAGTGTAACGAAAAATGGCAATCGTTTGTCGAAGTTTGGACGATGTCCAATTCGATTTCGAGGCAGAGCTGTTCTGCAAGGATGCGGACCGCGGTCACCACCAGCGGAGAAGAGATGCGCATGCTGTAGTGTGCAGGCATTGGTTACGAAACCTCTGCATGAAAGGAGAACATGCGTGCCCCTATCTTTATGTTCCACAAATAACTCGAGCTCGAACACTAACTGTCTGTCTGGAGTGTTACGACAATCCTCAGTTCGTATGGAGTACCTACTATAGAAAATTGAAATATGAAGAACTACAACTAGGGTACTACTTAAATTTTATAACTTTCAAATACGAAGAACTACAACTAGAGTACTGAATTTGATTTTAAAAAGTAACATTTTCCATTGATTCAGGAAGATTGATTGGATTTCGATTGAATATACTTTGGAGAGTATTTCATTCGACTTATTGATAGGGCCTCTACACGAATTGGCTTACTATCGTGTGATTCAGAAGATTGTTACGACAGTGTTTGGAAGATTCAGAAGACAGTGTTTGTGGTTCCATTAGACCCCTTTCTAATACCAACATTATTACGACCCGAACCGCATGCCAGAGTGCCAGACGTGGCTACGGCATGGCAAGTGCACAGACCCAGACTGCATTTATAGGCATACGAAAGACGAGTCAAGACCAGACTGCGAGATGTACAAATATGGGTTTTGCAAATTGGGCAACGCTTGTCGTCTCCGTCACGAACGCAAACCAAGACGCGAGCTGCCGGAAATTTGCTCTGACTACTTCTTGGAGTGCATCATTATGAGAACTATTTCCCCTTAAATACAATAGTAAGTACAATTATGAGAAAATTATTTGAACTGTATGCTATTGGATTGCGTCGAGGACTGTGTTTTGTTTCATGATACCCGAACAAGAGGCTGGCTCACTAGCAGATAATGCTTTTGGATGGGAAATGTGTAACCATGATTAATTCCTGAAGTCTATTTATTGGTAGTGAGAATGCGAATAAACATGATCGAGGTAGAAGTAAGATTGTAGAATAAGAAGGCTGGATCTCACTTCTTCATATGCTTTGCGGAAAACGTGCAGTTAATTCCGAAACTTGAGTTGGCGAAACCAGTAGTAGAGGCAGAGCCGGAGAAGCCTCCTGAGGTGATCAGTCCTGCGCGAGCACTTGTGAACCTGCCAGAGCCGGTGGAAGGAAAAATCAAATTCGTTTTCATCAAGTCTGCAAGCCGTGCAAATTTGGATATCAGTACTGGGCTACTTATTTTGGTTTCGAAAGTTTTGCTAGGCTCACACAGTCTAATAATGTGGGATTGGCTTCCCTCGCTGGAGCACCTCCTGGGGCGGCCTCTTAGGTATGCAGATCCCATCCCTACGGAGACGAGACGGGGCGCGGGGTGGTCGAGGAGGGAGCGTCCTCGCGTCAGGGGCGAAGTGGTGGGTATTACGGCGCCCCGCCTGTTGGGGTTTTCATATTTTGGCGCCTGGCTCGGTGGTGGCGAGCTTCGCCACCATTGAAACGGCACCCAGCCGCGGCCTCGTTTGGGTGTCATGCGTAGCAGGTTTGCGAGCACACGAGAAGCAACGCAAACCACACGGGGGGCGCCTCTGGATTTTAGGTAACTAGTTCGAAGCAAGCAGGCCGAGGCAAAGGCAGACGTGAGGCAGCTGCGAGGTGCAAAAGTGAAGGGGAGGGAACGAAGGAGAAGCGGCGCCGCGGGCTTGCTTTAGTGTGGTGCACAAACCGCACGAAGAACGCGACGGGCAGGCCCGGAGAGTGGGGCACGCGCTAACGCTTGGCGAGAAGTTGAGGGGGTGAGCTACCTCAGCAACCTGTGAAAGAATGAAAAAGCAACACACACAAGAGAACAAAGGAAAGCAAGCACAAAGGCCGCGAAGACGTCAAGCCCGGCGTGGCCCCTTCTGGCATCGTCAGGCCAGTAGAGCCCCGCGAGCTTCTCCAAAAGTAGGCCAACGCCTGCCGCCTCATTCCGTGGCGCGCCGCTTCTGGTAGCTGTTGGCCGCCAGTGTCTTCGAAACCAGGACCGGCGGCGCCCCTGCCCTTTTGCTAAGTAACTTGGCAGCCCCTGCCTATGCATGGCCAAGCCGAGTCGCTGCATTGGGGGCAAGTCGTCCGGCGCTCCGTGAATCTTCCGAAAGGAGACACCGACGCCGCTCGTTTCGAGGAGCTTCACCTTACTCCTGTAGGCAGGCTCCACTTTGAGAAGCGTCCACCTGGTCGACACAATTCGCCACCATCTCTGACGAGGTGGATCCTTTGTGTTGCCCAACTGGCCTGGAGTTCCAAAGTCCTCCGCAGCTTCTCGCGCTACTCGATTGGCTGGAGCCTTAGGCAGTGACCTGAGTAGCCCAGTTACTTAGGTGCGCCGCGTCTGCTGTCGTCACGCGGCTCGCGAAGGTCTTCGCTTTCGGGTCGCGGTAGTGCAGGCTGATGAACTGAAGAGGCTGAAGTGTCTTCGTGCAGAACAAACGAAACGCCTCAGAACCATAGCCGAAGCACTTCCCGCAGATAGTTGGCCCCTCTCTCTGTGCATTCTTGTCGCCGCGCAATGTACCCGGGCCCCGACCCTGCTGCCCCCCGCGGCCGAAATTAATGCGCGGCGGATCCCCCAGAGTGCACGCGACTACACCAAGCGTGACAGCTTCGCTGACCCTCACACAGCGCCGAGCTTCCCGCGTGCGCGCGGAGATTTTCGCAAGCAGAACGGGAGGAGCGCATTGCCGCTGTCGCATTGGTGACCGGCTGCAGCGAAAAGCTGACGGCCTCGCCGCGGTCTCTAAAGATGCGTCGGCGAGAAGCGGGCCGGAGGGCGCAGCTGGGCAAGACTGTGCCTGTCGAGGTGCTTGCGTCTCGTATGTCGGCGCTGAACAACGGCGGCGACCGCCTTGGGGTGGCGTGCGAGCCACTCAGCCCCGCTCGCTGGCTTTGGTTGGGGCGTGTCCTTACTTGTTGTCTTTCTATTCTCCATGAGGAGCTGCTTCCAGCCGCAAAATCGCAAAGCCACTAGGTGTTGCAGCCAGTCGCAGCCGCAAAATCGCAAAGCCACTAGGTGCAGCAGTCCGCTGCGAACGCAAGGCCGCAGTTGCAAAATCGCAAAGCCACAAGCGCAGCCGCAAAATCGAAAGGCTGCTAGAGGTCGCAGCCCGCCACTGGCCGGCAAGAAAAAACGCGCCCAGCCTACTGCGGGCTCCTTCCTCACGGTCCTCTTTGCCTCTCCCTTTTGGTTTTCCTCCTTCGCTCACCCCATAAGACTTGGGATGGGCATGGAGCTGCTCGGTAGCTTCTATGCCTTGGACAGCCAGGCAAGGCAGCTGTGAACCCTCGGGAGCTCCTAGCATCCATGACTAAATAGCGGAGCGCGTTTTCATTGCCTCCCTCGTGATGGTAGATATCCTCTGAATTAACTTGAACTAACTTGAAGGTATTGCGAAGGCAGTGTGGGCTACAACGCCTGGCAACAGCGAGTATCTCGAGCGGACTTTCCGATTTTTTGACCATGTCATCTTGATAATGACGTGTAAAGAAACGAAGCGGTTACTGGGGTACGCCAAGATGCTCTCCATATCCGATAGTGGGCTTTTTCAGGGCATCTGGGGCCCTTTGGGAGCGAAATTAGGCAACAACTTCCGAGTTCACTGGCTGAAGATGTGCAATCTGCCTTACGAAGCGTTTGACGGATTGCGAATGACGGATCCGAATGTCGGGTATTCAGTTTGTTCTTCCAACTTCAAGTACAGGGATAGTAATGTTAAAAACTTCATCTTCATTTTACCTGTAGTTTGTGCAGTTCCTTTTTGTCACATCCTACAATGAGTACGTAGCAGTTTATTTTTTCAGGTTCCCGAGATAGGGTGGCAATGGGCTCTTTCTCTGACTAACATGTAGACCTTCTCAAGCTTGGAAGAAACACAATTGAAGAAGTGATCAGACACAACTCAGACAGGAGCAACTAAGGAAGCATTCAACATTACACCAGCGTGGTTCCGTTCCACAAGTTTCGAGACGGGATGACGTTAACGGACGATATTGGTGAGTTGCTGTGCGGAAGACTGACGCAGGAGCCCGATGTAGACCATCTTGTTGGCACCGAGTTTGCAAGGGAGCCACGCATTGCCTATGACCCAGAAGAGTGGCGTCGAGCACGACTACAACTTCTAGGCGCCTCCACTACTGGCCCTGTTGTTGGTGCTGGACAGGGAGCCGGAACGTCAAACGGCACTACAGGAGGACAGCGAGTGCCATCAAAGGACGGACGCGTTGGAGGAGATATTAGTGGAAACGCCGCTGCACCTGGTGGGCCTACAAGCTACAATGTCTTCAACGGACAGCCAGAGCGAGAAGTAGTAAAAACAGGGACCTTCGAAACCAGTCCATTTGACCAGGGACATCAATCAAGGACGTCGACAAAGCAAAGTAACAACGCAGCGGCAGCTTCTGTTAAGGCTTCCCCTAATTCATCTTGCGAAGCATCCTGAGGAGGCCCCTCAAGTTGAGAGGAGGCCAGGATGAGGCTAAAGATGGATTCGGGAGAGCTCTCTAATTCTTGTGGAGGGCAAGCTTCTGGACCCGCTGGTGGGGGTGCTGCATCTTCTAATATGGGAGGTGGATCTATTGGAGCACATGGAGGACCCTCTAGTGGCATGATGAACAATATGAAGAATCCTAATTATCCATCGAACAGCATCATGAGTAATATGCCTGGTTCTTCAACAACAGGAGCACCGATTGTGACAAAGGGAGATCTTCCACATGGTAAGCAGGGAGATAAAGGCAAAGGAGGAGATCACCACGGGAAAGGAGACCTGCAGCATGGTAACAACAAGGGAGGATCCTCATCGTCAACACGCGGCGGAGGCGTCTGGAAGCCACCGGGAAGTGGAGTCTGGAAGCCACCTGGGATCAAGACGGAGCCATCAGCAACCCCACCACCCTCGGCGACTCCACCGCCACCACCCCCACCGCCTCCTCCAGCACCTAAAGGAGGAGTTTGGAAGCCACCAGGAGCACCGCAAGGACCGGGCCCGGCTGCGGTATTCTTGTTTAAAAACCTTCAGTATCGTTAGTTTTTTCATCTCAACGCTCCTCATGGTGTTATTGTATTCTGAAGCTACTTCAAAGAACGTACTCATCTAGTTGTGATAGTAACATTATATATAAGAATTCGTTCCACTCAACACATTAAATCACGCTCAACCGGCTCGCCATCCAGGATACCAACTACTTTTTACAAAACAGCACGTTCCCCCAGCACAGCGGGCTCCGCCTGGAGGCGTGTGGCGACCACCAGGGGCTCCAGGACCTGGGCCTGGACCAGTTCCGCCTCAGGGTTATGCACCAGTGATGCGTGATAAGGGTGGGCCACCACACAAGGGCGGGGGGCCCTACGGAGCACCGCCGTTCGGTGGTGGCAAGATGAATGGAGGAAAAATGAAAGGAGGAAAGAAGTTCTGAGTTGCGCTGACTCGTACTGATGATAAACGATCCCGACTGCTCTCCTGACGAAGATTCTTAGATGAGTACCATCTCTCCTGCCTTCCTGACGAACACAACTACTTCCTACAACCTGCGTATCTAGATTCCCATGTATTCAATACCCCACGACTCCCATCTATTCATTTCCACATCTACCCCATGAGCTTCACCCGCATGGGCCTCGCACTTCGTTGAAGGAAACTAAAGATGAAGAAGAACGCACAAGATTTTTCGGACCACATGCTCCTTCTTTGTGTAAATATCCTTGTTGTTCATAACACTTACACTTGTTGTTCATGACAGACAGAATCGACCACACGAAAACGCTTATCCGATTTGATCTCTTTGCTCCTCAAAAGAGCTTTCCTCGCATGCTGGAGGCTACAAGTGCTGGAGAACTTCCTACCTGCTACTCTAAGTGTTCAATTGTCGGTCTCATCTTAAGATTATCCAAGACTGAAGGTGAAAAACAAGCCGAAGAGAACTCGCTCATACATTCAATCTAAAACTACATATCGAGACTAACTCTTCACTGTGTGATGATGCGGGAAGTCACGCCATGACATGGAGAAAGAAAGACGTGTGCCATACTGGAAGACAGTCTTGTGCCACAGTGGAAAGACAAGAGAGAGAGAAAGACAGCGCACTGATCACTGACAAGTGCGCAAGGTGATGAAAAACGAGAATTTGAAACAACTGTGGAATAGTACTCATCATACTCACGACGATGAGATGTTGACAAACTCCAATTTTCATCTCACTTATACAGAACTTATAGACACCTTTTTTGGCAGATTCTTGTTGATTTGATTTGTTAATCTTTTGGGCTTATGTGAGTGAAATAATTGTAATTCTGTCTCTCTCTTCTTTTGACTCTCTCATCAGAGCAATAACAATAATCTGTATCTATTAAAGAAAAAGATAACAAAAGACAAAGGCCTGGGGAGTCATCGAAAGCAGACTCAGGATGTTGCCCCAGCAAACGCCGGCCACGGGCTCGTGGGGAGTCCCCTATAGACCGCCACAGATTAAGCCTCCGCTGATCGGCTTCGCTCCTCAGCTAAAGGCTCCGAAGCCGGCGACGCACACACCGAGGGCGCCAGGATCTGGAGGACGTAAGATTCTTAGATAGCCATCACTATGCATTTTCACTTTTTCTGTTTCACATTTTCTGTTCTTGACCTAGCAATGAGAAGGATCCGTAACCTGACCCAACCACCCTACTTCTAGATTGAACTACAGTGTGAGCAGAAGAGGCACTTCTAGATTGAACTACAGTGTGAGCAGAAGAGGCCGTTGCTTCGTCGTTCCCAAAACACTCTTAGGATGAGCGCCTACAATCTAAACAATTCTTCAATCTAAACAATCTAGTCAACTACACTCGTACATCTTCAAGGGGACCAACTTAAGTTGTATAACTACTATTCTTATTTCTTCTTCCCCCAGCAGCAACGAGCGACACACGTGGGAATTATTCTGGCGGTAAATCTCGTGTCCAGCAGCCACAGCAACAGCTTCCGCAACCACCGCAGCAACCCACGGTAGTGGCTCCACTTCCACAGCAAAGTAGTCTCGGCACTATACGAATGCACGGTAGTGGCCTACTCGTTTCGGGTGGAAGCTCTTCATCGTCCAGCCAAGTGGGAGTCCATGCAGCGGTGACAACAAGAACAACAACTGTTATGACCATACTAACATGGAACTACAGTTAATAGTCTTTTCCACCCCTGGAGTGCGTAGTACATTCATTCACTCATTCACTCAATGGCTGGTAGATTTGATATTGTAACAGCAACTGAGATCAGATCTGATGTGTAATGCTGCTGTGACAACAAGACTGGAGATGTAACATGCTGCTGTGACAACAAGAACAACAACTGTTATGACATGATAATATTGCCGAACAAGATCTTCATGCTCATGACCGTCCCACGTGGCGGTCGTCGGCTCCTAGGAATCATGCCGTAGATCAGGTTCTTCTAACCGACGACCGCCACGTGGGACGAGGACCAATCCAGGCGCGAATAGCCAAGCCGCGGGTGATGGCGCGACGTTGACAGAGGGGAGCCTGGTCGAAATCCATGGGAAGCAGCGGACGTGCATGTACCGCGTTCTGCGGCCTTTGGGAAAAGGCAGCTTTGGTTGCGTTTGGCAGATAAAACGCGCAGATGCGCAGTTAGACGGGCAGCCCAGGCGCGATTTTGCGCTTAAGGAGATTCGGTGCGTTGGGGAGAAAGCGTACTTCTAATGGAATAGATTTTTGTCAGACCTATGATTGGAAAAGGAAAACCAGGACGACTGTGGATGAATAGAGTACTCATAGTGAGAATGAGGGACTGTTACTTGATACCCTTGGGTTTGAAAACTAACACGATTAATATGCGTAGGGTAGTTCTAGCTTCTAATTTCAGTCTTCGATAATCGTCCTCAACCACACGATTCCAGGTTTCGCCAAGCGTTGTTTGAGGTTGAGCTTATGCGCTCACTTGGGGTAGAGGGTGGAGTGCGGACTCCCGAGTGCGAGGATTACGATTATGACCGACGTTTTAATAATATCCATACAGCCACGTTTTGATACAACCGCGTTTTGCGCTTATCGAATCTCAAGTAGTGAATGAAAACCAACAGCATGCTGATAGATATCTTCGCTTGAGTCATTATTTATTCTAACCACGAATTGAATAGGTGCTATCTTCCCTTCCTCTTCTAACCACAAGTCCGTCAAGTGCGTAGGAACGAGTGGCGCATTCGTTTGGTTATGTCACGGCTGCCTGGTGAGCCACTTGATAGTTGGATCGAGCGAGCAAGAGCTAGTGAGCGCTCGAGTCCGCGAGCCGGAAGATTTTGGCGTGACTTCGCAGAAAGTAGCAGATTGGCCTATCGACTCTTAGGCCAGTTAGCGCCGACATTTGACCAAGTGGAAGAGAAGGCCCTGCATCGCGACGTCAACAGCCACAACATCCTCATCTCATCCTCGACAACGTACCTTAAGGACTCTTCATACTCCTTGAGGCTTAGGAGGCCTGTATGAAAGCGTAATTAATCAGACCCCGTGCCAGGCACATCAATCAATGAATCAATCAATGAATCAATCAATGAATCAATCAATGAATCAATCAATGAATCAATCAATGAATCAATCAATGAATCAATCAATGAATCAATCAATGAATCAATCAATGAATCAATCAATGAATCAATCAATGAATCAATCAATGAATCAATCAATCAATCCCATTGTGGCATAAGTACTAGTACCTATCCTCAAACTCAGAATTGCAGACTACGAGGAAGATTGTGATGACTCGGTACGTGATGACGATGCTGAAAATCTCGGTGCTGCAGTGGGGATGGACTTTTGGTTGATTGATTTCGGTTTAGCAGTGAATGCCAAGGATTGGCGAGGACGAGACATGAATAGGGGGGATGGGAAGAGTATACTTATTTTATTTTTATTAAGTAGTTACTTGGCAGTTTGCTGTTCGGATTTACTAGTTGATCACTTAGTAGTCTTAATTCGGTACATGAGGCTCCGTTTTTATGGACCTTCTTGTGGTATCATGAGTCAACAGAGTACATCCAATTCACGCTTTCATCCATGCTTAAGCACCCCTCAGGTTCGATTTTCGGCGATCCGCGCAGTACCTCCCAGCGTGCAGCAGTTGCTCTAGATAATACAGGGACACACGATGGGCTTTGGAAAGCCTTTGACATTGGAGGAGACTGCAAGTATTGGCCAGCCAGCTCCTGGAAACAGTTTCTCTATGGGTGGAAATACCTGCAGAGCAGTACTCCTTTTTGAGAAAATTTAGTAATAGTCGCTTAGGTTTCTTCAGTTAGAAAATTTGTCAATGTGTGAAGATGTAGTTGTGCCGCTTATCAGAAAAATGTGGACCATGTTCTCCTCCTCGATCTGGATTATAGTTTGTCGCGGATCATCTTTCTACAACTTGCCATGGGAAGGTTCTCCTTGTCCTCTTGGGTGATGATTCAGAAGTACCCTCTGATCCCTCTGTTGCAATACCCTCTGGTATATTTAACAAACCCACAGGTAGAGACGACTGTGCTCAGTACCGCACACGCTTAGACCATTTCGCTATGGGCATTACCTGTCTAGAACTGCTATTTCACCTGTGCGATCGCATAGAGGATGAGCGTGGCGAGACGACAGCTTCTATCAATTATGACCATGGGCGAAATGAATGTAGATGTACTGTTCTTCATGAGAGAGTGCCACTGTAGATGTACTTTTTAACATGATAGATTAAAGTGCCCGCATTCTAGAAAAGAGATGAATGTAGATGTACTGTTCTTCATGAGTGCCCGCATTCTTGCCTCTAGAAAAGTTGTTGTTACTTATAAATATCGTGTTAGTTGTTACTTCCTCAGTGTTTGCTCAAGAACTCTAAGCCTTACTTCTGGACGACGCAGAAGACCAGCCGACGCCAGAGCTCGCGCGTTTGATCCTCGATGCACATTCCGCATGGAGGCAGTACTGGCGAGACGCGACCAAGGTACTAGTACTTTGATGACTTATATTAAAGGAGAAAAACTTACTAAGTTTGAGCTGAATAGTAAACTTTGCCCGTCGTCAAACTATTTTCACTTCTAAAATATCACTGCACCGGTCAGCTTTCACCTCACCAAATCTAGGCTAATCTGGTGCAACAAATGATTACCATTGCACAGATCTGGCAGTCATTGTTTTCGACTTTCAAGGGGACGAGCGGCAAGGACTGGCAGCAGTTGAAGCAGCAGTTTTGTAAGGAGAATGTGAGTGAAGTATGCGGTCGGAACGTGAACAGGCTGAAGGATACCCTAGGCGCATGTGCTTTAGCCGCGTCGGAGACGGGCGCAGAGTGGCGCTACTTGAGCACCTTGCTCTTCCTTCTGCGAGACTTGATATCTGAGCGTGGACGCGTCTCATGGCGTGACATGGGCGTTCTCTTGGGGTCAAAAGGGACTTCCTCTTCCACCACAAACAGGGCGACCGCGACTAGAAGCGCAATCGAACAAGCGAGACGTGGTGAGCAACCTGTTCTACTGAATGCAGACCTAGGATCAACAGGGGGTGGCGGGAGTGGAACTGTGGCATTGGGCGATGTTATGGCTCCCTTTCAACTATTGTACTCGTTAATCGACTCTGTAGACGAAGAAGAATACTCATGTCTAGCTGACTATCGATATTCAATAGGAAGACTCAGCCTGCTACTTGCACATCATCACATGACTGCTAAGGGATGTGCTTGGAATAAGTAGCTGTGGCATTGAGCGATGTTATGGTCTGATTCCACATCATCACATCACTGCTAACGAATGTACTTAATAGACTACAAGTAGCTGCTCTAATCAATGCACAGGAGTTGCCAACGGGACTGAAGGTTGTGGAGACGCGCGCTCTTTTTCTGCGACATCTGTCAGTAGTACGCGGTCCTCCGCCACAACTTCCTACTCGACTAACAGTAGTACCGCCTCTGCCCGAAGTGCCTCGGAAAGGCGTGAGAATGATGCCACATTAAGGCTTATGCCGTAATTCCTCTTAGTGAGCTTCTTTGACCTTGACCCTTTTATTATAACAAGGGAAAATTTAAGCTAAAGCTAAAGGGTCGTGCTTTACAAGAAGATGAATCATTCGTATGTATGTAAAAAGAGCAATTCAAAGATAGATGCTTTTCAAAGTGAATGTCGGCAAGGTCTAATCTTCACAGGAGAGGGGCCAGGACCTTCATCTGCTAACGGCGGATCCACTAGCCAACACAGTACTAGAAGTTCTGCCTCCTCTGCGCGCAGTCGCGCGTCGCAGCACAGTAGGCAAGCCTTGCAGAACGCACTAGTTCAGGCGTACAGAAGCAGTCTGGCCCAACCAGTCGTGACACCTGGTTTAGCCGGACCGCAAGCAAAAGTAACAGTGATGCCACCTTAAGGACCGCCAACGATGGAAGAAGAATATCACGATACCTCCTTGACTAGTTATACTAGTTATTCCTAGAAATACAGCAGGAGCGAACAGAGGCTCTTAGCTAGCCTGATAGCGGTATTTAAGTTTTTACCTTACCCTCTCATGGGTATTCTACAACCATACCCCACGAATGGGTACACTACTACTTCTACTACTACTTCTAGCACTCATCTTGCTGTTTTTTACCATTTTCGCATACAGCTCTAATCTTCTCCATTGCAAAAGGGTTTCGCCAGTGGTCCAGCTGTTCTACATCTCGGTCCCGCTACGGTTAAGAACTGCCTCACCCGTGGGCATAGTCTGATTGATTGCAGTTTTTCTCCGCAGCGCCGTGTGAAGAGCTGCGCTGATCATGGGGGCCTATTTCGAACTGCGAGTGATACTAGCCGTCCTCCAAACGGTGCTCCTGCTGCTCCGAAGTGAGGTTATCAGAGGAGACTCCGAGTGTAGCTAAAACCTCGATGTGCAAGTCAAGGTCCTAGTAAGTTGCTCTGGTGAAACAACGTAATCCATCGTTCGTGCACCTTTTCATCTTGGTTTTTTTAGGAAAAACAACTAAAAACAAATGACCTCCAAATAATCCAATATTAACTACCTGACACTAAGTCGACCACCGATACCGTCTCAATAACCGTGGCTCTCATCCAAATCCGATACCGATCACTTACTTACCTTGTAGGCCACTGTCCACAGGACGACCATCGCCTCAGATATCAATATTTTGTCTACCCGTCTCTCGCTAGACTTATTGCACACCCGTCTTTTGACCGGGTATCTTGTCATTAATGACTAGGATCAAAATTAATACTTATTCGAAAAACTGAAATAAGCAAGTAACTGATCAGAATAACCGGGAGACTGATGAGAAGGAAGGGTAGCCTTGATGTTAAGCTACGCCCCTTATTTCAGTCAGTAACTCGGTTACTTCAGTTTTCCGAGTACCACCGTCAGTTACACGCTGTGCTTGTCGTGGAACTTTTTTTGACTTGGAGGCCTGTTGGTGAACCCTGCAGGACTTCGTCAATGGGATTGACGCTGCTGATGTCTCCTTCTGTTTGACATTGGTGGATGGTGGCGTCGTTTTTGCCTCTCTCAACTACAATTTCGTTCCCTCGCCTGGCTCCGTCGTCAGGGGTGTGCAGTCAACCTGTATCTTTTGACGATCTGTCTACACTGTTACAGCTGGGTAAGGGTATATATCTCACTCTTACAACATCTAAAAAGTATATCCGTTTGCTAGTGCAACCCATAGATTTTTTTGTTTGTTTTTTACGCTTCGTTCTCGCCTCCTGATTAGAAAGTACTAATGGTAAGAAGTTCGTTGTAAATAAGTACGTTACAGCTGGTTGGAAAATCAAAAATTGGATTTATTTTGTAATTCTTCAACTACATTGTATTCTTCTCGTTGTATTCTGCTTAACAAAGTTTGTCGTGTTGATCTATTTCGTTGCAGTTCTATTTCGTTGGTCACAATGTTGTATTCTCGTTTTCGCAAGTGCTAATGGGAGAAGACAAGAGTACTTAAGACGAATAATATTAAGGGTAGGGTAAAGGTGCTTTTGTTCCCGCTTTTTATGCCTTTCCTAAGGGAGAAAGGCAGAAAAAGCGGGGTCCACGAGCACCTCCAAGACCCTACCTCTAATAATAAAACTTTTAGCACCATATTGCTTGGTCGAAATTTTTAGCATAGGCAAGGTTTAGGTGTACACATACTAGAAGATAGCGCAAAAAATTTTATGTCATCATGAGTATGACCGCCACTCGTATGGGAAACTACCGGAAGGATTTAGGTGGTGGTCGCGGAAGAACCTATTATCTAGACTGTGGTGGACCGGTTAGAATTTGTAAACATGATTTGTTCAACATTGATTATAAGGGTAAGCATCTTCATATTATGATGCAAGCATGACAAAATGTATTAAGTTTATTAAGTTTAACGTTTTATGTACACCGACGAATAAGAAAAGTCAATGTTTCTACCATGTCCATGGCGGAATGTGTCCATGGCGGACAACATTCAAGTTTTTTGAGCTGAGTAGAAAATACACTTACACAGACATGCTATGAAGAAATGACTCATCGATCATAGGTTTACCTGAGAAGAAGGAAACTTGAGAAGCCAGAATAGGAATTCAGAAACTCCTATAACCTGCACCAGTAGATATGACGTTTGCTCATCCTCGACAAGGGATCTTAACACCACTCGACATCATGCTTCAGCATCATATTGTCCTTCATACTCAGCAATATTTTTAAGCGTCCACACAGCAACATACGTCCACGCGATTATACTGGCGTGCCTCCGATCATGGTAAAGAGCAAGTTTGATGCATGAGTGTAGACCGAATTCCTGTTCTGAAAGCCTATGGTAGTTGTTCAGAGCAATTGCACCACTAGGAGAGGGAGCCAGCTCCCTTAGCTTCTCGGCGGCGTCATGGAGCGAAGGGCGAGATCGTTGTGAGAGGCGGGAGGTTCCTCAAAGATCTATTGTGACAAGTTCGACATTGTTCTTTTTTTTACCCAGATCAAGTGCGAAACATGAAGGCAACTGCTAGCTCCTCTCGGCGAGGAGGGACAAGTCTGATGAAGGGTACACAAGGGAAGGTTCGTTCGCAACTGACACTACAAGTACTTCCGGTTACAGCTTCTTCAGGGCTTCGTTCGCAACTGACGCTACGAGTACCTCCATCTCATGTTCCACACTGCAGTTGCTGGGATCAGCGTCGATACAGGATGACTGCTGGTTGGCAAGGAGGCGGCAAAAACCGATTTATTAAGGCTTCCCCTAATCTATCCCTGTTTAGGGATCCCTCAAAGACAGTATGCGCCCCAATACAAGGGAGATACTGACGCATATGCTTGAGGGATTTCCACAGGGATGAATAGGGGAGAGCTCTAAACTTAATCGTTTTCGAGATCGTGCAACGCGACTTCACAACGACTTTGTTCAGCAACTTGGTCCGCGACTGAACTACCAAGATCCGCGTTCGAGCACAGTCGCTTCCAATCCTTCAGACGGGAGCTATGATCCTGCATTGAGGTCAGGGCACCAACGGGCAGTCGAAAAGTTCGGGTTTTCAGATTATTTAGCAGGTGGTGAACAAGGCAAACGTAGTACGTCGAAGAAAGGTTCGCATCAGTGTCATGAGGCTGAAGTGGAAGGAGTTGCAGCTGGAGCGTCCCCTTTTTCCGCAGCATTAGCCCCACCGAAATGGCGAGGAAAGGTGTACGGATTTGAGTTGCCTGGCTTTGGCAGTATCGAGATCCACCACGGAGACATATTTGAACACCGCAGAGACGGGCTGGAACAACGAAGTAGTTTTAGTGGAGAAGGGTTTTTCGAACCAGAAGATCAGAGGACCTCCTCTGCGTCAAGCCTCTCATCATCAAATTCAACCTCCTCATCATCTTCATCATCGTGTGTTACGTGGCTCGTCCCGATGATTCCGAATTTTCTGCCTGGACGTGGATTCTCTCTTGAGGTCTTGGAGCGGGGTGGGCAAGGCCTAGTCAAAGATGCTTTTAGGGAGTCGCGGCGTTTCCTAGCAGCGCGTGATAGCTCTCATCTGGACATTGGTGATGTCATTTCAGTTCCTGTCGTGACAGCAGAAGATCGGGAGAGCTCACCGTTCAGCAGCGTATGCCTTATGTTTTGACGTTGTAAGTCTTAAGTCTTAGCTGATTGATGCGCTCGCTATTGAATGTGGTACTATAACTAGTAGAATCACTCTATTCTCTATATAACACCTATGCTTTCATCTAGGTCTAGCTGAGGAGGTAGGAGAGTCATTCTTGTTATGGAGATAGGCTATACATCACCTCCGTCGGATCAACCCGATGACCGTCCTTGATCCAACCGGCATATTACTACGCGAGCGCGTAACGTGCGAGACGATAGGGTCACGCGCGACAATAATAATAATATATAATAATAATCGGTGGTCCCCCTATAATGACTATCGTGTGAGCTTCGTGGTAACGCCCTATTTCTGGCAGGGCTCAGCATTCGATGCGAGTCAGCGTCTCCGGTATTGCGTTCGACAAGGACTTCGAAATTGTATTCCGTCAACACGAGCAGGAGACGTTGGTAGTACTGAATCGAGTTCGGGTTCGGGTACAAGTACAACTAGCACAAGCCCATCATCTTCTACCATCTCGACGACAACTACGTCATTACCGAAGCAGCACACAATTTTGGTGAATCATCTTGCGCAAGGACTCTACGGCTACGAACCGAAGGCTGCTGGGCGTGTCTTGTTAGAGGAATGCGTGGAAGCAATGCTGCGGTTGGACTCATTTTTATGGCAATGAAGTTTTTTCTTTTTGATTATCGAAGCTCTCCATGATCAATCTCAAAAGGCTACTCTCTAAATAAAACAACCGGTTCGTTTTTACCTCTAGCGTGTAGCCCTTCCAACAATCTATTCTCTAACATTTGACTACGACACCGGGGATCAGCTTCGATGTATCAAGATCGTCGACAAGGACTGGAAAGCGGTGAGACTCTTAGCCCAAGAGCTTCAGGAGGTTGAGAGCTTGGCGGAACCATCGCTGCGTCCACAGACTGCGCATACGTATTATCATCATTTGTTTCGCAAGTTGATTGCATTACCGGACCAGCCGAACCAGTTTTTGCGGCAAAACAAAGTGACGTTTTAAGGCTACAGATAATTCATCTTACCAGCATCTTGGTTTCGTTTCTTATAACTAAGTGAGAGCGGGAACCAAGAAGATGCTCTATGTAGAAGATGGGTTTCTTCTAGCTCTAAACCTTTCCATTGAGACACGGCATCATTCGGAATAAAAGGCAGAACTACATGCATCAGATACGACCGTTTTTGTGGCGACCGCAGAAAGTGAATCAGCCACCTCCGCTTATGGTGGAAAGCGGTACTCATATATTTGATATAGTTTTTGAAAATTTGCTGTGGCTGTATTCTTCCTGTTGTGAAATAGTATCGATTCTCCGTATAATTTGAACGGAAAAGCAAGCTTGTTAATTACAGGTTCCGGCGATCCGACGTCAAACCAACCTTCGCCGCGCCCTCATTACGAAAGGGGCGTTGCCTTCAACCTGTTTCCCAATACGAAGATTAGCGGATTTCATGCCATGCGGAGAAGCCAGACAACCGGTAAATGGATCGGTAAAGTGGAGCATTTTCGCATACGGGATCATGCTCATACTAGTGTGGTGCCTGGCGATGGGCGCTGTGGCAGGCGATGGGGAAATGAGAGGACATAGTAAGGATATTGGCACAACTCAATATGAATGATCACCTTTCAGCTTAATTAAATTTACTTCTTCGTCGATCTCTAGGGTAAGGAACGTTAACTACCTTAGGCTCAAGTGAGTCTGGTATTCATCTTCTTTTTCTTCCCTCCCTCCTCCCTACGTCTCTACGCTGATCCTGTATGTTGATCATTTCAGATGCACTGACGATGGCGATGCTTTTGTAGACTTTCGCTTACATGAGGATGCTTTTTGTGGATGTTTTGAAGACATGCGAAGAAATTGTCGCAAGGTGTAGTTTTGAGGTTCCGATGTTTGCAGATGACACACCCACGATCGTGCCGCAGGATGGACCACGTGATATAAACTTAAAGATTTAAGCATCACAGCTCTTTAGAATCAAAACGTTAGTGGTCCTCTGGGTCGCATACAGACAAGGATGGCTCTTTCTCCTGTGTTCAAAGATGTTGAGAAAGGATCTGATTTTCATCGGAAAAACGCTGTCTATGTGATCCTCATCCGGCGGTAGGTGCTGTGATCTGAAAGTGGAATTCTATCAAATCGATGGAACTCTGATGGTGTTAGCCTGGAAAATAGTAATGGATGAGTCCTCCTCTCGGTTCTTCTCTGCCATGAACTGCGATTTTGAGGGAAGCTTCTACTTTGTAGCATCAATTAGCCCTATCCCATACTTCCTATACTATCAAAAATACAACGGATCTTGTTTACGCAATGTCCTGTGGCGACACACCAGTTCTGCTGCAACTAAGTACAATATTGCCATATTAAGTAAATAAAACAGTCACTGTCACTCTTTACCACGTACAATTAAGCAGACCCGTACCACAATAACAGGGACCACCTAGTGGTACTTGATATTAGTTGACTCACCTCGTTTTTGGAACTTCCTGTCAGCTACTTGTTTATTCCATTCTATCAAGTTCAACCTAGAGTTCAAACGAAAAGAACATGGCTACCAACGGAAACGGCGTCATGGGACGCAAAATCGCGTCCCCCATGGACATGCTGGAAAATCTACTTGCCCATGGTGTACACATCAAGTGCCGTAACGGTAGGGAACTACGAGGTGTCCTGCACGCCTATGACGAGCATCTAAATGTAGTAGTAAGTGGCGTGGAGGAGACGAATAACGTGCCAGGACAAGTGGCGCAAACGAGACACATGGACATGCTATATGTGCGAGGAGATGCGGTGACGATGATCACGAAAGTGGGGATCTAGAATGCCTTGCGAGCTGCAAAAGCGAGTGCGACGATGATCACGAAAGTGGGGATCTAGAATGCCTTGCGAGCTGAACTACACGCGAAGAGCCGATCTTTCTCTATCCTTCTAGCAAGTCAGCTTCAACTCTGGACGATCAGGCAACTAGAAGGATAGAGGTACTTGCTGAACTACATGGACGATTATTCAGGCAAACTAGACATACTAGACATGCTACTACCTCGAGATCAAACGTCATCCCGCCTCATACGTATTCATATACAAACGACCAAATGAATATAGCTTAGTCCTCCCCTGTCGCAAACAGGGTGCTCCCCCGCACTCCTTGAGATACTTAATGAAAATCCTATTGTGATTCATTATTTTCCGATAAAGATGATGGCGAAAGGGCCACTGCTGTGTGGTTGTGCGTGTTTGCGACGTTCGGCTGCTTCGGGATGATGTTGAGTGCAAAAAGAGAGTGAGCTAGGAAGAGAACAAGTTTTGGGCTTGAGTTTTCATCTGACAAAAGAAATTAACGGATGATTGAGTTTGAGGGTAACGGATCACTGCTTGCTGGATCCTATGTAACGTATTTGCTCGACTTCTTGAGACCGCTTCATTCAGCCAGTATCTGCAATCGAAAAAGATGTCCGCTATCAAGATCATATCGTTGCAGCAGGTCCTCGTAGCCCGAAAAATGCTGGCAAGTGTGCAAATACTCCTCTTCGCGTGGTTCTTCTACGCTTCTACGCGTGACTCGGGAGTTGTTTGTTCGAGCAGTGTACTAGATTCATCCCGATGCGATTGCTGGAAGGGCACACGTTTGCGACGGAACCTCGAAACCGTTTTCCGTCTCTCGCGTACTACAGGCTACTCTTTTTCGGAGCTGCGGTCACTTCACGGGAGACTGCCTGTACTGCGCAAACTCTTCGATCATGAGGAGAGGAAAGGCCACATGTTGGCACCAGGACCTTCACCTCCTGTTGCGGAAGCACAGAGACCGGAAGATGAAGACGAAGCACCGAGTCCAGAAGCTTTAAAGACTGTGGAAGCCTTGAAGACTGTGGCACGATTCCTAAACGTGGATTTGCAAGGGGAAATGTTGTGCGACCGCATACTCATGGACCGACAAAGCGAGTGTATGAATGCGACTTAACGATTGTTTAGCCCCTCCGATAGAGCAATCGGTTGTAATTTATTGGCAATGATGAATCCTCTACTGGATTAGTAAATTATGGGTAATTATGCGCCCAAGTAACAAGTCGTGAAGACGAGATCCACTTGATATTTACGATCGCTACCTATTCATGCTAGTTAAGGATTCGCTTAACCTATACTGACCTCACAAGTAAAAAATCCTATGGGTAATTATGCGCCCAAGAGTCGTGAAGACAAGATCCAGATCTTCTACTTGATATCTACTACGTAGTCGATTCATGACATTGTGCACTATTTCTCGCTGCTGTATGGGGAAAACATGCTGCTTGGGGCGGACGGGAAGAGAGTGCTAACGCCTGACTGTCCGATCGCAGAGGCTTTACTGACCCTCTTGTGCATGGAGAAACAGACAAGTTCGGCGTTGCACAGGGAAACCCCTTCTGGTGAACAATCTGGTGCCGAGGAGACCCATGATGGTGGACACAAGGAGACAACAGAAGGAGACGATCAATCCAGTGCTGGCGAACAGGGTGGCGTTGAACCAGCACTGTCTCTTTCCCGAGTTCTGTCAAACGCGGCATGGCAAATGGAATTTCTCGTCTGGCGCTACTTCACGGGGATGGGGCAATGTGCTGGGCGGGACGGTGATCAAGAAGACAGCACTACTGAGCCTGCTGCTAGTGCATCAGCTAAGGATGACCACGAAGACGACCACCATTCTGGACTTCGTAGAACTAGTGCAAGATCAAAATGGGACGACCACGATATTAGTGGCCCCTCCAGTAGAAGATTAACATGGACGTCTCTCCTTTCTTTGGCGGAGTTAATGCGGTTCTATCGTGCGTTCGCGAGGCGTATGTACTTGCCGCCGACACCGCAGCATGCAGAAAGTGTCTTCCCGGCAGAGGCTGTAGGTCTCTGCGGTTTGGGCAGTTTCGACACTGCGCAATTTCGGTTCGAGGAGGAAGAAGATCTGCCGGAACCTATCACGGATGAGGAAGCAATTGAGGACCGCACTAGTGAAGTTGCACGCCTCGCTCAGGGCTGTCTAGTCTTTGCTTTTTATACAGAGCCAGGATCTGTCCGGAACTGCCAAAAAAGGTTGCTTGACTTCTACAGCTATGAAGATGCGGAATACGAGGAAAGCGTAGAAGCTAGTCCGAGGAGTAGATTGGAGAACAACGACGATGAAAACGTGGACGAGACTAGAAGTCCTCAAGGTAGAATTCGCAGAAGACCCATAGCCAGACCGGCACCACCTGACACGTTTTTGTACAACAACGGGGATTGTTTTCTCCTGCGCTGCGGCGCTAGAGCAACACTCGCTGCCGCATTCCGTCCACGGTTCCTGCATACTGCAACTAACGGTGGGTGGCCACGATTAGAAAGGAATTATTACACACAACTATCGACTAGGACTCCTTCTCAGCCATTCCCGCTGATTCAAGATTCTCATGAATGGCTTGTTTTTTCGCTTTTTTGTGGTGATGCAGCTTGGCTGGGGGACTACACATCGTCTGCATGGGCTGCTGAGCTATGGCGCTATGAGGAGTCACGCAACTACACTCCCCTCCATTAAGGTTACTCGTTGTAATAAATACTTATGTCATCTTCTTCTTAGACTGACCATTAAGGCTGGTAATGCATAGTTATGTCATCTTCGCAGGAGGAAGGGATTCCTTTTGCTTTCGCAAGAAAATGAGCTCTACTAAGACAATGGAAATGCGGACTCTTCTGGTGCTGTCGCATCTACAAGCAATGTTGACGACGAGGAGGCTGCTTTGTGGGAGTTGCGACAGAACTGGGCGTTTGCTTTCCGACGCGAGCGCGAGGCAATTGAAGCCGGTGCACCTCCTTTTCACCTCTTCGCCGCTACACTACAACACTCATTTGACTACAATCTGCCTTTGCTGAAGGGCGATGATATGCCTCCTTGCCGCATGCGTCGAATGTCAGATCTTTTTACTCGACGACGAGCTTCCCCTACGCTGCAGAAGGAGTTGGTGTCTACTAAACATCAAGACGCGGCTGTGGACGACTACATCGCAGGGGTAGATCTAGAGACCGAAGAGTTTTTGGCTGGACAGACGTCTAGTATGAAGTCGACCAGATTAGAATTTCGTAAGCGACAGTGGGCTGCACACCTAGGAGCGGCTGCTGGGCGCGGTCGTGCTGGTTGCGCGGAAAAAGATGCATTGACTGGAGGGTGCAGTAGGAAGAAAAGTAGATCCCTTATCTTGTCAAATCTGCGTGTCCACTGCCATCTCTATCTGGTTTGGCCACAGGAGAAGGACCTATTAGAAGAATTTGCGGTCGCTGTTTTACCCTACTGTTAAGGCTACCTAGACAGTTGTCAGTGTAGTTGCTGTTCATCTTCGTTGGTGTTCATCTTCGTCTACTTCACGGAAGTGATACAGGTACATTCGCAAATGAGGAAGCAGTAACCTAAGCGCTAGAGACACTGAGCTGCGCCGTAAATAAGTGAGTTGTGTTCCTCTGGAAAAAAGAAGATAAAAGGAGAGCTTCTTAAACAAAAATAAGCATCAAAAGCTTGAGCCGATCATCAATCTCCTCCTTCAATTCTGAGGCTACGAACGTCTCGTCGGGTGAATACTTGCAAGCTCTAATGTTGTGAGAACTCTGGCGCTTCCATCATCGTCAGTGTGGAACCTTGTAGTGAAGATTCAGAAAGCCTTGATACTGAGCAGCCACATGGAGATGCAAAAAGAAGTACACTAGATGTGGAGATCCGCGGATTTCTATCGGAGATCAGAGAAGGCCAGAGACGAAGTAGAATAAACAACCCTAAGAACTACACGGTAGGATCAGGTGGAATAAACAATCCTAAGAACTACAACCCTAGCTGCAAAGGAGAAAAGGACCCTAGCGAAGCAGGACGATCAGGAGAAAACGGCAACGACTCTCGCGACGACTCTGGACGAGGAGGCAACCTTGCAGGCAACAACAACATTAGAGTACTGAATCTATGTGCTATTTTTGGACCTATGCGCATAGGTGGAGACCAGTGGTTCGAGGGTGAGACGAAAGACACTTATCCCAGGAACCTACTGCAAAAATTGCATTATGGGTTGATCTCGGTGGCGCAGGCTGTTGCGGAGGATAAGGAAGTGGATTCTCCCTCATTTTTTAAGCTCAATGCGGAGGATAAGGAAGGTCAGGATAGAGGAGCTCTTCGCAACGCGTCCCCTCAGGAAGCTCTGAACAAAGTAGGGGATCCAGGCAACTCTGTCGTAGTGGAAGATTCTCCCTCATCTTTTGCTGGCGAGGACTTACCTTCCAACTCGGATGAAGAACTTCTACTGCTCAATGACGAATGGCACTGTTTTTTAGAGTCTGACACGTATTTCATTCCGGAGAATTTCAAGCGATTGCTCTATTCTCGTGGATACGACGTCGAGGGAGTGGACACGAAGCGCTGGCTGGGATTGACTCACAGTCATCGAGTACACTCCGTAAGGCTTACAATAGAATTCTAATTCATAACTTCCACAGAAGATCAAGATTTTTGAGTTTTCTCGGTTTCTCAAGTAGGATTCCTGAGAAATTATAGATGAGCTTATGCGAGATGATTTGCATTTCTAGCTTTAAATCGCTAGTGGAGTATGATTTTTGACTATCTAAGGTTCACAAGCTTATAGCTTTAAACTCCGAAGGGTATCTCCTTGAGCCGTTGCAATCGGGCTGCTTCTCGCTTGCTGGGCTGCTTCACTACGCTGAGTTCTTGCGAAACAAAGAGACGATGAGAATGACTTCTAGTTCTAGAGGAGAAGACCTCGCAAAAGTCGAAAGTAAGACCGAAGACCAGGAGGAGCAAAGAGGACAGGACGATCCAGTTGCAGTTGACAAAGATCATACTAGAGAACAGCAAGATGAAAGTGCTCAACAAGAAGATGCTGTTGAAAGAGAAATGACTACTGCTGCTTCGCCACCTTCTACTTGCAAGGACCCGTTCGACGGAAGCGTTAACATGCTTTTCATGCACACGTTCACATCTTGTGTGAAGGAGAGCTCCCTAAGTGTTAAATTGAAATTCTCCAGTTCCCAGCACCATGGCAATGCAGAAATGAAACTCGCAACACCTTTCGAGTTGTCGGACCCGCTTGGAAGGAGCTACTGGACGTCTGCTTTCAATCTAGTAGGCAAGACATTCGTCCCAGTGCATTGGCAACGGGCTAGCTGGTCCTGGCAGGTGCCGCAATTGGCGTCGGCCCACGACCACTGGCTCTTGATGAACGGGCGACCACTAGTGTATTGGGAATGTCTGGGTCCTACTATTCTTGAGACGCAGGAAACAGATCAGGGGAATGAAGTAGAAACGTCTGACGAGGACGAAGAGAATGAACAGGACGAAGCTGATTTGCTAGAACTATTAGGCCGTCGACGAAACGGGCGTGACGAGGAGCAGAGTCCCGCATCTCACAACTTAGATCTGGGCCCTCTGCACCTTGTCTCGCGCTACGCCGTGTCATTCGACGGTCATGTTTCTTATGACGTCATTGATGATGTAACCCAGAATGTCTGAATCTGATGTGGACCTCAATTGACGTCCACCTCTTCTATCTTTATTATTGGAAAAGCATCCCATCGAAGATCCCTCTCTTCCCCGTCAGCGTCTAATCTCTCGCCGAGAAAGGTGTTTTCACTCGTACGAGCCGCAAGCGAAATTTCCCGATTTCCGTGGTAAATTTGCTGGTACGCACGCACACCTTCCTCCAGTGCCCATCGAAGCTCTGTGGCTCTCTGCGACCCGTTGTATGGGGCAGCGAGGAAGATCAAGGAGAATCTTCTACCTCGAGAAGTTTCTGTACTGACGAGGGAGCATCTTCTACTTCTACTTCTAGTCCTAGCACGACTCCCACTGTAAGTAGTGGCGTCCTTGGAGGCTACACTTCTTCAGAGCCCGACGATCGAGTCGATCACGCTGTAAGTAGTGGCGTCCTTGGAGGCTATACTTTTAAGGTCAGCTTTTAGTAAGTATCCACCTTTCTCGGCCTCTTGGTACTACTTACCCTTTTCCCTTGTATTATTCCTATGAATTACTACAAGGGTAAGAAAGGTGCCAAGATGAGGGGGCCGAGATGCAAAGTAGCAGATTCTAATACTTCTCCAGAGAGCGACCATCGTAGGGAAGTAGTGAAGGCTCGACCATCGTCAGACACCGCCGAACGTTCACTACCCTCACTAAAAGACCGCATGAAGAACGCCGTAGCAAAACGGATATCCGACTGTTGGACTCAAAGGCTGACCCCACCTGCTAGACACGACTACGCTCGTATGGACACTGCTCGAAATGCACTCTTCTGGTCACTTCTTTGGCTCTGCTCTACGGCGGTTGGTGGTTTAAGAGGGAGTGGAGGTTTAAGAGGGACTAATTTCTCTGAATCCTTGCTGTCGAAGGAAGGTTTATCCGACCCAGCCGATGGAGTTCTCGTAGAACAGCACAGGAGTAAAAATGGAGGCAGTTACAACAAGTGTCTTTCGTCGTCGTGGGTGTCAACACTGTCATCTCTTCAAGAATCCTCGTTAGTCCTCGAAAAGGAGAGACACGCTATCAATATTGTTGCAGAAGGCATCGAACGATGCTGGGTATCTGCTGGCTTGAGCAGACGCTTAGAACTAGCAGAGAAACCAGATGAAATGACGATGGAATGGATGCCTAAGTGCTTGGGGTTCATACACTTAGACGAGTAGTTTGGACGCAACATGAACATGAAGATTTCGTGACTGAGCGCCAAACTAACAGCGCAAGAGTTGTTGAATGAGCGAATTCATCATCCGAAGCAGCGGCCTTCACCTTCAGCTATGCATTTTGTTCCTTGGTGCAGTGTGAAAAGAACATCAGACGAGTCTGTCATCGGTTGTATCTGCTGAAAAAATGTGCTCTGACTCTGCTCTCCTCGTTATTTTCATTTCTCTAAGAATTCACCAAGCGAAAAATCATGATCTCTTCTCTACTCCTGTTGCCTGCATCTAATCCAGCGGTCTGTCTATTCTTGCACAATTCAACACGTGGCGCTTCTGTCGCCTTTTCGTATCTCTCTTTATCCCTTTCTGGTATCACATCTCCAAATCCAAATCCAAATTCCAAAGTGTGTGTCAATGTGAAAAATTCTGCGTCTACTTTGGAAACAATCAACATGTTGGGAGAAAATCGTTTTTTTTTTCGCTTTGTTTATCTTTGTGACCAACAGATTCATCAAATACTTGTAAATCTGCAGGCTCGAGACGAGAAGCAACACTTGCGACATGTAGTTAGACATCTAAAAGATAAAATGGAGAAAATTAGATAAATGATTGTTATCTCTACCGAAGTACGTATTGCTTTACGCTAAAAAGTAGATAATAGATTGTTACCTCTACCGAAGTACGTATGGCTTCTCTTTTGCGTAAAAATCTTTGTCAATCAAAATGTACTAATGTGAATATGGCTTACCCACGTATTGATTCTATGGCTTGTTACCCTTTTTAACTTTTTCTTTGACCTCTACTTCAATGACAAAATATAAAATGGCAGCTGTCAACAATAAGAACATGATCGAGAGTGGTCGTGCTGATCATGGTTGTGACGCGAGGGCAAAACGACGACGGCTCGAACAAGAGGCGGCCGAGGATGATATCTCTGGGCTTTACACAGCACGTGAGCAGAAGGAAATGCCTCTAGTACAGCAGATGGAGCGACTACTCGGTCATCACAGAAAAGGAAGTGGAGGCAGCGCGTCGTGGACTTCACCAAGATCTTCAATTAAGGCTCACCTTTCATTGGTCATATCATTGAGGTTAGTCACTGAGATCGCTCTTGAGCGAACAGGGGAAAACGAAGGGAAAGCAAAGGCATGGGGCCCTTTTCTTTCAGAATCAGTGACCAGTGACTGCTGACCTTTAATTCAAGTACGGAGTCAAGTGGGATGAACAGCAGCACTTCTGCGGACCTCATTGAAGGTTCACCTTCAAACAAACGCGACCCTTGTAAGAAGCCAAGTCGTCTCTGTAGGACGAGCCCAAGTGCTTCCTGCAGGCAAGCGCTCTCGATTTTAAAGCACATGGCGAAGGAAGCCGTTCCTCTGCGAACGAAAATACCGTTTCATAAACCCGTGTGGGTAGCGGACGAAGCACCGAATGTAAGTTAAGGCTGCTGGTATATGAATGCTTCGGTCCTCGCTGATTGGTTGAACGCGTTGACAGCCATTGCGTCGTTGTTGAATCTGTTTCGTCTTGCTGGTAGTCTAGGATGACTATTTGAGACGCGAATGAATGATGTGCCACTATATGTGATGAACTAAAAACTGCTATCTTTTCTTTAAACTACTCTAAGTACTGCTGAACGGCCTGTACCTAGCCTTGGAGGGAGCGTTCAAGACGATACATACGATGGGTGACGAAACTTGCGCTCATGAATCATCGGACGAGCATAACCCCGAGGACATCAAAAGGGCATCCTCGTCTCGTGATCAACCTTTGGATGAAGTTCCTTCACCCTCGCGTCGACGACAACGTACTAGTGCGAAAAGGGAGGAAACTGAGGATGACGTGGAAGAAACCCTTTCCTCTAGCCTTAGAAGTAGTCCCCTTAGAAGAAGCCTCGACCAAGAATTGATGAACGACGAAAATGTGGAATTACGTGCTTGTGTCACCATTGCAAGACGACTGGCCATTACTGTCCTGGAGACAGAGAGTTAAGATTTCTACTTTTGTGGTTGATTCATTGCGTAAGAAGTGCCTAGCATCTTATAAATAATCCGAGTTTTGAATATAGATTGGACGATGAGAGTACTGCTCAGTACAGTATCGTTTCAGGCAAAGTGATTTCTTTTCGACAAAGTAGACTGTGCACCAGAAGGTCCTCAAGGTTTACATTTCAATTTCAAGCTCTTGTAGTTCTTCAGTGGCACTTCGAGTCCTACTTATGAGTACTTCGCCGTTCTAAGCAAAGAGGGAGCTGGTCTGGAACCGCCGTGGGCCTGAGTTCGTGCGTGCCTGGAAACAGAGAATAGAAGAGGTAGAAGCGACAGCGCCATTGAACCTAAGTTACAATCCTTTCCGCGTTGTTGCGCGGTGACAAGCCTTGGGTAGGATAATCCTAAACCCTAATCCGTGGAGAAAGTAGAAGTCCACAAGTAGAACGGTCTTGGTACCCAGACTAATTTCAGTGGCGCCTGGACTTCGTCCACCCAGAGCCTTCCTCTTGTCTCTCTCTCTGTCTCGTGATATTCTCTCCCGCGCACGCTGTAGCCTAGTTCCTCCTCAGTCGATGTGGATGTGCGTGTGGCTCTGCTTGCAGTTGCACGTCAATCCTTGGGTAGGAAGACGTCCGTTCCGTCCACAAGAACCTTCTTGAGGGAAAATGAGCAAAGCAATTAAGGGATTTGGATGAAAGAACCAGCCCACCGCTCTAGTTTGAGAATAATTAAGGCTTGCCGCAATTCATCTTAAGAAGCATCTTTGAGCCCTTTGCTCAGGGGAGAACACGGCAAAGATGCACTTAAAGATGAATACATGGGGGGTCTAAAATATACCACGAGGATGTAGATGACTTCTTCTACTTGCAGATTGTATGCGGAGGTGCTGATTATAGACGAATGATGCCCTATGTGCAGAAGTGCATAGATGAAACATTGTAAACAAGTAGAGGCGGACAACTCTCGAGGAAGTTACCCGTTACTTGCGGACAACTCTCGAGGTCCAGATAGTGATCTTGATACGAGTAGCCGTCTCGACCAGGTGAGATGAGATAATACCAATCCTCTATCCCGCACTAGACATAACCAGTAAAGTCTCAGAGTCAGAATGCTCTCCTCTCTAGAGTAGACATAACCCGTTGAATCTCAGGCCCTGTTATACTAAAATTTCTATACTCGTGGAGCGTAGTTTCACTCGTGTATGTGGAAGATGATCTCTAGTTCTAATATATGAGGAGCAGTTCATTAATTTGTAGTTAAAGTTATACGTATCTGTATTTAAGGATCTGAAATTTATTCGCTTATTGGTATGCGTAGTTCCTTGCCCTTGTCGAGTCGGTGCATTCATGGACTCCATTGTTCATCTTCATTTTAGGCCCTGTAGAAGATGAATCCCGAGGATAATATTAATAAGATATCATGATGTTTGTAGTTCGACTAGATAATTGCTATGAGTTTCGATTCGAAAGAAATGGCAGTATTGTGGAAGATCTAACATATATGTCAGGATCAGGAAGGTGACCTTTTGTGGACGTATCAAGGAGTTGTCCTCGTGTGCCGCATCTTGATTGTTTATCTTGAAGTAGATCATCTTTAAAGACCACTATCTTCACTACATTTTTTGCGGACCACGAAGGAACGATGGTGGATGTACGTGAGAAATTCCATCTAAGTAGGCTCGTAAAAAACACACACATCCTCGAAGCAGAATCAAAAATATATTGTGTTCCACGACAAGAGAGTAAAAGCACCTGTTTGAGAAATGAACAGTGAACAGCCTTAAGGCAGACTTAACATCAGGTACGAGTTCGAAGGGAAACATTTCTGTCCGTATGTGATTGCATACAATGCTCTGTCTTCGAATACGCTGAATTTTTAGGAGGAGAGAGACGCGTTCTAGGTTGAACGATTGAATGAATGCATGAATGAATTTGCCTAGCATGATGTGCTGCACTGCTTGAGAGCCTGTTCATGGATGCTTCTCTGATCTGCTGGCTGTAGTTCCACATTCTTAGGAAGATTGTTCCACATCGAGAGTTTGAGAAGTCTGTATTAGAGTCCTCATCTGATCACGAGAGCCAGCTTAGTATAGTGCGAAAAGACATTTTTACATCAATGAATCTGAACTCTTTCGCCCTTCCAACCACCTGAAAACAGAGTGTAGGATGTTTGGTTTTTGTGTTGACCAAATTTTCCTCTTCTTTTACCTTTTCTCTCCTCATTTGTCTCCTCAAATCTGATATAACATCAAGCTGATACTTGATTTTCCCCTAAGAAACTTGAACTTCCTCCCACGTAAATAGATTGGTTTTTTGAATTTGATAACTTCTAAAGCCTGGATAATATCTTGATTCTTCGTGCAACGATCTATTACTCCTGCTCGTACATCGTGACGAACACATGTTGATACCCCTACGGCAGTGACATCACGCCATGCTTCTTGCACGAACATACTAGAACTACTTATAATTAATTAATCACCTCCTTTGCCCCTAGACTTTTCTCCATTTTATAATCGACGGGTTCCTAGGCAATTAGTGCGCGGTAGTATAAGGAGGTTAATGTACTCCACCCGTCGCCGGCAGGTATACCGGATATCACTGGGATCGCCCTTTAGTCGATAGATCGCTGGGTATCACGGATATCACTAGAATGGTCCAATAGGTACTACTATTATTATACCATTTTAGTATTATTAGTGCCCAAGATCATAGAATGGTGGTGGTACTCATTAATATTAGTGTTAATTGATATTATAAATTAGAAGCGGAGCCCCCTGAAATATTGCCAGGCTGAAGCGGAGCCCCCTCAAGAAACTGAAACTAAATCCTTACTTTTTCTCCTTTGTAGTTGCAAGTAGGACTGCGTAGATCAAGAAGAAAACTTGATTTAGACTTTACTACTACATCAAGAAGAACACAAGATGCAAGTAGCAGGTGCATCAAGATCAAGGAAGCAAGCAGCAGGTACAGGTGACGTCGACGGCCGTGGCGCCGTCCCGGTGCAACGACGTGGTAGGCGGGGACGGAAACGTCAAGGACGTGATGATAAGCTTGGACGTGATGATGTTACTAAAAACTACCACAACAAAAATGACCATACTACGAAACCAAGAGGTGGTGGTGGTCGAGGAGGAGGAGCCCCTCCTCCATCTACTACTAATGGTGAAAACATCTACGACAAGATGAACGAGCGAGAAGATAATCAGCGAGAAGATACGCGTGATCTTCCTGTCACTCGTGCTCGTGGTCGTGGCAGAAATCCTAATACTAAAGCTGATGGAGTGCCTCTCTTCAACAAAGGAGTGGATCATCCTGCGGGAGCAAACCCAAACATGAACAATGCTTCTTCCCTTCCGATTAAGAGCAAGGCTGAAATTAGTGCAGAAAGGCCAGCTCAGACGCTATTGTTCCCTTCCACGCGTAGTAATTTTGGGGACCACTCACGAGGACCTCTGCGCGACTATGTGAATGTGAAGAAGCAGGCGTTCAAAGGTGTCAAAGGTGTCGACTCGATCTCCAACGCGGAAGCAGATGCAATTTGTCACAACAAGATGAGCAAGATGAAGAACATGAATCCTCATGCTCCGAGCTTGCAGGTTTTGGAGGATCTTCTTCAGAAAATGGCCGTCGCTGGAGCTAAAAATGGACCTGGAGGAAGTACTAGCTACAGCAACCCCGGAGCAGGAGGGCCTCTTGGTGCTCGTGCTGCAAACTTCAGGAACGTACTCGAAGATCTTGAACGCGCGCGAGAACTACAACATCATGGAGGTAATTCCTATGCGGCCTCAGGGACCAAGGTGGGTCAAGAGAATCATAATGATGTTGAAGAATTCTTACGGAGGTTCCTGCTGCAGAACAACATCAGTAGTGGAACGAGCAGGAACGAGCCGTCTTCTCGTGCACTGGATGTTCAGCCTAGCTCTCTGGCCGCAGCAGCTAGCGTTCCACCTCCACGACCTGGTGAACAGCAGGAACTGCGTCAGCTACGTGATGAAATTCGTCAGCAAGTGCGTCAAGAACTTCTATTAGAACAAGCCGAACTACAGGAGGCATCTCCGACGTCGTCAAAAACGAGAGCCCAGTTGGATCAGTGGGCCAAAAAGCTTGTGCTTTTCGGAGCTCAGATGGGACGTGCCGCATCGCTCCACACATCGTCGCAGAGCAGTGCAGCTACTGGACCGAAGGATCTTGGTGCGGCGACTAGTACCACGGCCCTTGTAAGTAATTATAACCAGAAGTACAACCTCCAGAGCAGTCGCAGCCCGACGAACGACACTTATACGAAGCAGAGAGGTACGAACGAAAGCTATGCAGCAGCTGCTCTCAGCCGTGCTGGTCCATTCTTGGGGTATGACCTAACCAGTTTGAGTGCGAAGAACGTCGATGGCACGCCCAGCAGGAGCATAGACAAAACGACCATGGACGCTTTTATTCAGAGTCGCACGGTGACGCAAGAAGATCAGAGCTGCTCAAGAACATTTTTGTCCCCGGGTGATGTGGGAGCGTTTTCACCTGGTTCCAACAAGTGGAGCAAACACAACAAGGGAGCACATCGTGAAGAGGGTACGACTGACTCTTCTGAGGCAACGTTGCGGAAAGCACTCGAAGCCTTTGCTCTCGAGGCTCTCGGAGACGCCGTGGAGGAGTCCACTGCTACAACGAGTGTTGGAACTACAGTTAAGGCTCGACTTTCAATGGTCATCATTTAGATTGGAGTCACTGAGATCGAAGAGGCGACCCCTTCTTGATTAAGGGTTGAAACATTTCATATCTACACGACCCCAGACCAATGTCTTGACCTTTTATTTTACCAAGTATTTTGTTACTTCATTTTTCTCATCTTTCCGGCGGAGACGATTACCAGGCGGATTTGGGTCGTGAAAAGAACGGCACTGGCGATGACAAGGTGCTGGCACGACGATGCCTTGATGTGGGTTATATTTGAGTGAGGAGCTCACTGTCCCGCACTTCACTGGATTACCCGCTCGTAATTATAGTGGTGCACGACCGGCTTTCCGAAATCAGCGCTGTACAAGACGTCGCCTGGTAGCGGACCACGGAAGTCCGATCGGCGCTGGGTAGTAGACCGACACTGAAATGCCACCGCGTTTTTATTCGGGAGTATCCTCAATACGATAGTGCGCAGAGGCTGAAGAGTCTAAGAAAACTCGTTGTGGAATCGAACTGCGGACAAAATGCGGTAAGGATTCTTGTAGTTAAGCATAGATAAACTACTTATTTGGAGACAGAGCGGGCGCGTGCATAGTTATAATCGGGGAAAAAGCTAGCGACCTACTTTGCCAGCGTATTTTTTACTTCTTTTGTTGCAGGAAATGGCGTCTGGTATCTGTTTTGGCGGTGGGCGGCTTGCTAGTGTTCTCTCTGTGGCTGTGCTAGTACAATGGCGGTCGGCTTGTTGCTAGGTTGACGCTTTCCATGCCTTCTGCGAGTAGCTGGACTTTGGAAAAATGGGGGGCAGCCGACTTCAGTGGTTTGCCAGTGGTGTTTGTCTCTTGTCCTCTTGCCTCGGCCAGGTGCTGGCGAAGTCGCAACTGCACACGCGCGCGGGCTTTGCTTGGCCAAGAGGATGGCTGCGCTTCTTCTCTGGCTTGCTCACGTGGTGCAAGCGCTAAGGGGCTCACAGCTGTAATTGCTTCAGGCCTCTTCTCTGAAGTTGGTCACGAGTGGACTGAGGGTTGGGCATCAGCACAGCGGGGCGAGCCGTGTGGTCGTGAGTGATTCACTAGGACAGAAGAGGTCACGAGCCCACGCTTGTTGGGAGTTGTGTTGCTCTCTGTGACCGTTAGCACCTGAGAGGGAGGCGTGGAGAGGTTCACCGCCGTGCCAGTTTGTGCAGCTCGTTGTGGCGGTGTCTTGGGGAAAACGGGGCAGAGGCTGCACAACGACGGGGCGGATCGGGCGTCTTTCTTCGAATAATGCCCGAGGGTGGTGAGGTCCTCTCTGCTTTCGCGGAGTCTTTTCCGGCAGGGCAGACGCGTAGCCTTGGCGGGGGCAAGTGCACCAGCAGGCGCATAGGTTCGCGCCACGATGGCAGCCAGGCAGCGAAGCCCCTGAGACGAGGCGGCGCCCTCGCTGGCGTGTGGGTGTGTGTCGACAGGGACCAGGCCGGCGCGCAGACTTCACGGCGCAAAGGGTAGTGGCTTGCCGGCTCTGCTTTTCGGTGCAGCGACAGCGGAAATCATAAGGCCAGTGGCCTAGCTTGTTGGCTGGCTCGGCTGCCTTGACGGGGTAGGCTGAGGCGGTGCGTGAGGTGGCTGCGCCGGGTGCTCCGCGTTTGCCGGGGTTGTTTTTGCAAAGCAAACGGGAGCGGCTTGAGGGGTTGGGTGGCTCGCTCGCTCTTGGTTTCGGTTGCGGGTGTTGCCTTACTGGGCCTTGTGTGGTTGCTTTTCTGTATTAGTCTGAGGCAGGTTTGTGCTTCTCTCTGCGGTAAAAGTATTCTGTCCACTTCTATCTCCTGCGTCGCTCGGTTTTTGTCTATGTACTTTGTTGCAGGGCGCAGCCGCTTCCCTCAGGAAGTGTTTTGGATCTCTGCAGAGGGGCTGGGTGACGTTGGCTGCATGGTGAGTGGGTTCGCGTCGTGGGTGTTGGGGTTTGCTTGGTAGGGCATGGGGCTGCCCTCGTGGTCGAGAAGGCTCTTGGTGGAGTTTGCTTTGTGTGAGTTCTTTGCCTGTAGGCTTACTACGGACAGCAGAGCCCGCTGGCGCGATCGTTGGAGGTCGCATTCTATGAGCTGTTCGGCTTTCGAGTTATTATTAACAACAGACTGAGCTCATTCTTCTAGCGTAATTTAGTTAAGTTCCTTTTTGGCAGTGTATGGCGAGAATGTAGCCGACGTGTAGGCCGCGCCGATAGATCTGGATAGTTAGGACTCTCTGTTTTATACACCACCCTGCTAACATCAGAAGAATTAGCATCAGTCTTCATCTTCCTGTCTTCTGATTCTTATGCCATTCCAAATGATATCAAAAGATCATATCCTGACGAGGGTGAGAGCATCAAGTGTGTTCGGAGTTTCAGCGCAGGCTGACTCCTGGAGGACACTGAGAGTAGAGCCACAGCGCTCCGAGAGGTGCACCAGCTGCAAACAGAGCTCAAAGTCGACGAGTCTGAAGTAAGTACGTGTACACGAGTGACTACGACCCATTTTCCGTATTGGTAAATACGTTGGCTAACTATTATGTTGCTACTCTTTGTCAGTGGCTAACGGTGTCGTACTTCTTCACATCTCTCTATCTCGCCGCTTCTTGGGTATGGAATCTAGCAACTAGAAATAGAACATTATGAGATGAGTTTTTGAGTGTGATATCCATTCCAAAACCTTTCCATCATGAGCGACGCGAAGGAGCTTGGTGAAGCAATCGACGAGACGGTTCGAATTTTGGGGAATGATGCTAATGGTCCTCAAATCGCGGCTGACAACAACGACGCAGCGGCCCGTGGGGCCCGACTAACACTGGAAGATGTTCAGAAACGGTCTCCAGATAAACCACAGAGTATGCAGGGACCTGATGGGAAGATGGGGAAGGGATTACACATGATCCGGACGGGGCTGCTTGATAACGCTGTGAGGGTGGCGCTGCAGGAGACCGTGGATGTACAATATACATTGTTGCTCTTAATTTTCTGACCAAGAAGTATAGCTGAGGACTTACTCTCTCCCATGTGGCTTGATCTGATGGTTTAGAAAATTTAGAATATTTAGATTCAACATGAAACGCGTCACACTGATAATAGAGGGGCACCCCTTTCAAATCTTACAAACTGACTCCATATCGACGTCGTAACAGTAATTCACTTTGAAACTTTCATCCCTTGTTCAACACTCTCGCAGATGGCGGATATGACGCTTGTTCTTACTTCACCGGGCAGAAAAGCGATCGCTATTCACGTTGCCTCCGGTTGGCCTCTGCGACCAATTCTTACTTCTTTCCCGACAACAGGCTCTCAGATGTTAGTTCAAATTCATGGACGGACCCAAAAGGTGACCACGACGTACAACGAGAGCTGGAACCAGGTGCTCCTACTGTGATTTTTAGATTTTAGATCTGTGCTGAGATGGTTCCATGATGTTTCACTGTGATACTGCCCTACATGTCAACGCTATCGCTCATTTTCATTCTTTGTTGCCCTTATGGCTTTTCTACATCTTTTCCACCTTTCCCACATACAGATAGTGAAGATCATGGGGACGATCACGGAGCTGAGTGATGGAGGATGTTGGCGGCTATTCTTCGACCGAGTTATGTCGTGTGGCAATAATACAGCAGCAGAAGGAGACATCGATCGTCTCTGGGAGGAGTACATCATGGACCGCCCCTTTCCGAAGGGCATGCTGCTGGGAGATTCCGTTGCAGGACATACCCCCGAGCGAGGGCCGCTTGGATACACGAATACTCGCCGGAGTGAGGGCTGGGAGGGTTCGAAGAGAGACGCAGGCGCCGACAAGCGTGGAAGAGGCAGGACGCGAGATCTTAAGATAATTACTATCTCAGTTTAGATTCTTTTGATTTCAGTGATGACGGCCAAGACTTTCACTCACTGTGATTTCACTTGGTATTCCTCTAATACAAGCCGTCGCAGCGATGACAGGAATTCTGGAAGGAGCAGCTCGTCGGGAGGCGACAGTAGTGGGGATGAGGCGAAGCGTTTTCTATCTGAGAGGTATGACCGTTTCAAGCAGAAGCATGCCGAGAAGCGTGAGTCTCAGCCGCAGTTCAAGGCGGCAAGCAAGTCGTCATCTTCTAGCAGTGCGCAGAAAGGCAGGCATGATAGAGCAGCAAAAGCATCTGGTGCGAACTCTCGGGGAAATTCAAGTAGGAAGGCGTCTACTCGAGGCAGGTCAAGCGGCGACAAGCAGTCTGGTAATAATGGCACCAAGCGACCACAGGAAAACGACGGCAACAAACGTCCCAAAGGAGATAAGAACGATGGCAAGAGCAGGCAGCGCTCCCGGACAGCCGATGGAAAGAGAGGTGCTTCTTGTTGACTTTTCTGACTTTGTATTTTGTTGTAGATGAACTAAAGACAATCTTCCTTTAGACTTTTTCACTAAGGACATGGTGGCTAAGTTCACCCATCGCAACTCTACCAGGTGCTGGAAGATCGAGATCGAGAAACCGCAGCAGGAAAACGGACGGAACGCGCAACTCTGACAAGGGAGCGTCGCGGAATGAGCGCGAGAGCCGAAAGCAAAAGAAGTCAACGGAGAAGCCTAGTACGACCAACCCCACCAACACGGCGCACGACAAGAGAAGCAAGCCGAGCCGTACTTTGGATATTGGATGCTCTTGAAGAACTAGTAGTGTTCATCTTCTATCAAAAATCTACAGCTCCTGTCTCCCATACTCGCACCCCGCAACTTTCTTTCAGTTTTCACTCTATCGAAAAACTTATAACCAGGTGACGATCGCAAGCGTGGCTCCGATGGAACTCGACGAAGATCTGCAGGTTCGCCTGGCGGCAAGCGCGAGCACAAGACTACCGACAAGACCAAGCAGAAGCGGACTGCATCATCTAAAGATGATCCGCGGCAGGAGCACGCAGACAAGAATCCGAAGCGGTCTCGGAGGGAGAAAGCTAGTTCTCGCGGTCGTGACAAAGCGACCCGTAATGCATCTGGAGCTCAAGCACCAGGCCAAGGCTCCAAGTCCAAGAAGGCCAACAACACTGAGAAGCAGAGTGGAGCTCCAGCAAGTCGTTCTGCTTCGGCCTCAGCAAGAAAGGGCCATGATGCTAATCCAGATAAGCCGCGGAGAACCCGCTCCAAAGGTGACGCGAAGTCTCGTGCTGACCATGCTCGTGATGACACCGCTGAAAAGGAGCATGATGGCCGCAGTCGATCTAAAGGCACTTACTTTCTCTAGTTTGGGTCCCGTCAATAGCAGGATTCTCATACACACTTCACATCGATGTTTGCAGTTTCAATCTCGACGAAGTGCATGATTTAGATTTCTCTGAGAAGTTTCTGGATTAGACATAAGCTGGCTCTTTTTTCTACCTGTATCATATCAATCATCTTATCTACAGGTCACAGCAAGGAGGCACGAGACGGAGGCTCCAAGCATAAGACTACCGACAAGACCCGCGGGAAAGACAAGGGCGTGCAGGAGGTGTCCGAGGACGATCTGTCTCAGAGTGATTCCAGCGACCGGTCTGAGTCGACCGGCAGTCTAGGAGATGATCCACAAGCAGATCCGAACTTCGGAGACGATCAGTCTACATATCGTGATGAGGATGGTCTCAGTTCTCGCTCACAGTCCGGCGACGATGATGCACATGATGATGGAGATGGTGACTCACGTTCGAACTCATCTCAAACTCGTTCCTCCGATAGCGAGAATGATGACGACGTCTCGACGAGTGACTCTGAGGAGTTCAGTCGCGAGTGCGGTCGCGACTCCCGCTCGCGTGGCGAAGGCCGTGATGAAGCGGGCAGTTGATGAGGTGGTCTTCTCGAGGAGGAACGGGTGAATGAAGATTCAGCTCGTTTTTTAGAGACCGTCGCACCCTTTTGTTCAAGACAAGGCCCCTCCTACACTTTACATGTTTTGTTTTTGATTTTGAAAGATAATGACTTGAATCACGGAGGGGTCATGGGCTGTGGCGGTCTTTTAGAATGTTGTAGTGCTTCGAGATTTGCCGTTTGTATATGTCAGTGCTTTTTTAGAAGAGACTTTTCCCGGTTTGCTGTTTCGCATCATTCTCTCACTCATCTGGCAAGGCAGTTTTTTGTAGCGCGTGTTGTCTGTGCAGAGCACAAATGAAGGAGGATAGACGACATGAGTGCCATCTTCTCGAAGCATTACAAGAGCAGTATCATCGTCCGCCTATCTCTGTGGGACCAATGGCGTCCCGCTGGAGACTGTTCTGCTTGATTGTCAAACTCTCTTGGGTTAGCAGAAAGCGAAAGAGGCATGTGATAGGACGCTCTTCAGGAGTCGGTGGCGCTCTGCAGGAGGTCTTCTCAGTACTCGGTGATGGATCTTCAAGTGCTCGGCGATAGTTCTGTCCTCTTCAGTGGTGCTCTTCAGGAGGTGACTAAAAGCAGGAAGCTGACATCATGACGCATGGCAAAATAGACTAGACTGAACGTGCAGCACAGTGGGACAAGATGGCAGCAGATGTCGGTGGTGATCCGCCGCCGGATCTAGGGAACTTGGTTCCTCCAGTACCGCCGCCAGAGTATAGGCGGCTCTTCTCCAACAACGTCACTTCAATATCGGTAGAACTTGTACCAGACAAGAACGGAGATTTATGCGCGGCTTGTGAACTGAATCAGTACGTTTTAGGCTGTAACCTGGGTCAGATCAAAGACATCAGGCACAGCTCGAAGGTCCTTGCTCCTGAGCAATGGCAGGACCCCGCTACGAATTTCGCTCGGTCTGGATTAGTAGTGCAGCAGGTGCAATCAACTGTGGACGATCGTTTGGTTGATCACCCCAACTACCACAACAAGACTCTCTTCTGGCATCGACGTTATCGAAATTTGCAGATTGCAGCGAAGCCTTTCACAGTCACCCGCTCGCCTAGCGAGGCTGTGCTCGACTTCCCCGACTTGATGCGGATCCGGATCGCTGTTCACATCATGGCCGATAGAACCAGGCGCGTGCGTTCGTCTCGTCTCTCCAACAACCAGTTTCTAGACGCGAAGCGTGTAGCATTTTGCTACTCAAAAATACTACTAGAGCCGTTCGCCAAGAACAACATCGAGGCCGTGCTGTATGAGTACAACCAGCAAAAGGCGAAGACGATGTCTGGTTGTGATGCTGATTTGGTTAACGATATGATCCACGATGGGGCGCTGGACGTGATTGATGCTCCGGGAGGTATTTCTCTTTGTGTTGTCTTTTAGGTCCGTCGGATAGATCTTGTTTTCCTGTGTGGTCAGAAGAATACTAGTCTCAAAGACATTTCAGCTTTCCAATAAAAAGATGAACAAGTGCAACAATCTTACTACCCAAAAAAAAGCCTACTTGTCCCCTCTCCCCTCTAATTGGAGACGAAAGCAGCGACTCTGGACCCTATTCCAGAAGATCGATATCGAACAACTCTGGGTACGTGCTTCGCAGTTTGACGTATCTAGTGGATTTCTTGAGGGAGGAAGAGGGGTCGCGCGCGCTTTTCAATGTGCGCGGCTTGAGTGGAAATGTGGAATGCGGTGACATCAGTCTGCGCTGTTTGCTTGCCGCGAGAAGCATCTCCTTTGCTGTAGCGTTGGGATGAGCGATGTAGACTGAGGAGAGAGGCAAAGCACGCTAAAGTCGGCCCGTCCTTAAGAAAGGTTCGTAGTTGGTTGACAGTGGGCGCGTGCTCTGTCCAATTCGACGCTCTATAAAGTGTAAAATAAAGTGTAAAATAAAGTGTAAAATATCATGCGAAAATGGCGGCGATTTATCGCGTCAAGATGAAAGACGTTTCTGTTGCAACATAAAGCGTAGAATATAGCGTCAAATATGATGCTTTTCAATCTCGAAGCGCATTATTTTACACCGCTCTATACTGTGTCTTCTAAAGCGCCGCATACTACGACGCAGATGGACGCCGATTCTCCGCAAGTGGTGGCGTTTAAAGGGGTTTCGGCCGAAGCGTTGCATATTGGGACAGATATTATGGATTGGGGCTTGGTCTGTAGCATAGTCCGCAAACAGTGTTGCATAAAGTGCAACCGGGGAAGAAAGTGTCCGAATCATGTAAAATTAAGCGTCTCCGCGGCATCCCCTTGTCGAGGTGCCCAAAATCTTCTACAAGATGCAGCCGTCTTTCTTTTCTTCCTAGAATGATGCACTTCCTCTTGATTTTAGGCGACTGGCCGGCCGATCCGATGCTTACAGGCGCTCGCTTTTTGACATATATGCTCATGTATGCGAGCAGCGACGCTTTGGAAGAAATTGGGAAGAGATTGGAGAAGCTTTACCTGAAAATCATCCAGAGGGACAGCTTTCAAGTGCAGGGAGGTGCTTCACTCTGATATAATCACTCGTTGTAGCGTATTTCTTGTGTCTTCTGTTTTTCATGGATCTGCTTTCAAAGATTCACTTACTTGAGAATCATGGCAAGGTGAGTGTTCAAGTTTTTGCTGATCTGACATCAAGTTTTGCATTCATTCAGAAAGAATTGGCTTGAGAATAAAACTGGCATCATATCCTCAGACTGGGAGAAGGCGACAGCGCGGACAGCAACGAACAACCCTGGCGCGAAGCAGATTGTTGTTAAACCGGGTATGAAAGGCCTGCCGCTAGCTCATCACATTGCTCCGCTTGCAAGCAATAACCTGGAAGACGCGACTTTGACGCATGCGCGTATTCATCTAGTGTGGGCGCACGTAATGATGCTGTTTACGTTGAAGGTGAAGCAGGCTAGGGAGGTTCTGAGCGGCGGCTTGAATGTGATCGGGTACTCCTCAGACGGTATCACGGTAGGAGGCAAGCACATTGAGCAAGTCCGTCTGCGATCCGACTGGTTCCTGAAAGGAGCAATGTGCACTCTTCCTCTTCCACCACTTGAAATAGAAGCGTGGTCTAGCTCGGACATGCAGAAGGTCATCAGTGAAGTGGCTGGCGATAAGGCACAGAAGGAGACTGAAGAAATGCTAAGAGCAGCGATAGAACAAGCAGCCATCAGGAAACGAGTGTCGTACATCATCAGCGTCTCGTCTTTGGGCATCAAGAGGGCCCTGCGAATCATGATGGACAGAGGACCTGGCAACAGGAAAGTGTGGATCTTCTTGATGTCTCTAGGATTTCCAATTCACCTAGACTGGGATCCGCATCACGTCTCCAGCGGCGAGCTGGAGCACCTCTTCAAAGTGGCGAAACCGCCAGGGTTCGAGCGCCTGTCGAAAGTGAGATCAACCGCAGATGGAGTACATTCTCTGAAAATAACCGGCTTTATGCAGAAGTTCATCGATTTGCCTGACGATGACATACTCGAGCTCGCGCAGGAGGCTGAGCCCGAGGTTCGTGTTTCCTATGGTGCGCACGGGACCGATGCAGAGCTGGCGCAGCGGCTTCGACAAGCTGCGAAGGAGATCAGGTCTGCTATATCCACCTTCACATCCGAGAATCGATTTGCAAAGGATATCTATGCCGCGGAGCACATCGTTCCGAATTGGGATCTATGGCACCTTGCAGTTTCTTGCATTTTGCGGAAAGAACGACCTGGGTTTCACTCTATTTCAGCGCGCCGCGTCATCGCGAAGAACGTGGAAAAGCATGGTGCGCGAGCGGATTACATCGGCATTCAGTTTGCGCCACATCAGATGGACCTCATGCTGCGAACGCTTACATTGGATGAGTACCACAACGGGACGCAGGATGATGGTACTGGGCTTACGTCGATTTGTATCAAAGGACATTATGCTTATAAGCAGGACCTGTTTCTACACGTGAGACCATTTGTCTAGCTGTTCACTAAATCAACACGTTGTACCAAAGAAATTCGTCATTATTCTGTGCTCTGTGACGTCTTTCTCCTCTCTCTTGACTACAGATGCGCCGTACGCTTATGCGGGAATCGACAAAGAACAAGAGGCAGAAGACCAGAGAGTTCTGACGACTGCAAAGAGAAACGCACTGAACCTTCCACTTCCAAGTGCTGACAAGCATGACGCCGAAGACGAGTTGAACCAGGACGGTACCAAGACAGCAAATATCGGAAAGAACGACGACCAGGGTCCGTGTATAAACACAAAGCGTCAGGCACGCGTTGCAGACATGAAGAAGCGCGTAGAAGAAGCAGCGCGACCGGAGCCGCCAGTCCCAACAGAGTCTGCAGTAGACATGAGCTTACTGGGTGTCTTGTACCAGCTGTTCTCGGTGGATGAGAGCAAGCTCCGGTGCATACTGCTGCTGAAGTATGGGAAGCCCATGCTCTGGTTTCACTGCATGGGAATAATGCAGACTTGGCGGAATTTGATGGCCCGCGTATCTTTCTATGCGGAGCATCCATCTATGATGAGCGAAGTGGCTTACGTTTTTCGGAAACCTATCTCAACGCGGGAGCTCCTTATAGACGAGCGCTTGAAGGCCGAGAACTTTCTGGCTCGAACAGTTGGGCGTATTGTGGATGGGGTATAATTTTTCATCTAAAGTAGTCCGGTATTACTCAGTGAAGATCTGCTGTGTGTTGAAGTTTTACTGTCTCTATGTCTCAACTTTTTCTGTGGCATGCGCGAGCCGGTGCTTGGATTCGTGTTGTTCTTGAGCAACTCCTTCTACTTTTCACATAGAGCTCCACTCTATGGAGACTGATCATCTATTCTTGTCCATCTGCATGCTATTGAACATCATAGAGGAAACTACTCCAGGTATATTCTATCTCGATGCAAACTGCACGATTGCGAATGTGCATGTGGAATAGGATTTTTCTTTATGCGAAGAACACTTCTCTGGACCTCACGCCCGAAGAGCTTGCGACGGTTTGCCAAGACAGCGACTTGACGAAGAAATTTTCTTGGGTATTACGAAATCCCAAGACTTTCGTCAGCCCGGAAGAGTCGACGCCTTTATCTTTTGCGACGCGGCCATCGGTGTACCAGACGAAGCTAGACGTTGACCCGGTCGACCGTGAATCAGCCGACCCGACGCAGGCGACCTTCGCGGAAGGTTTCACAACGTTTGACTCTAGTGTGCCACAGGTTTCAGCGTTCGAGTTCGAGAAGACTCTCATAACGCGGATCCGCAAGCTGGAAACTGATCGTCACGAGCTCGCAGCGGAGATTGTTGGCTACTTAATGGGCGTGCAGAACTTCCACTGCGTGAAGGAGTTCTACAATTACGTCGGGCGCGATAGTGATCCTTCTACGGCTGTTGCGTTTGTTACCGAGTGGCAGGCGCCAGCAGCTTTGAGCACACGCGATATTGAAGCAAAGGGCGCAGACCTGAGCAAAAAGGGCAGGAAGGCGCACCACGCTGGCTACCACACAGGTTTATGAGTGGCTTACTGACTAAAAGCCTTGGAATCATATAGGTTCCTTTCGGGTATTTCTTAGTTTCTTTTCATAGGGATTGTCATCTCTGTATCGTTTCAGATGCGTCTCCAGGGAGGAGAAGAAGCGCAGTCTGCAAACGTCTTAGTGCGTAGACTTCTCCTCGATATATTTCATTGCAGTCTATGTGGCTTTCGTCAGAGAAGGCGGAGCTACTTGATGCACGCTTGTGCTGTGACTCGAGCTAGAGCCTCTCATTCTTGCAGCAGGCGTGGCATCTCCGTGAATGTCTTGTGCCGACGTGGATTCCGTTTCTACGTGCCTCAACTGAAGGCATCAGGAAGCCGCGAAACGTAGGAACGAAGGAAAGCTTCTCAGTTTTCGATGGCAGAGAAGACTTCCGGAAGTATGGCGCTTCTAGTGCGCAGGAGCTACTGGACCTTGCTTTTCCTGATGGTGGAGAATTCGAGGCGAACACCATAGGTTTTAGCTCGGTGAACGATGTGCAGGACTTCTTGGGGCAGTACCAGAGCACCTTGATGCAGCATGATGCTTTTTCTGCAGCACTTCGATACTTGGCTGATTGCCCGAAGGTGAAAGTAGAGGAGGCTGCCGATGAAATCAAGAAGCTTCTTTCTGTTGCGCCAGAACATCACGACTTCAATAAGGAGCAGCAACAACAGCTCAAGGACTTCTCTTTTCCAATAGATCAAATCCCATGGATTCTAGTAGCGGAGTTCCTCATCTATGAGAAGTTTTCATTTTTCCATGCTGCTACTGCCGAGAATGATCGCCGATGGAAATATGGAAGAGTGCATGCTATTTGGATGGACGGGCTGCTCAGTCAATGCAAGAGCTGCAAGGCGCCACTTGTTCTGACGATTACACCCCGCAAGAACCCCGACATGAAACGCTGCATCTGGATACTTGAGGTGCTTGTGCGTTTGCGAGTCGCGCTTGGCATTGAGCTCGACTTGGCTACGCTGGAGGACTGGGAGAAGCTTTCTGTTCCAGCAGAGAGCGATCCTGTCCCAATGGATGTGGATGGAGAGGGTGACGCCGCAGACAATGCAACCACAGGCAACCTTGGTGGAGGCCAACAGCCTGCAGGCTCCGCTTTCGGCACTGATAAAAAGGAGGCAGTTCGTTAAGGCGGTCATCATTTGTTCGACTCACTTTCATTCCACAGCTTTTTCTGTAAAGAATGTGTCTAAAGGGGTCACCAGCTGACGCAGTGACATCGTAGCACAGGGCTTGCTTTTCGGATTCTAGTAAAGGTTTACTATTCATTCTTCTCACAATGTTATACCTTTCTAACACTGTTCTCGCGACTCCAAGCAGCCCGACTACAGTCCGCGCGTCGTGCCAGACGAGGAGTTGCCAGATAGAGAGGAGGCTTTCACCCTTCCAATTGGACGACATAGCTATGCTTTTCCCTTTCCAGTAGTCGGCGACTCAACGGAAAAGAGCAGGCTGAAGGGTGTGCTCTTGGAGTCTACTAGTTTGTTTGGTGTCGAAAATGACGACATAAAGGAGCTTCTAGTTGAGACGTGGAATTATACAAAAGCCGAATCGGGTAGGTACGGGACGAACTATGTCCGTTTTCAATACGACGTTCCGGGGGAGGCTGTCAGAACTTTCATAGCTGCGCTCCAATCTAAGTTCTGGACGGATCGCACGCTTTGGAGCCACTTGTCAACGCGGCGAGTTGATATGCGGTTCATAATCAGCGAGATGATCAAAAGCAATCCCAACGTTTTCGAGCTTTTTCGCGACGATACGACTACAGTGTTCTGGGAGGGCAACTACAAGAAGGCTATCATTCAATCTGGTGCAGGTCAGTCTCTATTCGGGGACTTTGATCCGCACGAGCGGCATCGCAGGGCGGAAGCATCCAGCGCTGTCCAAGAACAGAGCAACGCATCAGCGGCGATGCAAAGTAGTGCAATTGGGGGGAAAGCGCCTGGAGCAGCTACGTCGTCTTCTAGTAACAACATTGAAGCACCTCTCATCGAAGATTCTGCTAACTTGTTTCCAGTGGATCCGGAATTTGAGTACCTCTTTGCCGAGGACGTGAATCCGGCAAACCTGGTGATGGAAGACGACATGGGGGACGTCTTTGGCGACGGCGTTAATGATTTCGATGACCCCTCCGCTAACTGGCCGCCAGCCGCGGAGCGGCTACTACCCGCAGGTAGCGACCCCACCGCCGGCTCATCAAGAGATCCACCTCCAGCGCTTCGTCCTGTCTCGGTCGATGAGTTCAGTGCCCCCGCTGGTGATTATCAGGAGGAAGAGGCGTTGCAGATCAATGTAGAACTAGCAGAGTTTATCGAGAATGTCACACTCACGGAGACGGAGTGGGCGGAAGTGTTTTACATCTGCATGTACGGGATTCAAGAGGGAGAGGCGAATCTTGTTCAGGAGAATTTCTATCCTGTCGGCCGTGTTCATGCTGGAAAAAACGCGGTAGTTGAGGCCCCTGTGTCCACCATCCGGACAACAGCTCAGAAGTTCATCTTCAAACTAGAAGAATTCAGGAGGAAGCAGCGTGTTGCAGCTATTCCTGCACGCGGAAAAGGAGGTGGCAAGGCAATGAAGAAAGCGGCTGCAAAACCTAAAGCGGCGCGGCAGATGCAGGGAGGTGGAGGCGTGAAGATTAGCACGACGGATGCTGGTCTCAACGAGATGCAAGGAAACCGCGATCGGTTCAACGTTGGAGACGAGGCTGAGGAGGAGAATGTGGTATTACTTATCTTCGAACAAAAATACCTTCCGACGTCGAGTTTTATGCATGTCGAAAGTAACCTTTCTTTCTCTGACGTTGGACGCTGGTTGTATTTGTGACTGTTGCTCTTATCTTCTCTAAACAACACAGAACGACGAGGAGCCGGAAGTGGAGCTGGATTCTGATATTAACATGCTGGTCAACGATCCATCGTTTAGGCCTCTTGCTGCGTGCTTGAATGGGAATAAGGTTCTTGACAAAGAGTGGAAGAAAGTTCGTGAAGAGTTCACGACTGAGGCTGGCAAGAAGAAGATCGAGTCGTCGAAAGCGAAATTCCACCGAGAAGATCTCTGCCTTGAAAGTTTGCACCTCATAGACCTCGGTAAGCGCTGGCCGGTGAAGTGCTTCTCCTGCGGCAAAACGATTGGCGAGATGTGGAAGGGCTGGGTGACGAATAATGGTCCGACTCTGTATTACCGTGGTCACAATCAAAAAACACCGTACAACAAGGCGCTCGGTCCAGAATCTCACATCAAGGTGCATGCTCAGTCAGTCTACCGCTGTCTTTGTGGGTGGTGGAAGCGGGGCACGCTTTGGACAACCAAAGACGCCACAATGCTCATCGACCAGTCAAAGCTGTGGCAGTGTGCAATTTTTTTGGCGACGCATCGTCTAATGAGTGAGGCAGCATCGTGCAAGGGCAGGTGCACTGCACGCACAAAGTTCGACACTCTCTCCAGAAGCAACACTTTCAAAGCTCGCCAAAAGGCGAATCCGGGTTAAGTAGCTGCTTCAATTTGATTCATGTGTGACTAGATATCTACGAACCAAAGACCAGATGCTTGGCTGTAACTAAAGCCATATGAAACACATACTCGGCACAGCATGAAAGTCCTTTTTCCATTATTATTTCTACTAGTTGCAGTAGGTGTTGGCTATCGAAGGTCAACTACTGCAGCAGGTGCAGCCAGACTATGCACTTTGTTAGTTCGCAACTTTTCCACATTGAGCAGCATCATTTAGTTCATAAGTATTCACATTCTGCAATTAATTACACAGCCTATTTTTGCGACAATTGTGCGTCGATTCTCGACCATAACGTCCTGACCTTTTCCAAGAATCCCACGAGATCTCTTCATGTCCCCCCCGATCATACAACCCGACAGCTATTACACGTTCATCTTTTTGCTCATGAGGCTTCCATGGTTTTGCAATGATCTACCCCAGAGGCGCGCTCTTAACATATGCGACAGTAGTAAAGATGCAGTTGGTGACCTTGCGGTGTCAATTGTCATCTTGAGCATACCAGGTGTCCCCTGCGTGATTCGGCAAGATAGTCCAAAAAGATCAAAGGATCATAGATAAGATGTCAGAGAACAAACCGGTCAGATCTGCATTTGTAGCATGGGAATCGGTTGAAAGTGCATGACTAAGAGCCACAGATCAATTCTACAGATCCAACATTCTGCTGGAAGCTTGGTAAAATAAAAAAATCCAGATCTAAAAAATGGGGGTAAAAAATGAAATGTTTCAACCTTTAACTTGAGAGAACCAACAGGGGAAATATATGAAGGGAAAGGGGAGAGCTCTGAAGGGGGTCTCTTGCGTTCAGAGTCACTGACCAATGAATGCTGAGCTTTAATGCAACACGTAAAAAGGTGCAAATACGACTACAGGGACATTTTGGTGCAAATACGACTGATGAAGAAAAGCAAAAGCACGACCGTGGTGGAGGACGAGGTGAAGCTTCACCTCGTCTTGGTGAAGCTCCTGCTTTGCCTTTGTCGAATTTTGCTCACAATAATACAACAGCATCGGCGTCCGAGGTTGAAAATTCATACCCAGCCCCGCCAGGGCTTAGTATGGGATCGACGTCCGAGGTTGAAAATTCATTCCCAGCCCCTCCAGGGTCACTATACCAAGAAGACACTTCACTGTTCATGTTGCAGCAGCAATCTATGTCTGCGGCCGCGGCCGCATGGGGGTTTTACTCCAAGAATCCAAACTATATTAGTGGCACGAATACTAGTACAGGCAGCCCTGATAAATTATCAAGAAGAGCTCCTGCAGGTCCACAACATTTCGATCTTGCTAATCCTGCGAACTGGGCGAACCATCCTTGGTACCATGATAATGACAGCAGCAATAGCAGTTCCGAACTGGCGACGCACAACAGTTCCTCCGCTCCTCCAGGAGGAGAGGACCCATCATACACGGCGACGCACAACAGTTCCTCCGCTCTTCCAGGAGGAGAGGACCCATCATACACAAGTTCATCACGTGGTCGCCGACTACCACCCGGCCTGTTCGAGGACACGACGCCCTCCGGTAGTCGGGAAGGCGTTCCCGCTGCAATCACTTCCGTTGCTCGAGGTGCAGCTCGCGGAGCAGACACCAACAGGAGCATTGATGCAGTAGACACCAACAGGCGCAGGAGTGCTCAACTGGATTTCGAACACCCTTTCTTTCACCATCGGACCGGAGAAACTTTCTTTTCTGGTCCTTTCGGCGATCCCAGGAGGAACGAGGATATTAACTTGAATAACTTCTATGGAGGGCGAGGAAACGATCTTTACGATGACGGTGACGACTTTTTTTACGATGATGATGAGGAGGGTCTCTTGTTAGATGGTGAAGAGGGTCTCTTGTTAGATGGTGAAGATCATTTCGGAGGAGGTGGAGGTCCTCTCCCTCTCGCCTACAACCACTATGGAAGTGGAAACAACAATTACCTGGGACCAGGAGTTCAGCACCACAGTCGTGACATTGCTCCCGGCGACCATGGCGTTTTCATCCCTCGTAATTTTAAGGCTCCAAGAATTTCCATCTTCCCCCACATCTTGGCCTTCGCGTCTTTCCACAGGGACTAAACAGGAACCAAGATTGACCCGAAGATGGATGCTTCTTAGTTCTAATAATTACATGCCAGAATGGGCGCAGGCTGGATTACAGGAACCGAAGCGAACGCGAGCAGCCATTAGACGAGCAAGGCGAAAGAGGAAAGCTCAACGAGAGAGAGCGGAAGCCGCTTTCAATGCATTCACGCATAGCATGGCGCCATCATGATCATGTAAATACATAGGCGGAAAAGCCCATGGTGCCGTGGTTTCGTACTAATCTAAACACACGACACCTTGGATGTGTGTCGTGTGAAGCTTTGTGTGCAGCAAGAGTAAAAGATGGACAGAGTAAAAGTAAAAGATAATGGACTCAGAAGGCACGATGAAAGACAGTGTTGAAGTGTAACTGTAACAACATGAGTAAACGTAGTTACACTAAATGTATAAAGAGATGAAGTGTGACAACGTAAACGGGATCGTATACTTGCAAAAAGCACTAAAAGGGCTAAAACGTCTGAAAAAAAAAACATCAAGAGTGCTGCAGTGTCTCCTAGTTTATGTAAAGGCACAGACGACCATTTGACTTTTCAAAATGGAAAATCTTATGCTATTTCGATTTCATTGAACTAAAAACTCGTACGCAGAGGAAAGTTCGGGATATAAGTTAGAATTGCTATTTTTTCTATTTTTTTATTTTTTGAAAACGAGTTAGAGTGTGCCCGTGACGTATGTATAATAACCCGCTTTTTTCCGTGAAGTGAGGCATTGTTTTTTCTTGATTTTTCGCAGATTCGATGTGCTTTCTATACTAAGACTTTTTGCAAGTTTGCATACTAAGATTTTTTGCAAGGTATTTTACTCAGATGGAATTGAAATTATTAATCTGTGAAGTACCCATGTCCTGCATGAATGATCTCGTCAGAGCATGCTCAGGCAAACTCGATATGTCATAGCCTATTCTTTTCAAATGCAATTATTAACCCGTCGTGAAGTTGTACCTACAACTCTATTATGAGTGACTGAATATATGTTCCCTGACGGTGGAGTCGCAGTGTGACAGGAGTTACATTGATCCATCCTGGTCGCCTGTAATCATGATGGTCTCTGAAGAGATCCTTTGTGATTATTTTAATCCGCCCTGCGTTGTAAAATACTTATCCCAGCATCCCATACGTACCATGAGTTTACCTCTGTGTAAGTTTTGCTGCAAGCTTGGCCAGGAAGGGTCAAACCTGAAGTACATGACCATGACCATGGTGATCCCTTCGGAATAGAACGCTTCTTTGATAATTTTTCAAAAAAAAACTTCGATACTTTTTCATGACCACAACTGATAGAGCACTGCCTCTAAAGAAGTAGAGAAACTTATGATCTCCTCGTAGGTGAGCCCACTCCTGTCCTGTCTTGTATATGATAGTGGCTTCTCGCTTAACAGTAGTCGCCCCCTGTTTCGACGAAAGGGCGTGGATTCGCACCTCACTCGAGCAGGCACGACTGTTGTGACACGGCGAGTAGAGGCCCACTTGAGGGGCAGCCGAAGTCGCCCATTGAATTGAATAAGTCCATCTCATCTTCGTTCTGGACTGTACTTACTGTACTTACAACTTAACTGCATGTTCTTACAAGACGAGTACGGTACCGTAAAGTAGAAGTACATCAGACAACTAAGTATAACAAATAACTTGAAGATTGATTATGTATCTTCCTTTCTCAATAGGACCCTACTGGAACTTATAGGAGTGAAGATGTTAACGATCTGGCGGAACATCTTCGCAGTAGCTCGTGTTTGATTCTGTGCTGTGCTGTGCGCCTATGGGACCCAGAGCCAGTTGCCTGGATGATGTAGGCGCGCTTTAGATGTCTGAGACTAAGCTTATGAATCTCTAATGTTTAGCCTCTAATGTTTAGCCTCTGAGAGGACTACTGGCACCGTATAGTAACCTCTAAGACGCCACTAGGGCAGTCTGCACAGATCTTTGTGCGAGATTCAGAGCATCGTCTTGCTGGGACTATTTAGGAGGACTGTCTTCCGATACGCCACGACGATGACACTCCTCAGACCCTAAGCTTATGATCGCGGCCTAAACATCAAAGCTCCTTAAGATCTGAGAATGGGAGGTTAATATCGAAGGTGGCCCAGGACGGTTTCTGTTGACGGCGACCACAAGATATGATATATGGCCTATTAGAAATGAGTGAAAGAACAATATACCAATAGGACATGACGATTTTGAGTAGTAAACTACTTCACATCTACAAGACTTGTCGTCGTGTACAGAAAGAACGACGTTGTCTTTTACCGAAAAAAGAAAGAACGACATGAAGGCTGGCGCGATCCTGTGCTATTGTAGTGCCATGGCTGTAGGTGTTATATCAGAGTAGTCTATAGCACGCATGGTGCATGGAGTAGCATGGAGTGCATGGAACGCAGAGCTTTAAGGGGCGCAAGAAGCTCCCCTTTTAGCTCCGTGCTACTCTATGTGATCCATGCACTGCGTGCCATGCGAGCTGTGAAACCTTATAAATTGCCTTGTAATAATATGCTTGAAGAATTATATAGGGAGTCTCTTTTGTTGTACCGCATGAACGGCCTCTACACAACCACTCTTAATACCAAAACAGGGACTCGATTCTTCACCCAGGTGGGAAACTCGATGTGCAGAAGATCTAACCCATCCTAACTCTTGTTTTAGATCTAGGTACTAAAAAAGGATAGCTTGTTGTCTATCTATCATATGATGTTGTATACGTGTATTGTATGAATATGATAGATTTTTTTTCCAAGACGACGACCAAGTCCGTCTGCGAGGCGGAGACAAAGCAGGCCGTCATGCATATTAAATCGGTATATTTTTTTTCTTTTTCATTTCAATGGTACTATTGTATTCATTGCTCAAATAGTTAGTAGATAACATTAATTTGAATTTTCTACAACGCGCTTGTTATTTAATATTACAGTTTTATCGCTTTCGTAATCGTAAGACATTTAAGAATAAGAAGTTCTAATTTGTTGATCGATGCACACTTATCTCCCCGATTCTGTGCTCAGTATTATACGTAAAGGAGGCCCCAACGCATGAACAGTGAGTGGTCGTAGGTTGCTGACTCACCACGACTTTGAAGTTTACACTGACCCACGTTGAGTACTAGGTGAATGAGATAGCAATTAGAGACGCAGGGCACCCACAATACTAAAGGATAGACGTCGCGTCTCTGGCAGAAGCGTTCGGGACAAATTTTCAGCAAATGATAAGGTCTTTGCCAGACCTTGTTTTAGTGCCGGGACTGAAAAAGTTTGGTCGCCGTGACTGCTCAGAATGAATATTAGCGTAAAAACGCCACTGATTTTCGTCTCGTGACTGGTTCTGGTACGAGAAATTTCGTGCGTCTCTTTTGTGTAAAAAAGACCATGGCTTTTTCTTTTAGACCTGTTGACCCCATTCTCTTCTTTCCGTCAGCAGGTGATGAAAAGAAGAGAACGATTGATGACGCACCCTCTGCTTCAAGAAGAAGGGCGCGGAGGAGTAAGGGCACAGTAATTTGTATTACTATTCATACTAGATTGTATTTATTGTTCTATTAATATTAAGACGGTAACGGTATAAGCAGAGATCGTTAGTATTCTCTTACGACCCTCTGCGGTAACCGCTGACCATCTGTCCTCTAGGGCCGCCCTTGAAGGAGCACCTCCTTGATTAGTAGCAGTAGTTGCTAGTTGTGTACTTAATAAAGATAATAAACCAGAATACGACTCATCTTGTACTAGACTACGCCTTGCTTTTATGGGGATAGATACAGGGCTCGCTGTCCTGTGAATCTCAACTCCTGCTGATATCTAGCAAAAATGATATCATAGCACATGACCCTTGGTGCTAGTGCTAGTAATATTGTTAAATACTTCTTAAATCATCTTCCTCGTTCTGTCTTCAGCGTCAACGTCATATGCATTCCTTGCACCATCTCGCGCTAGGCACATTCATTCCTTCACTCAACATACTTAGTAAGTAGAAGTAGAAGCACTCCTAGTCCTATGTATAAAAATAGAAGCAGACGAGTATTTTTGAACACTCACTCCATGGTTTGACTTTTGGTTTTTACCTTAGTCGGAGGACGCCCCCCATAAAGAAGTTGGCTCAATGCATTACCATGTACTATAGGGGACATCGATATAGCGAGTAAAAGTTAGGAAACGATCGAAAAAACTAAGTCATGTCTTTTTCGGTCATGTCTTTTGGACTCATGTTTATTTTCGGTCACAACAAAGCGCAGTCTGATATATCGTTCTATTCAAAAGTCTCATATATCGTTCTGCTCAAACAAATGGAACTCTCTAGATTCTTCTCTGAGATTGAATCTAGAGAGCTCGCTTTTTCCGCGAGGTGTCGATTGATTTACTCGACCAGGCGAGCAGCCGCGTTATACATAGGTACTCGAAAACTGAAAATAACCGAGTTACTGACTGAAATAAGGGAGGAAGCTTTGACAGGGCTACTCTTCCTTGTTCAGTAATATGTCGCTTATTTTCAGTAGTTACTCGCTTATTTCAGTTTTTCGAATATAATTTATCAATTTTTTTCAATTAATGCGCAGGGCTGAGGCAGGAGCCCATCTGAATCTGAATCTGAATGTGAGTCGATTACAGCTGCCGCGATAGTAGAGTAGTGATGTTCTCAATCCTCACATTTGTTGTCTCTATTCATCAACCCCGCGATTACTACGTACAACCATTCACATCTATTGATATTTTTTTTGAACGAAGCTAGCATGTATGTAGTAACTCGGTGAGCACCGGCGAATACAAACATCCCCACGTGAGATTTGAAATTGAAAACGTTTATTTCTTAATGATCAATCGCTCTCAACAGAAAAAAATAGGGGAAAAGAAATGCTGTTGCATGTCTTCTTAATAGGTCTAACTCATTACCCCGTATTCAAATTCATCAACACGTGTCGACAGACGTAGCGTCAGTAATGTAGCTACTATGGCGCGTACATCACCATCAAGAGTATGTATGATTCAGGGACGCACGGCCCCCGCTCTGCTTTTTGAGTTTCTGAACCGAAAAAGGCATGGGTCCATTTATTGTTCCGTAACAGCATTATTCACCATGATACATCCCTAGCATTAGATGAAGCGATAAAGAAAGCATAAAAGAGTGTAGCGAAGAGGTTTTTACAGGTAGTTTTTTGTCATGAATGAGAGCGTTTGGATAGCCTTTGTTCTGTGTCTTAAATAACATAGTTATGACTTGGCTTCTAGGACTGAAAAGGTTTATTAGAAGGACTTGAGTTGAAGTCCACCAAGGTTGTAGAAAACCGAGAAGGACTTGAGTTGAGTCTAGAACGAAGTCCACCAAGGTTGTAGAAAACCGAGACGAACACAGAGGAAGAATCCGAACGCTACCAAAAAATATTGATGGGATTGAGTTAGTATTTTTGAAAGCTTCGTCTGGATATAATGGTAGTAGTAGCTGCGTCTGCGGCATTTGTCTTTATATTTGGCCGAAGACTTTGAAATTGAAATGGCGTTAAGCGTCCTCACAGTCTAGAAACAAGCAGTTGTCGTATGCAATTTTTCAGAGTTCTTTGATATTGATTTAACAGTATTACTACAGTGACTTAAAAAAAAAACAGTCAAAAAGACTCATTATTGTAGCTTTGCGACAAGGACCAAAGCATTATCTTTTTTTGTTTTATTTGGGTAGAAACACAGCACTAGCAGACTTCAGTTTGAACAGGAATTCAATTTAACAACGTTTGAAGATTTACTTTTACTTTTACAGAAGTAGTACAACGACATGGTTTATGTAGTTGTCGTGTAACAGAAGACCTTTTTTTGAACCTCTACTGTCTTCACCACTGTTGGATCTATGACCAGCTCATCTGCCTTCAAAACTTTACTATGAACGGAACGACTAGAACTGACGAAGATTTACTCTAGTCCGTCCAGTTTGATCACACATAGAAGTTGTGTGAACCTCGTAGACCACTATGTCCTCCAAGAACTATGGGCCTCTGGAGTATGGCTATATAACCCTCGTAGACCACTACGTCCTCGAGGAGTCATGGTCTTTTCGCACAGCAGATGCCACTAATAGTACAGTACCAACTAAGACGAGTGGTGAACGTGCAGTGTAAAAACGAATATGGTGGCTGGGTTTGTCGATCATAGAAAATGAAGAGCAGTTGTTCTTGTTGTAGTCCAGTGCCGCATGACTAGAAATTGGAAATAATTAGTCGAATCATGCAACAGAATGGCAAGTATTTCCTAGAATATTATGTAGAGAGTCTGTCTTTTGTCCTTTTGTATTGTATGACTACCAAATGATGATATTGTTTTTTTTTACTTAAGTAGTACTATCTATGAAAAAGTAGAGGGGGCTCAATATCAATTACCATCGGCGTAGCTTTTTCACAAGATGATAAGCTGGATGGATTAAATTGAAGATTGATATCAGATAGAGAACACGGTCTCTTTGTTGGCAAAGATGATTCGGATGGAGACCATGTTGGAAGTTTGATCTCTGGTAAAAATCTCATAAGAGGAACAAGGGAAGGAAGAAATAGTTAAACATGCACCCATAATTAAAGATGCTATACCGCGCGAATGGGTACGTCAATCAATCAATCAATCAATCAATCGTGGAACAAGGTGGATCAATTCCTATCCTACGCTATCTGATGTCATAGAGTGATGAGAAAGTGAAAGGTTGAAGATGAAAATATGTCTACTTCTGTCATTTTTTCTTTGCGCCCACTGGAACATTAGAAGTTATAGGGTTTGGAGCTTCTCCGGTTCGCGCAAAACATCAAAATTGCAAGCGCATGTCCTCTTGTTTGAAGACTGACGACTCACCAGTGGGGACAAGAATTATGACAATGCATTACAGGAGAGTGTGACGAGTCTGATTCTCAACAGTTGACACACGCACAATGAAGGTGTAATATTGACTATTCTGGTTGATGAGGACATGTTGTCCCTACGTGTAATTGTAAGTGGCGCGTGCAAAAAGAATAGAAATCATGCGTTCACTCACACGAGGCTAGATGCAAAAAAAGGTAGTGCGTAGTGGTTCTCCCGAAGGAGTGGGTACAGTCATTCATTCGCTCATATTAGATGAGACCTGGTATGAAGACACACACCTAGGATAAAGACACACGGAAGGATCGACGTGGATTGGAGGATATCCACTCTCAGCACAGCACATATCTCCAAATCCAAATCTGCAAATGTATAGTGATTGAGGTCATGATCTTTTTCTGAGAAAAACATCTTGAGCACGTGCTGGTCCTAGGACAGAGCACCAGACCAAGAACATTCTAAGTCACTTCTGAGTGTTCTACTGCTTTTGTTTTTCATCTCTCCCGAGGATACAGGTTAAACTGTGGACGGCGAGCCGACTCCTATCCTATCCTTTGAGTTTCGCGAGCACTCAGCGTGCATAATGTTGTAGCAGCTTCTTTGCGCCCCTATAGGTGGCCAGAAACAATTTCTGAAATCTCCAAATCCAAATCCAAATTGCTGTCCTGTCTTGGTCTTTTGCATGGTGTCTCAAATGTTTTCTGGTCCCTTAATCTCTGTGGAGGATGATTGAGCGAGAACATCCACATTGAGGCGCCTCTGCAAGAACATCACACTGGAGAGGGTTCATCATTCTCAAGGTGCAAGAACATTCACATTGAGGCCCGTAGCCATTTTGGCTCAAGGGCCTGAACACCTAACTTCCACTTCCGTCAACAAACAACAGGTCTTGGTACACAACTCTTATTCATACAACAAACTTGTTGCTTTGGAACGCATCAGTTAGTTGATTGATGCGTAGTTCAATAGTCTTGCTTGATTCGCTCCACCTTGCACAACCTCGATCAACATACTCAAGACTTGTACTAGGCACATTCATTCATTCATACTAGTAAGTAAGAGCTATTTTAATTTTTTTCAACCCAAGAAATTTAGAGCTACTTTTTTTTCGAGACATTCTCCGGCATTTATTTTAAATAAAGAGCGAACTAATACAAGAACTGCTTCGCAAGCATGGCGTTTTTTCGAGGAGGTGTCATTACCCAACTATTTTTAGTCGTGGTAGCGATGCTGCGTGATGGCGTTGCCGCGTCTATATTTCGTGGTCATGAAGGCCACGGCCCGGTAGCTAATGCGGCTTTACTGACACCGCCACGACAGCTGGAGATGGTACTATCAGCAACGAGGCTGGACACTCATATTCAAGGAGAAGGTCCTGGTCCTCGTCCACACCATGACGAATACAAGAAGAAGATGAACGAGGACTTGTTCCGACACTCTGCCGAAGACGTGGCTATGTTTCAGCTGCTGATATCCCAAAAATACGATGGTGGGAGAGAGATTCCGGAACCTATGATATGCCCTATCTGTCTCAAGGCAGCAAGAGAACATCAAGATGGGGAGAAGTCTAGTTCCTTGTACTATAGTTAAGGCTACATCAAGAGATCCATCTTCTGAAGCTTCTGGGTCACGTTTTTCAATGGAAAAGGGGGCCCGAAGCACTGCTGCGGATGGACTTCCCTTAGTTCTAATATAGGCATCTCTGTGGGCATGCTTTGTGTGCGAAGTGCAAGAATAAGATGGTCAAAAACGCAAGAAAGAAAGCGAAAGACGAAGGACGGGCGATGGAAATATATTATGGGAACGGTCGGCGGCGCGGCAACGGGATTGATGCAGTGAGGACTGCGAGGATTGCGTACGCAGCGGAGCAAAGCTGTGTAGTCTGTCGGCAAGGTGGAGAGCTTGAAGACCTTGTGCCGACACAAGAAGAGGAAAACCTAGAAAACCTACTCTTGAAGATAAGGGAAGGCTGTCAAAGTGGAGCAAACACGGGATCCACCTCAGACGAGTCAAGCACGGACGAGGAAAGTTCTAGCACAGAAGAAGATGAAACAGAGGCTCTTCTTGAAGAGAAAGTACTAGATTAAGGCTTCCCCTAATCCATCTCCTCTATAGGGATCCCCCAAACATATGCGCCCCAATACAAGGGAGACACTGACGCATATGCTTCAGGGATTTCCAGTTCCACAGGGATGAATAGGGGAGAGCTCTAACTAGAGTTGCCATCCTCCTCGCAAGACATCTCGGAGCTATCGTTATGTCCACGGCGGTGGCAGCCACTGGAAGTACCCCTTACAGTAGCAAGAGATGTGGATGCTCGTTTTTTCAAGCGTAGTGAAGGCGAAGATGGCGTCCTCTTAGATGCAGCTGTTCGTAAAAAGCTATGGAAGGATCTGGAGCAACAAATGCAGCATGAAAAAGAAACTTGGCTTGATCATGTCCGAAAGCACCAGGGAAAAAATCAAGCCAATATTATTACTGCGCATAGGAGGGAGAGGGATACTCCTACTCCTATGCTTAGAAGGACCGAACAGCAGACGAGTGGTGCTCGTACTTCTGCTTCCAGTCCCAGTTCCATGCTCTTGCAGCCACGGCGGCAGGAAGAGCCGCCTTTGCAGCTGACATCGGGATTGTATATCCGGCAACGAAAAATGTTAGACTTGGTACAAAAAGTGGGTGCCGTGAAAGCAAGTGAGTTCGTAGTAGAAATTCTACGAGCCCCTGTGGCGGATTCTGTGTCTAAATTCCTGGATAGTGTGTTATCAGCTGAAAAGGTAGAAGCTGCCAAGCATCGACAGGGTACTATCTGGAATGGTATAGTGGAAGGTCTGAAGTGTATCAACCAGGAATATTTCGAGCCCCGCAGGGATCTGGTAATGAGCTACATTGTCACTACCCCAGATGGTCACCAGCATCCCTTGGACGTGCGGGTTCGACGTGGCTCCGCTATCAACCCCGAGGGTGATGTGAGCCCATGCGCGTATTGCTGCTTTGTCGCGTGTATCTGCTGTCCTCATAGCTGTAGTATTTGTGTTTACAAGCAATTTGAGCACTCGCGTTACCGGAACCCGTATTGCCACGAAACTGTAATGCCGATTTTGCTAGACTGCAGCACTGTGGCTGCGTGTGGGGCCCTTGTGATTGACCCAAGCCTCACCTCGACAGCGGCGTGTCTCACTAGTTCTTGTCCTAGCGCATGTTGTCCTAGCGCATGTTGTACAAGCGCATGTAGTGCAGTACACCCACCTTGGTGCAACACGACGTTGACGCTTTCCTGTATTCTTCTTGCTTCGCCTCTATTGCGCCTTTGCGCTTTCACTGAAGACAACTACCACAACTCCTCTGAAGAAAGATTATGCAGACTTGCACGCGAACTGGTCACGGACATGGCAACACCCTACGCAACCTGCGTAGAAGAGGTTCGTCTCGCTTGTCGTTTCATTTGTTGTGGAGGAAGAATATTTGAAGAAAAAAAAGAAGAACTGCATCGCCTCAAGACAGCCGAGATTGCAGCAGCCTTAAGGGAGTCCTTAAGCGGAGAGAGTGGAAGCGGAGAGAGTGGTCGAGATCATCCTTTGCGAGAATCGTCTTCATCTTCATCTGGTGGACGTGGAGACGCAGAGCAGCTTGCAATTTCACCAGGTGGAAGCAGTACTAGCTACAACAATGTGCTCTCAGAGTTCATATCATCATTATCTTCGTCACCCTCGTCTGGTGCTGGTGGTGGTGTCCCTCTTCGTCGAGATGTCACTGCACAAAATTTGGTAGAAGACTTGCGATTGGCGCTGTTGTGGGTAGAGCATCCCGTAGTTCACAAGTAGGACCAGCAAATGACAGAAGCATGTTTTTAATCTAAAAGAAGTGTCGCGTGCTTGATTCTTTTTCTTGCTTCTAGCTTCAGGACAACTGTACACTGATAATAAAGATCGTTTGGTGACATGATCTTTTAAGGGCGGATGAGTGAAAAACCAACACATGATCGCGTGGTCTTTTCAACCCCTGGAGTGGGTACATTCATTCACTCACTCATTTAGAAGAACATCCACATGGCGGCGCCTCTGCCAGAACCTCCACATTGAGGCGCATGATGTGCAAAAAATTCAAATCTTCCTCACGGTGAAGTGAGTCTTTTCTGTTGGTAATGCGCAGGATCCATCGACTTCTCTCCTGCTTCTAGTTCAACATTGGCTACTTCTCACCCTCACGTTATTAAATTCTTCACTTTTGAACAGGACTTGCGCTAGCAGCGAGAGTAGCAAGAGTAGAATAGAGAGCATGACGTTGTAGTTGACCAGTTGGAAATCAGTAGGCATATTAGCAACCACAAAAGAAGATGCGATTGCGAGCAAAGCTTTTCTTGCCCAGCGAGAACCTGAATTGGAACTACCCACTATCTAGCAAGGTTTGAAGAACAAGCGGGAACGCACTCGCATCGTTTTCGCGTCACTTGGAAATAGCAGAAGAAGGACTTTTTCTCCTTCTACGGTCTAGTAGAATTAAATAAACACGACCATCTTCCAGCACCACTACAACTACAACCTGGTGTGGTTGTCCATCATTCTTCATCCTTCAACCTGGTGCGGTATAGACGCAGTTCTGGCAGGATGGATCCAGCACAAGTGCAGATGATGCAAATGATGCAGATGATGATGATGGCGGCAGGCCCCTCTCCAGGTGCGATGATGGCGGGAGGACCCTCTCCGGTGGGTAGATTTCCTTATTTTCACTTAGTATGTCTCTACGTAGTAGTTTTCCTTATTTTCACTTAGTAGTTTTCAGTTAGTTAGGACGACTACTACTAATTTATTGCGACAAAGATTATACTGGTGCCCCCGACTTTACTAATTACGAAAGATTATACTGCTGCCCCCGACCACTTCTAAAGAAACCTGCCGTCCTTCTCACTTACAAAGCGTCCAATGTGCTCCCCTCTGCAGGTGCGAACCTGTCATCAATGCCGGCGACGGTTGCCGCAGCCGCCGCACCGCCTCTACCCTTTAGCGGAGGGTTGCCCGCTGTAACTGGACATGGAGTTACGAGCCTAAAAAATGTGCTACTCAGTGATGTAGAAGCATCTCTTTCACTTTATTATATCTGAAATCATGTGATATTGTTTATACAGACACTCCTTTATTTGAGTACCCTACTACTTGTACTTCCGTTTTGTCGGTCATTCCTCCTTGCTTCCACGATGGTTCCCCTTCCCTAGACCACTCCGTACCTTGTCTAGTCTTCTCCCAGGCACATCAGTCAATCAATCAATCAATCAATCAGTCCCACTCCCAACAACAATAATCTGCTCTGAACTCCCCACCGCTAATCTTCTCCCACCAGCACCAGCGATCCCTAGACCTACCTCGTCTAATCTTCTCCCACCAGCGACAACAATGATATCCCCCTCCGAGACAGTAGGAGAAGCCGCAAGTTCCTCTTCCTCGTCATCAAGTCGACCGCCTCTAGGAGACTGGCTCTGTCCGATAAAGGACTGTGGCATGTTAAGGCTTATCGAGTAGTAAGTAAAGGTCGTTCTGCGGCCTAGTAGGCCTACGATTAGTAAGTATTAAACGACCTAGTAGTATAAGTTTCAAGGGGAAAAGGTTGAAGACTTATGATCTAGTTGTAGTAAGTTTCAAGGGGAAAAGGTTGAAGACTTATCAATCTAGTTGTAGTAAGTTTTAAGGGGAAAAGGTTGAAGACTTATCAATCTAGTTGTAGTAAGTTTCAAGGGGAAAAAGGTGAAGACTTATGATGTAGTAGTAAGTTTTAAGGGGAACAAATAGGGTAGAGGACCTGCTGCGAACTAGATCCGTGAACTTGTAACCCCTAAGGGTGGTGAATCACCGAAAACGTACCGCTTGTGAAAAGTGCGGCAAGAGCAAACCGATTCCGAAGGACGCGACAGTTCCACTCAGTATGAGTGGGCCACCGGGATTGTACTAACTAAGAAGCTTGCTGGTTCTTCTATGATATAAAAATGAAGCTCTTGTGATCTTCATCTTCTTGCTCTTGTTTCTTGACAATAAAAGATCATCTTCAAGAACATTGGACCTGAGGACTCAAGTACGTCTTATTCTGATTGTTATTCTAGTTGGGCACCTTTTTCTCTTTTCTACCTTCCTCTGGTCTTTGTTTTTCTAGTTGGGTCTTCTCCACCACAAATATTGATATTGTCTTTGACATTCAAAGCGGGTCGTGATTGGTCATGTACTTTATTAATATTGTCTTCCAGATTCAAAGCGGGTGATTGGTCATGTACTTCTTGCGGGAACGTTAACTGGGATTGGCGGCCACGCTGTAACTTGTGTAATAACTTGAAGCCGGACCTCCAAGAAAAGCGAGAAGGTGGTCGCGGAGGCGGCTATTTCGATCGCCAGGACCCATCAGATAAAATACAGCATCACCCTGCAGACGATGATGATTATGAGATCCTGAAGTCGGACGGTTTTTTAGAGACGAAGACATGGGCATCGGCATGGAGGTAGCTCTAGGTAGTTGTAATATTAGAGAAGAGCAGCTAGCGTCTTGGCCTCTGGCCTCGCTCTCTATCAGAACTAGTCTCTGCGGGTCGTGCTACGGACAGAAGTACTTCGATCAGGGACGTACACATGGCATGTACATGATTCTAATTGTGATGGACGTGGCAGGTGTAATACATGTGAGTTCGTTCTTGTGCACAGACAGAATCAATGAAGAGGAACCCGCAACTATTTAAGTAGCTTCTAATGCCGAGTCGACGAGTTTGGGCGAAAACGAGTACGAGCCACAAGTGCCGGTGGCCACCACCATCATGCAGCTACTAGTTCAGATCTTGTCGCAGCACCAGGAGACATCAGGTCACATAGAGGAGGAGGCGCGCTTGCAGCTGTCTCTACTTCTACCGGTACAGCAACCTCCTCCTCTTCCGCAGGAGGGCAAACTACTAGCAGTAAGCAGGCAAAAGCCAAAGCGGCCTTGGTTATGAAAGGCTTAGGCACTGACAACGCGGTGCTGTAATTAATATAAATAAAATAGTAGAGCAGGCATCTACATCTTCTGCCCTGCCTTCTCCTGTGAGTTTCTGGGAGCATTCAGATTGGATCAGTCGGAGATCACTCGTAAATGTTGAGCTTACTCACTGTAAAGTTGTTTCGTGAAGATCCACCGTACCTACAAAATACAAGCTCTAAGCTGACACGACTCTATGGAGTGAAAAAGACCGAGAAACCGCGGCAGAGAAGTAAACCGCGGCAGAGAAGCCGCAGTCGGGAAAGGCGAAGATGACATCACAACATTGTTGTCGTTGAGACACCACTGGTTTGAAGTGGACGAGGTAACCACTGGTTTGAAGCGATTCCTTAGGTAAGAACTGGAGGTAACCACTGGTTTGAAGCGATTCGTGAATCAAGAACTGGAGGTAACCACTGGTTTCAAGCGATTCGTGAGGCAAGAACTGGAGGTAACCACTGGTTTGAAGCGATTCCTGAGGCAAGAACTGGCTTTCGCGTATCAAATGTTGAGGATTTTGAGAGGTTCGGAGATCATGGCATTCTCTTTTCAATGAAGAGTGAGAGTTGCGGTCCTGTTGCAGCTATAGATCAGGCTTCTCCGATTTTCGAACTTACGAAACGAAGAAACGGACTTACCTAATGATTAGGTGCGTAAGTGGATCCCCCTTACGTGTGGATTTCTTGTTTGTTCCACCATGGTCCATCCTTTGCATATAATCTGGCCTCTTCTCCTCCTCCTCCTCCTGAAAAGGAGTGCGAAATCTATGATCTCCTGCTACGGCGAGGGGCTGTTCGACCTTATATGGTTTCTGCCGATCCGACGCCTGGTGCGTGCGGTAAAGGCTGATACCCCTTCAAAACTTGACGCTACGACCGCGTGAAGAGACTTCTTCCTTAGCCTTCCAATGATGTCTTTAAGTATTTTGCATCTCAATCTCAAATGAAAAATTGAAATATATTGGAGAAAAACAAGCTGAGCAGAAGTTCTACCAGAAAAAGTCGGTGGGAAAAACGAAACGCAAGCATTGCTTGGCTCCTAGAGTTGAACAGAGACTAATTGAGTTGAACAGAGATTAATTCGAGGGATCCTTTACCTTCTCCCAAAAGCAAGGAAGTCATTGCCATTAGGAACTTCAAAAGACAAACGAACTACAAAATGGAGATGAAATTTCAACTGGGTGAACTACAGGAGGAAGGCGAAGGAGCGCGAAGACATTGCAATTAGGCACTGAGAAGGTAGACGAAGCGCAACGTGACCAAGTGTGACTGGTGTGATCAAGTAGACGGAGCGCAATAATGTCGTCCTTCGACTGCCGTTGACTGCGTGAACTACAGGAGATCGTGATGGTCGCCGTCGTATACGCGAAGCGCAATAATGTCGTCCTTCCTCGTATACTGCCGTTGACTGCGTGAACTACAGGAGATCATGATGGTCGCCGTCGTATACGCGATTCTCTTCAGCTGCGTCCTCGAGCTCCTTCACGCGAGTCCGGCGATTGATTTGGCGACACGCCTTGCGAAACTTGAAGACGGACTCGTAATTGAAGTTTTTATCACGACTCACTTGGAGATATTAAGTACAACGAACTTAATACATGGACAATAGCAATATTACGTTGTAAACGTACAGAAGATACAATGTTGATGTGCTTTTTAATGAACAACCGGTTAGTTTTTACCTCTATAGGCTTAACCCTTCAAGTAATGAATACGTAGGATGATTCAAGTTCAAGTAGAGATACAACCTGCAATATCTGTCTACAACCACCCCTCGTCTCCACATCTACATCAGAGTGGTCCTGTACGGAAAATAATTGAACTCCAACTCTACAACCATACCTCCTTACCACATTAGAGCGGCATGCTTTAAATTACGGACAATCAAGCTCGAACCACAACCATAAGTGGTTGTATGATTGAAGTCTAGCAAGTGCCCAGAGCTAACTGTGTTAATCCGAATCCTTTGTTGAGTGCGTGAATGAATATTGATAGATAGAGAGGAGGTGAAATAGTTGGTGCAACAGATATTATAGGTCGTATCTCTACTTGAAACACTTGAATCATCCTACAAGAATGGTTCGATTTTGACTTATCGGATAACTCGTTCGCACTACAAAAAAAAGCCTGTCGTTGGTTGCTCCACACTAGCTACGAAAAAAATTCTGCTCGTACAACGAACCATCCCTCTCCCCACTGCATCAGAACGGTCTTTACGGAAAACTCAACGATGTGGGTATTAAGGCGACGAAGCAAAGCTTTGAGGTAGAGGAATTTAGGCAGCGAGCGGATGAGCTCGACTCTCTGGCGGAAACTACACGTCAGAACAGCGAAAAGAACCAAAATGCTTTGCACAAGATTCAAAGGACGTTTGCTGATGCAGGTATAATTTTTTTGCAGGTATCTAGTCAAAGGACGTTTGCTGATGCAGGTATAATTTTTTTGCAGGTATCTAGTCAAAGGACGTTTGCTGATGCAGGTATAATTTTTTTGCAGGTATCTATTCAAAGGACGTTTGCTGATGCAGGTATGATCATGGTAAAAAGGCTTTGTCTCTGATCACTTAGGATGGAAACGTATGTGACGTGCAAGAACGTAGAACTACCAACTTTCTGTATCTCCCGTACTAGAGGTTCCTTCCCCTGCTTACAGGATCAAAAGGTTTTTCAACCTTTCACCCGTTTCCCACCTCCAAGAACTGCAAACTTCCCTAAACAAACTCACCAACAGAAAGGTTCCTTCCTGAACAACTCACGCGCGCACTTTGGATCCGATTTGAGAGGGGAGAAGGCTCTGGCCAAGGAGGCCGCACGACTGACGCCCCTTGTGGACCAGGAACTAAGCCAGGAAAACAAGGACACGGTGAAATCCCAAGTGGAGGTGCTCACCCAGATTATGAAAGGGGGTTTATACGGTTGATGTTGACGTTATGAGACTTGACGGTTGATGACGTAAGACCTTTTATTTCATGTTTACGTTATAAGACTTGACGGTTGAGGACGGTTGATGAAGTAAGACATGTTTACGTTATAAGACGTGACGGTTGAACAAGTAAGACTTGACGGTTGCAGTAAGCCTGTACGGGGATTTGCAATTGAAGTAAGAAGATGTTGACCTTGACGTAGAAGTGCTGGATTGTTCAAATAGATGCAGAATATGTAATGTAGGAGAGGCTGTGTACCCCCTTTCATACCTTTGCAGGATCCTGGTTCCGATTTGTCGATCGCGAAACTGGGCGATCGAGCTGAAAGTTTGTTGGCTAGATGGCACGCCGCAGAGCGACAAGTCCATGAGGCTGCCAAGCACGTAGTTGCGGAACAGGCAGTGCCAGGCCTAGAGCGGGTGCGGAAGGCAGCTCGCTTGCTGGGCAGACGGAGTGAAAAAGGACTGAGATGATAGAAAATGGATCATGGACGTGATGGGATGGAACGATCAGGGTAAGGGTTTCGCGCACGTCCACGTGTAGTGGTCGCCACACCGGAAAGGATTCTTCATAAACGCTACGTTTAGACTGGACGAGTTTTTTCACGATATTCACTGTACAAGTTTGTCGGACTTCTTGGATGCAGGATCAACAACTCATTGATGGAGGCTCGAAGATTGTTTTTTCCCTACTCATTACTTCAGATTCAACTTGTGACGAGGATCAATGTTGAAGAAGGAAATGCTGAAAAGAGTCGGACAAACAGAGCGTTCGCCACCACTTCAATGTGGGGAAGGGAGACAGTGATGCACAGTATGTGCTTCACAGGATCTCTCCTAGTAACTAGAGCATCTATAATTGATAGTCAGAACGTCGATGTCGAAAATGAAGTGCGAAAGAAATATAACCCTAGTTCTTCCCACGGCTTCAACACGGCCTATCTGACACAGCTTATCTGACACAGCCTATGAGTGAAATATAGAGTGGTCTACGATAGAGTGGTTCATGATACTGTGGTCTACGATTGAGCGAACGATACATAGAGCGGCGTCAGATTGACTGGTAGCATCAAGCGCAATAGCCTACACGATCTAATGAAGCTGCTGTTCCTTTTCCAGATCTTTCAATACATAGGCAGCTGTCGAACAAGTATACTAATATATTAAATGTAATTATTCTTGTACCAGTACCACGACATTAAAAATGGACGGTGAAAACAATGATGCGCATCAAGCGAAAGAAAGCACGCAAGAAGAGGCTACTTCTAGTGCCTTTGACGCGGTCGCAAACCAAGCCAAGGCGCAAGAGGGTGCTGTCGTGCCAAGGCGAGAACCCGACGCCCGATACGATGGGTGGTTGTGTGATTTGAATCGTGCTGGTGCGCGCCGGAACAAGTGGTGGCGGGAGTACGGTGACGAATATGACATCCCATATGTTAGGGCTTCCACAAATTCATCGATCTACTTACGAGGCATGTAGTACTTGATAGGACAAAATCATTAGTCTTGAAGAAAAGCACCTCCTTCGAGGACGCTCTTTCTTGCATGGGAAAACTTCTAAGGTCAAGTCTTGAAGAAGGACGTGTTTGAGGATCAGGATGAATTTGGTTAAATTAACAATTTTAATTTTTATGATCCTTACTCTACTAACTTACTAATTACAACCTTTATGATCCTCACTCTACGAACTTACTAATTACAACCGAGAAAAGGCCGTGCCAAAGTCGTTGGAGGCGTATCATAAGCGGATGTCAGCAGCACGCGGGGAAAAAAACTATGCTGGGTGTGAGGGTCATGAAATCCATAGTGCAGTGATCGCGGAGACGGATTTGGTGGAGGCGACCTCAAGTGTGTGTTAAGGCATCCTTCCTGAAGATCATCTTACAGAAGATCATCTTGGTTTTACAAATTCATCTACTTCTAGAAAGATGAACAATCTATCAATGTCTTGGTCCTCCTCCCGTTTATCAAGAACAGGGAATAAACGGGGGTTTATCAAGAACAGGGAATAAATGGGGGTTTATCAAGAACAGGGAATAAACGGGGGTTTGTCAAGAACAGGGAATAAACGGGATTTCATCAAGAACAGGGAATTCAGGTGGGTTTATCAAGAACAGGGAATAAACGGGGGTTTGTCAAGAACAGGGAATAAACGGGGGTTCCGTGTTTCAACTGATGATCAAGATGCTTCATCAGGGGATGAATTTCTGGCAGTTCTAACTGTGGCTGCCTTCTGGGCCAGTGAATCATAGGGAAGCTATGCGATTTTACGGGAAGAAACGAACGGTGGCAGACGAGCAAGAAATACTTGAAGATGGTGAAGGCGCTTGTCTTAATGTTTCGAGAGGGAGAGAGGACGGTCATGTAGTACTGCCAGCTGCAGATAAAGATAACGTGGTAAATGAACGTGGCAACACGTCTTAAGGCTACCGCTGAAGCATCCTCAACGCTATCCTTGGGTTGGTTTTCAAGGAGAAAAGGGGCTCAGGGATGGGCTCGAGAATGCGGCTTGGTAGCTCTAACCGTCGCTTTTTTCTCCCGAGCGAGACGCAGACCTGCTGGCAGCGATTCGTAGCGGGAAGCTAGTGAGAAGAGCTTTGGAGCAGCGGCGCGTCGACGCGGAAGGAAGGCGCGATTCCGTCCCCCCATTAGGACTCGCAAACCACCACTACCAAGCGCAGCTGTGCGAGCTGGGCGAGCGCATCGGAATCGATCGTGCTATACTACCTCAGCGCACCAGACCCCAGGAAGCACTTCACGAAGATAAAGAACTTCACGAAGATCAGGATAAAGTAACAAAACCAGTAGTAGTTCTTGAGGAAAAGCATGATGATCACGATCCCCTCGTCAGGGTAGAACTGCTCTCATCGACCGCTACAAAGCGCATGTACGAGGAGAGGCAGCACGAGACGCTCAGCCAACTGTATGGATGATGTTTTTTCTCCCATCTTCAGCGGAGTGACCATCGAGGCTGCCCCTCTTGCTTGCGTGGGCGTCTTGTCGTCATCGTGTGGAGTAATAGCTTTTTGCTGTAGAAATTCAGCGCATACTGTTAGGTTAAAGGGGAGCCTCGATGGTCTGCCTCTAGAGGGGAGAAAAAACGCCATTCATAAGGGGTCGGAGTTCTTACAGGCAGTCAGGGGACGCCCCACAGCAGCCGCATACTTTCCACCAGCTAATCTACGCGGAGGAGCTAGGCCTCTTCGAGGAGATGATGAGCTTCCTGAAGATCATGTGCATGTTGAGCCAGCTAAGTCAGGAAAAGCAGTAGCAGACGCAGATGAAGAGGGAGCACCACTAGTACTCGATTGGCCGAAAGACTCTCAGTGCAACTACATTAAGGGTTGGAAGTTGGCATCTCGATCTCTATGAGCAGCTCTATGAGCATCTCTTCAAGTAGGAAAGTCATAGATATGCGAGCTACTAGATGGGGGCCGACTTTCAACCGCTAACTACAGATCCTCTTCCCTTCCATACGACCACCTTCCCGGTGAATTGACGATAAATAACTGGCCTCAGGGTCTTGTGGATGTTGAGAACGCTGGAAAGTACTACAACTACGTACTACAACGCGGCAACCAGGAGGAAGACCCTAGAAACACCTGGTGGAAAAATTCGTTGAAAAGACTTGCCTGGATGTGGGAAGGCGATTCAGGTGGGAAGACCCTCGGCTTTTCGCCGTCGCCAAGAAGGGGTGAGTTAGGACGGCTGAGATCACATGGCCATTAGCATAAATTATTTACAACTTGTTAAAACTAGTACGTAGTAAACTTTTTTATATCTCGCCTAGTAAGTTCTTAGGTCGGCTATATTACCAATATTATCTCGACGGGAGGTTTTAGAATATTACCCAACTCGCAGTTTCCACCTGGGTACTGTTTTCGATTTATTCAGTTTTCTTTTACTAACTCGGTGAGTAGGATGTTGAAGTTGAAGATCTGAAGGTAGGAAGAAATGACATAGCGATGTGAAGGTAGGACACAACTACTACTACTTCTAATTAAGGGAGCAACAGCAGCAGTAGATCTTTCGACGATCGACTGCAAGTTCGAGGTCTCTTTCGGGTTTGGCGGGACAGAGTTCCACCTCTCGTATCCCAATGTGGCGGTCGGTAGAGGTATTCTGCTTGCAAAATTAAAGGCAGACATCGCCAAAGCATTGTGCGGGCGTCGGGGAATGGGCGCGAATTTGCGCATTGTAAGCTTGACTGTGGCTGCGGGGTCGGAAATGGTTGTGGAGGATAACAGGAGCATAGAAGTAGAAGCTGGCATCTGCATGCGTCCGCGGCAGCCGACGGACAGAGAGTTGCGAAAATTTGCTGATACCATGCGCAAACTCGATCATATTAAGGCTGCTAATGCGCAAGCGCAAGAGCAAGACACAATCGTAACAGAACGGCGAGACTCAACGGGCGGAATACTACAGTTCAGAATTCCTACTCATAAGGTTGATGGAGACGGAGAACTAGATGGGACAGCAGGGGAACGTCCAGTAGGTGATGGTGTAGCTGATGATGACCAATGGCCGGCAGTCCCTGTGGAATCGTTACCCGCCTGTGCGTCTGGTATTCTTCCTAACACGGTCCCGGCTTCTACATCAACACTAGGAGGTCCTCACATGCCGTATTACATGTTTGTCTCGCATCGGAGTGGGAAAGCGCATTTTGTGAAGAAAACACTGGAAGCAGCATTGCTCGTTCCAAATGCGAAGATGGTATTTTCTCTCGACGTTGCAAACGCGAAGGCGAAGACTTCACGACCTTCTTCAGGAAAGATTAAGGCCGCTTCGCTCCATGATGACGTTCGTTATAAGATGGATACCGAGAAGAGCGGATTTTCAAATATGCTCCATGATAATGTTCGTTATAAGATGGATATCGACTGTTTCTGAGATGGATATCGACGAAGACGAGGCTCTTCTTCTCTTTTCCGGTTCTGTTCGTTATAAGATGGATATCTAGAAGCCTTCTAAGTACTGCTCTTCTCCGGCGCCTGGTCCGTTGAAGCTAGCATTTAAGATCCACGTACTGACGGACCGACGGTTGGAGCCAACGTTCTTCGGCCGACGAACTCCAGATGCTATCCTGCTCTGTCTCGGTCTGGCGTCGGACTTCACGGACACAACTTTGGTTGACACTTCTGTGCGAACAAACGAGAAGTTGACAGACAGAAGAACAAACGTCGAACAGCGTAGTACGAAAAAATCCGTCAACAAGACTTCTGGCTCTGACTTCGTCGTCGACGTCGAACAGGCGACCTGTTCGAAATCATCTTCGAGTTGCTCTTTAAATGACCCAACATTGGTTGACTCTTCTGCAGAAGAGCAGACGAGAAGTTGTTTTGGGATGCGGTCTAGACCGAAGTCGGTGCGGTTCACGAGTACGTTGGAACTGCCACCGCTCGGCGCAGCAGTATTGGACTCTTCCCGTGAGTCAGCGGGCTCCGGTGAAACTACTACAGGTAAGGCATTTATTTTACGAAGAAACAGGGCACATGGAAAGTTCCGCAGGAGGAGGCGAATCTTCAAGATCTTGAGAAGCATCTACTTAAAGATGGAGTTCGGAAAGACCTATCTAGTAGAGCGTCTAATACTAGCATGCCCAGAAGGGACCCACGCGCACGACGCCGCGCAAGCGGCTTTCCTCGCTCCGTTATCTATGGCTGGTTTTTCACTTTTGTTCCATGTGAAATTCCATATTGAGTCGGTGTGGACTCTGCTGAGTGGGAGTGGAGTCCGCCCCTTTGGTTTCTTCAAGGGGAAAGAAACTAAGAGAAATGAAAGGGGAAGAACCTCCCTCCACTTACTTAACCAAAAATGCATACTTAGACTAGCTGGTGCTAAAATCTGGAACGCTGTCGAGGAATTGAAAATCTCGGGAGACGAATAGGGCTTGAGTATGACGAGTCCAGCTCGGGTTCCAGCAGTGATTCTTCAGTTTATGCGAGCACTATTACGGAGAATTTCTGAAATACATCTTATTCAGCTTCTTGGTCCTCCTGCTCTTTCCAAAGGAAAATGAACGGACACCAAGATGCTCTTTACGAGATGGATTTCTTCTAGGTCTAACACTAGCGCAATTAGTAGAAACGCTCAGGACGACGTGAGGGTGAGAAATGCACGGAAAGGATCAGGTGAACAAGACCAGTCGCTGCGAGTGAGTGCGCTTCCGAAAGCTATCTTTGGTCTCGAATTTCCTGTTGTCGAAATGGATCGGGTTCTATTTTGCAAGATCCCAATTATTGAGCCCATTGTTGAGGGAGAAGAGGAGGGCGAAAATCAAAATTCTTTCTTGATGGCAGGACAGGAACTCGTCACCTGGCCACTCACGTTTCAAGGAAGTAGGTGTGCTGCGTCAAGAAGTGCCGCAAATTCTTCTGCTCCATTCTTGCCTCGATCCAATCTGGAAGAACATACTGCGGCCATTACGCATGAGAACGGTGAGGAGTCGGGAGAGGTAGTCATGCAGCTCATGGCCTTTACAGCGTCTCGACAGTGTCAACAAGAATGTAGTCATGCAGCTCATGGCGTTTAGTTAAGGCTTCCCCTAATCCATCCCTGTTTAGGGATCCCTCAAAGACAGTATGCGCCCCAATACAAGGGAGATACTGACGCATATGCTTGAGGGATTTCCACAGGGATGAATAGGGGAGAGCTCTAATTTAGGGCATCTCGATTCTGTCCAGAACATGTTACGTAGTCGCCGCAAACGGCGAAAACGAAAGTCACCACCAAGAATCTGGCGTCCTTAGTCAGTGTTAGTGCCAGGTTTCGCGCGTCTCCACATTAGCGTCGCGAGCGTCTCCACGACGTCAACACTTTCGTCTTGCACATGTGGCAGTGGGTACGTCTACGTCAGTCAATGTTACTTTGGGGAGCTGTGGTGCCCGCGTCTACGACCTAGTCGACGTCGACAAATTTGTTATTGTTCATCCGGGATGACCTTTTCCATATCAAATGTCTTTGCGCATACTCAGGGCAGGCTACATTCACATCCATATGAATCGGCATGGGATAATTGAACCGCTACATGTATGTCCAGCTTCTTTGAAAAATAGAATACGTGATTTTCAGTTGATCTCATTCCGCACGACGCTTCCATGCAACTACGGTGCTCGAGCGGCGTACTTGGTCTCGACTTCGTAACAGCACTCGTGTGGAGGCTGTTGCGGCTCGTGTTCAGAAAAATCTCGCGCAGGATTGTAGGATGCATGTATAGATACAATAGTAAAGACGCATCTTGCGCAGGATGTAGAACTGATGATCGATGCAAAAGAGAAACGCTTCTCACTGCTGTTTTTGAGAAGATGGGTGGGTCTGACAATCCTGGAAAAAAAATTAAGCCAACAATGCTGAAAAAAATTACTTGTGATCTGTAGGGGTCATGCATGCACAGTGTTGAAAGATCTCCAAGTCATCGCCCTGTGCACAAGAATGAACTATGGATGTTAAACCCCTAGGAATGCTGCAAATAATGCCATTGAATGAATTCCCTTTAACATGGATCCGCGAAAGCCCACGTCGATGGCTTGCAACGATGACCGAAAAGACGACATCAATATCAATATCGACACTTTTCGATTCACTGATGTGATATTGCTACCGAGAACACGAAGTCGATCTTGTTCTTGGTATTCAACTTCCCTTCATCTTTTTTTTATCTATCCTATCTAAATGACACGACGACTTTGTTCTTCATAATTGTTGGCGTTTTACTACCCATCTCAATATCAGGGAAAGAGAATCCACTAAGATGAGAGATTAGCGCATGATGGCTGTTACGACTTCGGTCGTTGCATGCCGCTTCATTCCGCATGTTCGCGCCGATCACTCATCGACTCCACCAAACTGCGTTTCTTACCACGTTGAACAGCATGTCGCTGCTCATTGTCTGGGGCCATATCTGGGACCAGTAGCGCCATGTCTGGGACCATGCCGCTGCTCATTTCCAAGAACGAGACAGTGGTGGAGTCCCAGTTGGAAAACAGCCTCTACATCTTCAGAACAGCGCTCAAGGAATCCCAGTAGAAGAGAAGCCTCTACTAGTACATCTTCATCAACTGGACTGGTTCATTCTGGTGCCGGACGAGTGACCATCAACTTCGTTCTTTTGCCGGGCGAGTGAATGTTAAGAGGATTGAGATGCTTCTTCGAACACAAGTAGTTGGGGCGACATCTTTGAAGATGGAAATGCTTCTTCGAACACAAGTAGTTGGGGCGACATCTTCAACTTTGAAAATGCAGAGGAGTCAAAAAAGTAGTGACTTCAGCATCTAGGAGTCAGAGGGGAAAAATGTAGTGACTTCAGCATCTAGGAGTCCTTGGGGACTACATGTGATGGCTGGAGAAGAGGAGTGCGCCACCATCGACGCGTCGTGATGTATCCGAGGACAAGAATACAAAATTGGGACAGTACTATTACGCAGAGGTGGAGAGGGGAGGAAGACAGGCAGAAGAAAATACACGTTAGAGAAGGAGTATTAGGCACTGGGCTGCGGTTGTAGTATTTTACGGCTGATACGAAGTAGCAGACCCAGGCGACCCAGGTCCAGCTGCCTCTGAAGGTGCACAAGTAGACCATCAAGTAGATGTGAACAAGCGGCGTTCATGAGCTGATTTCAGTGAAAATCAGTCTAGATGTGAAAGAGATCATCAAGTAGATGTGAACAAGATCATGCCTCTGATAGTACAGCAATTAACAACAACTACAGCGGCGTCAGAAGTTGCTTTAGATGTCGTTGTTGCAACAATTTACTTTACCACTAGAAGGAAGACTAGTGGACTTTCGAGAACCTACACATTGTGATATATCTTTTTACCACCCACGAAGTGGCGGCGAAGTAGACTTCCGATCAATTGAGGGAGTTGCTTTGATGCACGACCAGCACGCGGACGAACGACCTGCCTTTGAGCAGTCAGCGACGACAATAATGGTAAAGATGATGGCTACCTCCATTGGCGACGCTGCGCGATCGGAGACGGTGCTTGGGACTCAGCTCCGAAGTTTTGGCGCGGCTGCACAGCACGCTCGTTGAAGAGCGCCGACCGACCACGCCGACTTGACACAGCAAGAACTACAGGAGTACTATACATAAGTGCATTGAGATACTAAAAGAAGAAGCGAGTCAAGTGGCGAGGTAATATTTAGATACTCCAAGTAGAAGAAGCAAGTCAGGTCGTAGTCGTGGCGAGGAGTGCTAGATACTCCAAGAAGAAGAGGACCGTCGAGTCGTGGCGAGGGGTACTAGAGGCCAAACAAGGTTGTAGTAGAGCGGAAGAGATCAAAAAGCGCAGGAGCGTCTTGGCTGCAATCGCGAACTGCGACTCATTTGCGACCAAGGGAACAGGAAGAAGCTCCAAATAAAACGGGAGCCATGCACCCCGAAGAAGGTAAACGCAATTGGCCGCAAGAAGAGGATAAATAGAGGAGCTATAGAGAGCGCGTATAATAGTCAAAATGTCAACATTAACGCAACTAGTGTTGAAAAAAATAGCCGGGCGAAAAAGTCTTATATTCTCATAAGATAACTTTTTAGATTTAATTGAAAGTAATACTGAAAGGGGGTATGCTCTAAAAAAAGAGCTCCACACTTATCTGGGCTTGAAGAATGGAGTAAACCCAAATACATCTCCAACATCCTGTCGCCTCTCCCATCTCAAGATGTGCGCATACTTTCTCACATGGCACGGATATTCGAAAACAGAAAGCACCAGGACCTCTTTATTTGGCAATTTATATTCGCAAGTTTGGTGGAGATTTAGTGGATCAAAAACCTCTGGCGACCTAGGTCGCTTTGCCTATATTTGGCATCTCTTTTCACATCTTCACGGGGTTCATTGCATGCGGAAACAGAGCGGGCGAGCACTCTCTTCGAAGACCTCCACTGTCTTCCGCTACAAACTTGGACTACTCTGACTATCGCTACTGGTGTGCTCTAAAGAATCTCGATCTCTCTTTCTCCATTCTTGCTGATAACTCCGAAGCGTGACGTTGGTTGATGGTCGAGAGTGACACTTGAGGAGTGGAGGGTAGGAGTGAGCGAGCACGTGAGATGATGCAGCACGTTGAAGGTAATGATATTATAAGTACTTGGTATGTTGGTTTCCGTGAGATGAGTAGAGGATGAAACATCTGAGCGGCCCCACCTCGCCGAGACAGACAGACTTTTGACGAAACTAGATGATGTATTCCCTCGTCTTCTATACTAGTTGAGTATCCATCAATCGGTTAGACAAGTTAAGGCTATGCCTTGATAATCGAACTTAGTTATTTGAATTTGCGAGATTCCTCACGTAAATAATCCATCTGGAAACAAACATCTGTCTCAATTACATGTCGGGATCCTACGCTCATTTTGCAGAGGCTTTGGATAAGAAATGCGCAGATGAAAGGACGCCGCGTGGTTGTTCAATGCTTCAGCGCGATAACTGGAACCGTGTGGCCGCAAGGAGTCCGAAACTTCGCAGACGAAGTGTTGGAGTGAAAAGGCGACTGCACTCCTAACTACATCAGACCTACTGTTCTGTCCTCGAAGGGCCTCACTGATTTCTGCTCTGCTGTATACTTTAGTCTCCTGCTTCCAGGCACAGGCAGTGCGTGTGCGGTCGAATATCGCGGCATTAATCATGAGGACTTGCTTGTTGGGTGCATCTACGCCTACACTTCCGATGTGCTGATCAGCAGTCGGCGAATGGCATCTACGACCGGAGCGCGCCTCACTCTGCATTCATTAGCTGTTCTCCGAGTCTCCTTTATCGGCCCATATCGAGCGGGAATGTTTTCGTGAAGCGGATTGTTATGAATTCGTGTTTATCTTTATGTTTAAAATGATAAAAGTTACTTGTCCATCATCTTCTATGAGTCATGTATTCAGCGAAATGATTGAGCGATTTTTAGTTCTTGTTCCCATTTCTTGAAAATGAAAATGTCTGATTCATCAAAAAATTACGACTCTAAAAGAAGGTAAGCGATGGCGATACGCTGGTAGGCGCCACGAGATGAAGCTTGTTCCTTCCATCCTTGTAAGCTAGAAACCGTTTTTCGGATGTGAAATCTGGCTGCAACTGCAACCTTGCGATCGCAGAGTGTTGGAATTTCGTTTTTAGGGATCCGAAATATTTCTTCACGGCTTGCAACTTCTCGAAGCTGCCGTGGCTGTTCGCAGTACGTCCGTAAGACGTCTTCTTCAGAAATTAGCTGCAGAAAGCAAGGCGTGTGGTCGAGACCTGTCCATGCACTTTCGACGTGCTTTTTCCTCGTAGAAGTCGAGCTTCGTTTTTCCCAGACAGCGCACTGAGAAGCACTTCTTTGCTGCGTCTATTTGTGAGAGGCGAGAATGTTGAATTCTGCAGTGATGCTGGAAATCAAACGGCAGCAGACATGTCCAGCCGAAAGATAATTGGGATTCGTTCGAACAATACTGCGATGTTGAGGGGAATTGTCGAGCTCAAGAGCAACGTTTTTCAAGGTTTGGCCATCGCGTCAGGAGTGTCATTTTCCGATTGGTCAGTTCCTCTCACTGATGAATTTCGATGAGAACCAGAGCAGATGTAGTATTTACAGAGCGCGGATGAAGATGCCGCTCACAAACGTAAATACTCAAACGACCATGTATTTTGAATGTGTCAGTGTAATAAACGCTCACAGCACGACGACCTGCTGGCTTCTATTTTGATGTGAAGAGAAGCGCTTCTTTGAATGTCATATGCGCAAGCCTTGCTCTTGGTATGTACGCCAGGGCTGTTGCCAAGCTTGTGTATCATAGCACATCGCTGGAGATGACGCAGATGCGCGTCCTTTGTTTGACGTGTTCGTACAAGAAGAAGGAAAGCGAGAAGTTTAGCATGAAAATAGAAGACATCATGAGGAGCTTAGTCATGGAATGCGGAGAATGACAAAATGGAAAAACGGAGGACGAGGGAAAAACTTTTTTGAAAATCTGGACAGAGGACACGACTATGTACACGCAGCTATGTAGTGCACTACAACGATTATACCTACAACTACGAGAGAGATAGAGATAGAGAGACGGCTATCTACACTACAACCACCATGACTACAACCACGAGAGAGAGTAGCACTCTTTGGCTGTGAGACACATTTGCTTTCAAAAGATGAAGAAAATCTGGCGCTTGTACCAGATAGTTTTTTCGACTTTCATAGACAATGGAGAATGACGATGAGCAGGGCACCACAGCAGTTTTGATCTTGATGGTACTGCAGGTAGAGTGCACAGACACAAGAAAATGATGAGATGTGCCTTTCTTGTAGGGACGAGAGGCAGTGAGTAGGCAGTATTAGAGAGGCAGTAGGCAGTATTATCTCTATTCGGTCACATACATTCAATTCGTAAATCCTCATTGACATGATGATTATGCTAGAAAAAAAGGTGCGCTCTTTGCTTATTGCCTCGTTTATTTCGGCGTGTGCGTTCGCTGAGCTCGCGGACAGCAACAGCCGATACGCACAAGAAGTGGACGCGTATGGTGAGACAAAAGATGCGAGCGATGACATCCTTATGAAAGGAACAAATGATCCAACATTTACCAATATACTTTCTTCCACATCAACGCTCTCAAACCACCACAAAGCTATTTAGTTACTCAGAGTTGATTACGCATGGCTATACTCTCAATTTCATTTGGCACTTACGTCATACCCCACGAGTTTCTATTTTCTCGTTCGAACCTTATCTCATCCCTTTTCTTTCATTACTGGCGATTCAAGTGGAGACCGGACCCGGAGCGGCCAGATAGGACACCAGCGTGGCCATATAGGAAACGAGCGCGGCCATATAGGCGAAGTTCGCCGCCACGTAACCAAAAGGCGGAACAAGATGTTCGACAGCGAGTTTTTGACACCAGCTGGATACTCGTCGTCATCTCCGCAGAGTGGTATAATAAGGATTTTTTTGGATGCCTCGTTGTCCCTCCACAGTTGAGTATGCTGATTGCTAGATGTTTGAGACCCTCATCTTCAGTAGCAAAACTTCCTTCACCAGTATGAAAATCTCACCACACTTTCCCAGATGATCCGGAAGTAGACGCTCAACTTCAAGAAAGCACTAGCTGGTTTCAGGCGGACGCAGTTGGCGACTCAGACCACTCCCCCGTGTACGGCAACTCAAGCAGAGCGCGCATGTATACCAACTCGACCCTCATAGGTTTGGATCTCGACAATTCATTCCTGCAGAGGATGATAATCCAGACCCCGCCAGATATCACCGCCGCTACTCTTCTCGACATGGATACCATCAGAATAATTGGCTGCGTGCTGAAGGAGAAGCTTTCTGACTACACCTACGTGAGCAACCCTGCGCTCAGCGAAAAGATGAGCATAGAAGCGGCGGCGGGTAATTTGCACGTTGAGGTTGACATGCTGATTGCAGATATCAACAGGATTAGAGAGTACGAGACATGGCAAGAACGCTCTGGTGCTGCAGTGAGAGGAGCTGGTAACTACAAACACTTTGGGCTACAATACTTGAGAAGAGCTGGAGACTTTGTGGATATCTATGCAATTTGCTTACCTCATCTGGACTCTCAGACAGCGGCTGGGTTAAAAATCCATTCTTTTGTCTCTCACCCTATTCCAGGTACTCTACCCGTGGGGACCCCGGGAGAGATGGACCCTCCTCCCGCGCCAGTGGATGATGTCATTGCAATCCACGGTGCGGGGACCGGGGAGAGACAATTTGGGGTACCCATAAGAAAGCTTTTTTTGCGCGCGCAAAAGCAGCGCTTGACGCCGATGCAACGTCTGAAGTTATTCACGTTTCAACAACTTCATGATCCCAATGTCGCACTCAAGAATCTGATGCAGCTCGTGGTCAATACGAGGACTCTCGCAGACAGCGACAGTGTGTATGATATTTGGGCGCAGGGCGGTGTTGCTCTTGTAGTAAAGGGAGCGCCAGGTATTGTTTTTTTTTATTGTGGCACTCATTTTACAGCATGAACTTCGATGAAATTAGAGCAATGTAAGTTGTCTACTCTATATTTATGCACTGGAGGAGCTTGCGGGGGGGGTGATTCTACTAACTGGCGAGTTAACTTAGGCGAGAGAAAAGACGCGCTCTCTGGAAGGTTCCTGGGCGACAGTCGGCAAAAAATGCCGACTGAGGGACCAACTAGGGAGAGGGTCGGGGGCAACGGGCCCCGCGAGCCCCGTCGTGTGCGGTGCGAAAAATGCACTCACGCGCGACGCCGCTGGTCGATGCGCTGGCGCATCCCAGCGATGGCGAACCTCGATCCGCACCTCCACGGGAGGCTCGGGCGCGGTCGGGTGAGAGCGTTAATGCTACACCCACGGGGCGGCGTTCACATGCAGAGCGGAGCGGAGCGGAGCAGATGCGGGCTGCCGGCGCACGGGCCAAAGCGCTCGCGCGCAGGCCGCGGGAGGGCCAACGCGCCCTCCGGCGGTGCGGCGGGCAGGCGCGTGGCGCCCAGTGGTGGGTGCTGGGTGGGGAGCTCGTAAAAATCGGGCTCCGCCGCGCGCGCGGCGCGCCACCTCTGCGCGGGGCAAAAGTCTCCGCGTGGGGCTGGCGCTTGTGGCAGCGCGCATTAGTATAGACGCAGGCTGAAATCTAGCTTGGGCAGGATAAGAAGCCTCTTTTCCCCAAAAATCCAGGGACTTTCTGCGCGTGTATAGTCGCAATCTAGAAAGCTAGCACCTAGCAGTGCCCCCGCGCTCTGGTTTTTGCAAAAAACAAAAAACGAAACGACCCCCCCGAAAAACGTCGGAGACCTCGCGACCCACACAGGCAAAAATCTTCTGGGAAGCGAGGACGTCGACGAGAAGGGTGAGGCCTTCCGAAACTGATCGGCGGATCATTGTTTCGCCCCTCCATGGCTGGCCATGGAGGTGCTGCGCAAGCAGCTGGAGGAGACGACGCAGCATCCGGAGAAACTCACAAATACTCTGCGCGAACGTCCAGGACTGGACTGCGGCACTTCGACAGATGGCCGGCGAACTTCCGGAAACGGAGTTTGCCGACACGGTCAGAAAAGACCTGGAGGACCCGCGCTCCGTGGGAGAAGACGGGGCCCGAACTGAAGCGGGGAGCGCCTTGATGTGGTTCTGCTTGTGGTTGGGTGCATACCACGAGGAGCAGGTGGCGGAGCCCTGGGCCTCGGAGTCTCTGACTAAAAAAAAAGCCGGCGCCTCGAAGCCGGCGCCTCGAAGCCGGCGCGAAGCTGGCCGAAAAGCGAAAGTTTCGGGAGGAGAGCCCTCAGCCGAAACAGGCGGAAGTGCCAGCGCAGACCGCCAAAAAAGAGGTGGCCGCCTGCTACCTGATCGAGCGCACAAGCTGGGAGGTGCTTGGCGATTGGGACGCGCGACCGGCCGCAACGCCGTGGGCGTCGGTCTGCAAAGCGCGCGAGGAGGAGGGCCGGAAGCTCCTCGAAGAAGAGGAGCAGCAGCGCAAAGCGGCTCTCGACGCCACGAAGAAAATAGACGAAGAAGACTCCGCCGACTTCGCCGATAAGAGCGAAGAATCTTCGGAGGAGCCGCCGGAGACGTCGGCTCTGTTCCAGGCGTTTGCAAAGAAGACGGCGAGAGCCATTGCGACGGCTCTGAACAGCAGCGGAGAGGATAAATTCCTCTCCTACGGCGACACGCGCCCGGCCAGCGAAGGAGAAAGACCCTTCGTCTACCGACGCGTAAACGGCGCGGAGAAAAAGACGGAGGCGAAATTGGCCTGGCCCTCTGTCTTAGCAGCAGGCACGGAAGTTGCGGACGCGCAGGAGCAGTATAAAAGCGGCTTCCTCACGAACGGAGAAAAGCCTCGAAGCAGGCCAGCCACGTGCTTGCCGCGTTATTGAAACACGCGGAAAAGCACGGCCTCCGCCCCTAGTTCGACGCGGACGAAAGCAGCGCCCTAAACACGACGGCAGGCCAGCGCCTGAGCCAAAAGGCCTTAGCGCTGCTTTTTGGCGCGTGCGCGGCCTCAGGCATCTGGGGTGAAGCACAGGTGGGAAAAAACCAACCTAAGGCTTCAAGCTGCGCCGTCGCAGGTTTCAACGGGGATAAGCTGCAACGCGCAAGCAGTGCGCTCCAGAACCTGACCCGCAAGCAGGTCGCTTCCAGCGTCCCGGCCGACTACTGGGACAGATGTAATCTAGACCAGTGTTGGGAAACGCTGCGCCGAGTTGGGAGCGCTATCAACGGCGCCACTGACCTGCAGCCTTTCGATTTCATGACGGAGCTCAGCGAGAACCTCCCAACAATCGCCACCAAAAAAGTGATGGCCTTCTTGGGCTTCATCATGATTGAAGGAAGGCGCCCGCAGCCTCGACGCGCTCCGACAGAAAGTGAAGCGCTGAGAAACCGGGCTGGTGGGCAGATACATGCTCAACCTGCTGGCTTGGTGCAGCCGCTTCGGTCTCCACCTCATCGATGGGGTGCGCTACACCGATGAGGAAGACGGCGGGAAAATCAAACCGCCCGCCCAAAGAGCGCTCTTCAAGGAAAACATGTAGGAGGTTCAAATAAAAGCGAAACGCTCTCCATGCGCGACGCCGAGGCGAGTTTAGGCAAGCCAAGAAGCGAACGCGTGGCGGTCGCACTTAGAGCCCCCCCAGCGGTTGCGTTTCGCGTTTTAACTCCTACCCTAACTCGGATTAAACTCCTGGCACATGCTCGGGCTCGTTTCTGCTGTTAAGGGGGTCAGCTTTTGAGAGTGGGGAAAACTTTCTTGGAGGCATTTCTGGACGACTGAAAACGCAGAAAAAAAAACGCGGCC